CGTCGACAGCCCCTGCGCCGCCGCCGCGAACCGCGCCACGAGCCACATCGTCCGAGTGGGGAGGGTCGGTGCGAAGTCTTCTAGGGAGAGCTCGAACCTGAACCGGTCCCACGCTGGTATCCCGCCTGTGCAGGCTGTGGATTCGTCTAGGGCGTAGGGGCGGCTGACGGGTGTGTTGGGTGTTGATTGACTGTAGGTGGACCCCAAGAGCGGAAGAGACGAACCGCGGCGGGAGCGCCGCCAACGACTTCTCGTACCGCGCCGATACCTCGTTCGTGGTATGCCACTCGTCGAGGGTGAACCGCACCGCGACGGTCTTGTGGTACGCGACGTTGCGCACGAGGAGCGTGCCGGTGAGTGTCAAGGGGCGTTTGGGGGTGGGGGTCGGGGATGTTGCTGGTCATGGAATCAAGTACCAAGTCAGGACGGAAACGAAGGGAAGGTAAGGAGATAGAGACGCACCATCCCAGCCCATCTGCTCAGTCGCGAACCCCAGACTCTCGAGGTAGACGTTGCCCTCTGCGCGCTCGGCCCCACGCGCGGGGACAGGCGAGGAGTTGCCCATGTCGACGTCGAATATTTCTTTCTTCGTCTCTTTTGCCTCTTCCTTCCCACCAGCCAACGGGCTCTTACTCCTCCCTGCCCCTGCACCCCAAGGACTCCACCGCCCCACCGCCCCCCACCTCATCCCAAACGGCCCCATCCCGCTCCCACCCCCACAGCCCGCAGCACTCGACTCTCCCTCCGTCTCCGTCTCCGTCTCGTCGCCCAGCCGGGACAAGGACGCCGGCTTGGCAGACCGGTTGAACACGCGCACGGTGGCGAGGCCGCCTTCTTCCTGCGAGGGGAAGTGGACGTTCTTGGTGGGGGGAGGGGAGGGGGAGGGTGGGGGGTAGGGGTAGTCTTCTGGGTAACTTGAATATGAAGAGGCATCGAGAGCGTCTGATGCGGAGGGGTCGAGGGAAGGTGAGAGAGAGGCTGAGAGGGAGGACGAGCTGCCCGAGGCGGGCGAAGGTGAAGAAAGGGATGCGGAGGATGCGATCGCAGCCGGAGCCGGTAAGCTGTCGAAACGCGGTGTCGAAGGCGCCGAGGCCGCCCTCTGGTGTACTCCATGGCCCCCATGATGTCCATGCCCATGCCCATGCCCATGCGCCTGCGACGCATACCGATAATGATAATGATGGTGGTGGTGGGGATGGAGCTGCGGGAACATGATGCTGGGCACGAGCGACTGGGGCGGGAAGGGGATGTTGGGCGAGGAGCTGGATGATTTGAGGGAGGAGCGGAGGGGCTTGCCGTTGGAGAGGAGGATGGGGGTGGAGGATGTGCGGGCGACGGAGGGACGCGACGGGCGGGAGTCGTTGCTTGGAGAGGTGGGGTTGGAGGTGGTGGTTGAGGGGATTTGGACGGTGACGCTGGGTGGGGCGGGCCGTGAGGTGGTGGGCGAGGGCGAGTTGAGGGGCGAGGAGCGCGGGAAGGGGACGCTCGCGCCTGCGGTGGATATGGACACGCGCGAGGGTGAGGGGTGGTGCAGGATGATCTGGGGCGGGGGCGAGCCGCGCGCGCCGTCGAACGAGGACCCGAGCGGTTTTTTGAGGCGGAGAGGCGGGAGGGTGCGGCCTGCGTCGTCGTCGTCGTCTTGGTGGGGGATGTTGTGGGTGGTGATTTTTCGCGCTTGGAGTTGGGCTTGCGCTTGGAGTTGTGACTGTGTGTCGTCAGGTGAGTCGGAGTCGTCATCTTCCCGGCCAAGGTGGAACTTGCGCTGCCCTGCGCCTGCACCGGTACCGGTGGGCGTGGCCGGTGCGGACTGGGTGGCTGTCGGGTACGTCGAAGTAGAAAAAGAAGTGGCAGAGGAGGACGCTGAGCGCCTGCGCGGGGGCGGGCGCATAGGAGCGAAGGCGCCCGTTGGTGCGGTGGATGTGAGCGTTTCTGGCGGGGTGATGTGGGAGAAGGAGCGGCGGTGCCCTGTCCGGCCCTGTGAATAGGTGGGCTGCGTGGAGGAGGAGGAAGGGAAGGGGACGGCGGTGGGCTGCTGGGTGGGGACGGAGTAGGGCATGGCTGGTCGTCGCTGTGTTCGTCGTGGTCGAGGTCGTTGTGGTTGTGGTCGTCGTCGTCGATGTTGATGATGGGCTTTGTAGTGGGTGAGACGGGGTGACGTCAAGTCGCGGTCATACAATATGTCGACCAGCCAGAGGGGCAGAAGCGGCAGGAGGGCGGACGGACGGGCGTATCAGACCAGATACGAGGGGCAAGATAAAGAGGAGAGCGGTTCGTGCTCGTTCTCGAACACCCCACGCACGAGAGGGTCTCGAGCGGAAGTTTGAATAGCGGACGGTCGAGGGTGCGATTACATACCCCCCACGCGCCGTTTGAAAAACTGTGCTGTGCTCTTGTTTGTCAGCACGATTCACCACATCCAAGCAAGCGGCTCCACCCGCCCCGACTCTGCTTCCCAGAAGATCGATTCGCACAATCTTCAATCTTCAATCGGGGGTGGGATCTGGTGTTGCGGCAATCCGGCCCTTGACCGGTTAGCAGTTGCTTATCTGTGCGACAAGCGTTGGGGACTACATACGCTCGGTACGGCCCACACCCTGGAATGAATGGCCGATATCGCAGAATGGAATGAATCGGGTGGGGGTGGCCTGTTTCTTTTTTTTCTGGCTCAGATTTGTTCTCATCGTTTGTTTCGTAGCGGTGGTCCAAGGACTCGCCTGCGACGCGCGTGCGTGCGTGCCGCGGCTGTACATACTCTCTCCATATTCATCGTATTCTTGGACATCGCACGCCATCAGCTCGCCATTGGGCCTCTTGACTCGACGTTGGCACGCCTTGTCTCCTGCACCATCGGACGTAAGGATGATAGCGATGATGACGAGTCTAACTTAAAGTGTGTGCAGTGTGGACGCACCCACCTGCTCCCACCCTGGCTTATGCTTGTCTTTCTTCCCCAATCCCTTGACTTGAATCCCCACCCTGGATATCCACACCCCGCGCGGTAAGAGCCTGCGTTCTAGATTCTAGCCAGGAGCACACGAACGAGCGCACCTCCTCGCTATCTCCCCTCCCCTCCCCTCAGGCTCGGGAAACCCCATTCATTGTCTTCGTTGTCTGGGTTGCTTTTCTTCTGGCTTTCCGGGGGTTTCCCAGCTTACCTGTCTCGCTCTCGCTCTCACACCACGAACACAATACCACCAACGACTGAAATTGCAATTGTAATTGCGGCAGCAGCCGGGGGCGGCGCTACCAGGTCCCCAACCTGACCATCGCCTCTATGCCTCTATCGGACGTTCAAACGTCCATCACCCTCTTGGGAATGCTGTCACGACTACAACTGGGTCCTCAATTCTATCGTCCCGCAGGGTCCTCTGCTCTCGAATATACAATACGCACTGCGCAGGCCCCATCCCTGTCTCCATCCCATCCTTGTCCCCATCCCTGTCCCACCCGAAATCGCACCACAACGCATAGCATTGCATTGAGTATTAGGGCCCCACGCCACGCCACGCCATCCATTCTCACGGCCCCTCCCACTCATCCGTTAGCGTTCGCCGGCACAAAAAGCTATTCTATTCTATTCTATTCTGTCACCACTCTATAAAGACGAAGACACGAAGAGATTCTGATCTGCTCCCCTCAGCTCCACTTCACTTGCCTTTCTCTGCGAGACGTCGAGATCGTAGGTTCCCCCGAAGACGATAGCGATGGAGTTGGGGATGGGGATGGGGATCTTGTGTCAATGGCTATTGCCGTCGGCGACGGTGACACCGCTGATAGATGTGGGGAAGCGCCAGTCAGTGTGAAGGTGGGAAGGTGGGGAAGGGATTCGGAGCGCCCTCGCTCCTCCCAATTCCAAGCGGCTACAATAACATTATCTGCGTCTCGACATTCTCTTTCTCCATGTCCACTTCGAAGTTTGAACGTTGGCTTACGTCCGTATGTACTCATACATACAGCGCGATAATACAATACAACGCATTTACTCTGCCACCCTCATCCCCATCCCCATCCCCATCCCCATCTCCATTAATATTGTCCTCGATCACAACCCACGTCTGATCAATAATATTCGACGTTCGCCGTCCAACGCACATAAGCCATATGGAGGTTGAATCCCATCCAGCCTCATCATACATTGATCACTCCTTCCTTCCAATCTCCTCCAATCTCCTTCCTTCTTTCCTTCCTTCCTTCCATCCATACACTCCACTATCTCCACCATCCACAACCGGCGGACAATTGATTAGATTTCCAACTCAACTGTATCACTGGGCTTTAAATTCCCGTGCGCTCCAGGCCCAAGAGTCTCTATATTAAAAGTGTCGATATTTCCGAATGCCGATTGTCTACATACGAGCATGAGAGCGAGTATATCGAGGCGCTAGCTTAAATCCCAACGTGGGCACGTACTACTACGTATTACGTACCGGCAGCCGTCCATATGTAAGTATAGTTATTACAAGGTGTACATGTACATACTCCGTAAGACTAGTACTCGTGAGCCGCCAACTGGAACGATCCCAAGTCTCTACATCTGATCAACATTCGATGTTCGATGTTCGGTCTTCAACGCACATACTTGAAGCCTGTAAGTGCTAGCATATCCAAATCCAAATCACCCATTCATTCAAATGTCTAAGTCGCAGAAATTTAAAGTGACTCTGAAGTCTGGACCGCACGCGGTGATACAGTACGTACTATGTAGTTGTCGACGTCTGGATGGCTGAGTTGGAAATCGAATCCATCGTTCGCGACTGTTCGTGGATAGTGGATAGTGGAGATAGTGGAATGTATGTATGGAAGGAATTCGAAGGAAGAACTTGAGGAGATTGGAGGACTCGGCCGGGGTGTGAAATGATATGATACCATACATGTGGTCTCATAGATAGCTCGAGACGACAGAGATACCATGAAAACGTCGATATTTCCCAATGCTGAATGTCTACGAGCACGAGAGCGCTACTGTATCCCAGCCTAGCGAGGCGCTGTCTTAAATTCCAATCGTACGTACGTACCGGCAGCCGTAGAGTACATAAGTATTACAAGGTGTACCATATACTCCGTAAGACTCGGCAGCGATACGCCACACACTAAACAGGGGCGCTTCCTGGAGATGCGGGGTAAGTATGATAGGAGTTGGATGTGGGGTCGTCGACGATCTTCGCTGTAAGAAAGAGAATGATGGGCTATGTATGTAGACATGGAGGGGCTCGGCATAGGGACTCTAGGCAGGCAGGCAGGGAATAAGGAGGGACTCGGAAATAAGGGGAAAGGAAAGAGGGACCTCGAGACCCGATCGCTGTCGCTCAAACTCCCACTTTCGAATTCCGGATCCTTGGGTTGGGCCTTGGGTTGGGCCTTGGGCGTCGATCGAAGAAAGCTCCATTCCGGCATGTTGATTTCTGGGGATGCACGAGATGCGGGGGAGGTGAAGGATTGACAATGCGGTCGGATTTGATACACATGATACGACGATGACGAGAGGAAAGTGGAAGTGGCAGGTCGAGAATTTGAATGCGCGTTCGAGCTCCCCGTCCCACTCAAGTTCGATTGCTCGACAGACGTATGCCGGCGACCTACCTATTCCTTATAGACAATACAAACGCTAATTATACGGCGACTTCGTCGAATGGGGGTCGCCCACCTGACCTCATTCATTCTCTTCTGATTCGCGCACTAAACCCCGTCTCGCACGCCACTCCCACTCACCGACTTTCACTTTCCATCACGCTCCTCTCCCCCCTCAAGGTCGCTTCTGCACCGCGTCACTTAAACTTCCCGCTTGGTTACGCCACACCGCCCGGCCCGATGCTACTGCTTTCCCCTTCTTTCCCTCCCGATCACCACCAATCACGATCACGATTCTCGGTCACCTTCCCCTTCCGGATCCTCTTGAGCCTTCCTTCCCGATTCAGGCACCCGAATCCCGACGGGCCTAGACCTAGGCGCGTAAGCCCAGAAGCGGGAACTCGGCGTCGGAGGGCGGGAGTGAGGTTTGGGTTTTGAGTTTGATTGCCAGTGTTACGGGCTGGAGGGACGTGAGCAGTGGTGACCAGTACATAGACTTTGCGTAGGCTTGACCTGGGCTGTCGATGACGTTAGGTATTTCAATTTGAAGACTTGGAACTCAGGTCCGTCGAGGTCGGACGGAAAGGACACGGAAAGGATTTGCATAGTCATGCCCAAATTCCGTGACTCACCGAGGGAGATTCGGTATGTCACCGAGCATGATGACGCCCGTAGCCCGTAGTCCGTGTCTGACCGTCGGCTCCGAACACAGGAACGGGCCGAATCGTGTGGCGCATGCGTGTACGTACGTAACGGTACATCTAGGTCAAGGTTGAGCTTGTCTGGCATCTGGCAGGGTATGACGTCGATGTCGTTCAATCGGGTCCGGGGTTCTCGACGTACTTAGGACAGTTCTGGAATCTGGACGGTGTTCGGTGTTCGGTGTACGTTCGAATTTTGCGCACGGAAGGAATATCGGAATCACCCCAGACCAGCGCACTAGTGGTTAGTCTCATCCGGATCCTCAGAGTGTAATCAAGCACTCAACTACGCTAGTCAACGAGAGCTGTTCCTTTTTCTTTCCTTCTTGACCTTCTCTCAGGAAGCCTATTATAATAGGGTGCAGCGTGCTGGTTAACGACGACGACACGCTGCATCACTATGACCTCAGCGACCTTCCTTCCTCAAGGATAGTAGGATACCCAGGGCCCTCATCGAACGCTTATCTATCCGTTATGAAATCACACCTTATCAAATGAAAGGCCCTGCAACAACGTGTCCCTGGTGGAAACCCGATTACCTGGAATCACAATCGCATTAGGCGCCGATGTTCTCGCCCGAAAAGGCGTCTTCCTCGCCAATCCACGCTTGGTGACGTCGAGAGAAAAGAAGCGCACGGTACGGTCCTAAGCAAAGTCCGCGCGTTTGAGGACGATCGGCGCCGTCCCTTCGATGTACAAGGTTCTTCTGCTATAACTAGTGCAGAAGATTGACTTGAATTGAGGATCGACCAGCGAAGGTCGGCGCTAGTGGAAATAGAGAAGGCGAAATGTGGCGCACTGCGACATCATCTTTAGCTCTTGGACCTTCTCAATGTGAAGTTCTATTGACCCGATGCGGAACTTCCAGCGGCATATATCCCTCGTTTAGCGAATCAGCCAGAGAAGTTGGAGTTGGGAGTGTGAAAGGAGCGTTATATAAAGCCATTGCTACGACTGAGAGGCGCTCCCTGGAAGAGTAGCGAAGAAGGGTTCTTCAAAATTTCTAGGGCTCGTCGTAAGCGCCATAGATACTGCTCTGTGACGTAGCTTTATCCCCTCGGTCGAATAAAAAGCTGAAATTTAATTAGATAAATATCCCGCCATGTGCCCGAAGTTGTGATCTGTATGATGTCTAAAAGAAGACATTTGTGTGGCGCACTCGCTAGCCGCAACGATCGACATGACATAAGCTCCCCTTGTTCCTCTCCTCGTAATATACCCTACCCCTCGAAAGTGTGTAGAGCGGCCGTAAGCCCTGGGAGACCAAACCTTGTAGAAGGACGGGAACTTCCAGAGGTCAAACGTCTGTCAACCGTCAAACCGTGGGTTCAGGCGACAACGTTTCCTAACCCCTCCTTTGGGAGAGTACCGTCCTTAAGAGACATAACGCCGGCGGCGGAGGCTGCCGTAAATGTCGTTATTGTACACCTTATGGCATTCGTCGTGCAGGGATAGAGGGTGGTGGCCCTGGTGGACGAAATACGGATATCGAGCAGGGACTTGGGAAGGTAGATACGATGGAAGGACTTCTAACTTCCCTCAGAGATAAGGGTACACCCACGCCTATAATCTATCCACACCTCTTCGTCAGTATGTAAAGCTGTATGTAATTGCGACGAAGGAAAGGAAAGCAATAGTTAAGCCTCAACTAGTGTTGCGATTCGCTCGTTCTAGTGCTAGAAAGGCGCGACCGCGAGTGGAGCGGACTGTTCAAACCAAGCCCCACAAATGCCACCTACTACAGGCTCCTGGCAGATGCTACCCGGATTTCTGCCGAAGACCCAGTGGGAACTAGCTCGAAGTTCTTAACACCTATACTTTAAGGCCGCCGGCCTCCCCTATGCATTTACTCCCAAAGGCCCCGATTGGAAAAAAGACACCCCGGTTCGGCGGTGCTGGCGGTTACGCCTCGTAGTTCCTCGGACGATCGACATCAAGACATAACGTGGATCGTGTTGTCGTGTTACTATTTCTCTGGTCAAGTACAGTCGGATCGGCTATCCGATGGAAAGAGTCGTGGTATAGTCTCTAGGGTCAATCTTGTTCAAGTTGCGTATCTGAAGCCTTCTCTATCTATCGAGTAAATGCGCTTCGCGACGGTCGCGCCTTGCGTCATAGCACGGGAACTTGCTTATCGATAATAATGAGAAAATCTCTAATCTTGAGCTAAAGGATGATAGCACTCACCAAGTCTGTTGCACAATGGTCCAATCGAAGGGTGAGTACTTGAGTATCAAGTCACCACAGGGGCGGATCGATCATGAGAGAACATCATAATAGGCAGACCGAAGACTGTCACCTCCATCCAACTCTCAACCACGGCCAGATGGAAGCTTCCGGCAGGGAGCGACGGGTGGAAAAGGGTCCGCTGCTTTATGTGAACGTTCTCAGCGTTCATCAACGAAGTCATCATGATTGAGATGGCATTGGAGAGGACGAGCATCTTCAAGTTCTAGACGTCTTCTAGTTCCAAGTACGGATGATCGTGGAGGTTGAGAGAACCTACTTACGGCACTGGATACCCACTGTGTCTTCCTCGGACATGGGCGTTTCCATGATGCGTACGTGGTATACGGAATTCATTGTGCATTTCCGGGTTATTAGCGCTGGGAAGGCGAGCCTTATCTGATAACAAGGGCGGTGTTTCGCTCAGGGCCGGCTCTCACAAGCGAGAAATAACTTACACGCAAGCTTTCGGGCTCACAATGGATGTAAAAGGCTGTTGCTGAAAACTCCACTGCGCCGCGGGTACGGTGGCTGAGCTTGACACCAGACATAGATGCCCGTTAGTGTATAAACTTCATGTATTGCTGTTGCAATATCATTCAATTCTCTCGGATGCTCCATAGATGGAGCAGAGCGGGAGTAGTCGTTACGTGAATCAACGTGCTAGAGAACAAAGATAGACTTTCAATCAGGATGTAAAGCCCAAGCCCCTAGGGCGCGCAGGGAGCAAGTTTCGAGAATACGAGAGGAAGATCGGCGGTGGGAGAACGAAGTCAGCGAATTGGGGTGCAGAGACGAAAGAAGAACTTCGACGAGAGTCATTTTGGACCAAGCAACCCGGGGATTGCCCATGCAGCTAGATGTCAGCTGCATGTTCAATCTTAGCCTGCCCACCTTCTTGCCCAACCACTAAGAGCATTGGCGTCGTCGCCTGTCCGAAAGAGGAACTCTGATGCCGCTTTACGGCCATCTGTGGAGGTTTGATGCTCTCACCTAGCGGCATCATTGGATAAATTCCTTCCGGCACGACGCGTCCGACATTCGGAGAAATCCATGATCGTAAGGCAGAAAGGGCCAACGGGTCCGAAGCACAGCGGGAGGCTAAATTATGAACTCTCGATATAGAAAGGTTTCGTAACGCGACACCGGAACTCCTAGGAATGCCATACTTCCCATTTGACAGGGTAAAATCACGAAACTCAGTATAGACCCTCAAAGCTATGCATAAATATGCCGTAACTTGATAACGAAAAATAGAACACGGACCACGATAATTACCCTCTCTGCGTCGTTTTCCCCCATTCCCCTTATCGTGAATGCGTAGGGAAAGGATGGTATTTTCATCGGAGGTTGCGCCTGCGTCGACCCTAACATGAAGTCCTGATGCCGCGGCTTCGTCTACCAGTGTGGATGGCGCGTTTGGTCCTACACAAGAGCCAATCGGCCGGAACAGTCTTATCATATCCCCGAAATGTCGTGATCGTCTATTTCGGAAAGATTAGGATAATGCTGACGAAAACTCGAGGCTTACGAAGAACAGCCTACCTTACTATTTTTTCGTGTGTAGTCAAAAGTGTTCACAGTAGTAAGCCGTAGCGCTGCGTCATGCAGCTTAGACTGAAGACAAGCTGTAATGAGCACTCCGTGACCGTCGTTGTCCGCATACTTAGAGGCTTCGGAGCCTTTCCAAGAACATGACGGAAGTGAGACCAGTTCTGACGGAATACCGAAGGGGTGTACTCACCCATAAACGCCGAGTATTCGCTTATGAACTTCGTACCAACGAAGACATCCATTTGAATGATATCTGCTCTGACAAGCTGATGGAGGCTTCCAAGTTTCAACACTGAAAGAGCGGGAATCAAAGCATGAACTTTGGATGCTCCTGTCCTGCTCCAGACTATGAAGCAATACATGGGTGACTCTCACGAACTGATAAGTGACAGCTTCCGACAGTGCATCCCAGCAGGGAGCAAATACCGAGAAAGTGAAGAGAAAGAGGCACGTTCGTGCACGCCAACACCCATATCAGATTGGTAGGAGTGCCGTTGTCCTAGGAGGCCGCTCTCATCGTATCGATGCAGATCCCTAGTACATTGGAAGTAGGGCACCCCAGAGCAAACTAAGCTCAAGCTTATAGTTCAGATGCCGTGAAGTACGAATTGCCGTAGACAACGAGGAGCGACAGCCAGCAAAATGCAGGGGATTCGGAGCCCGTGGGGTCAAAAAAGGTTTACAGATAAAGCAGCGGTACCCCAAAATATGGACAACATGTGTAGATGTCTGCCTTCGATGATTGGAAGCGACGAAGAGATGGAAGGAACAGTCACCAAAAATCTTCACGGAGATTGCCACTCGGCAATCTGACCCGATACCCGGCCCAAAGAGACCGTCCGATCTTGCCGACGGGTAGAAAAGATAGACGCTCATTGGTCAAAAAATAGCTCAGGGACAATTAAGGAGTGGGGGAAATTGCTGTCGATGGTGAACGCGATAGGTACTTGACAGGAAAAGGGTTTTTACAAGGAAATTGTAGAAGTGTAGGGAAGAGATGAATGCCAGGAATTCTTGGGTTAATGAAATCTTTCTCTTGATATGTTACACATGGGTCAGGGAGTTCGTTATCGAAACATGGATGTTTCCAGGCTTTGCATCATCGCTACGCAAGAGACGTTCAATCTCGGTTATTTCATTTGCGCCACACCAAGACTGTTTTCCCACAACTGTGGGTCGAATGCAAGACAGGACATGAACCAGAAGGGCTGATCTAGTCTCCCAATGGTGGACTCCGATATCCGTTGATGATGAATCGATCAACTTTTCTAGGGCTGGCCTCAGTTGGGAAGATAAGCGGAATTAGCAGCTGTGGTCGACTCTTCGTCGAAGGCGCACTTCTTCAGCAGTAGTATCGACAGAAAGAGTCTAGCAAATTTGTAAACAGAGAATGAAGAAAGTCTGAGGAAGCGTCTCTTTGTCGTGAACAGACAGTGCTCTCTCGCCCGTCGATTCAAATTCTCCATTTGCCACAAAACGAAGAGTTCTAGACTTCAAAAAAGGGGAGCCCCAACACCTGCACGGTGGGGCTGGATGTCTTCGACGAGTCGACAATGTGTCAGGGCAGGAACGTTCTTAAGGACCTTCAAGTATTGACGTCACCCATAAGACATTCCGAAGAAAGGGAGACTGGAACCAGAACAGCTTCTCGACTTGCAAGCAGCTCAGGTCCCATGGCCTAGGATAGAAGACGGGTGATTCAGAACGAGAAGTAATGCAGCATTCGATTGTCGAAGTGCGATGAATTCGAAATAGTGCTTTCGACGCAACAAAAAAACCATTGCAGGAAGACAGAAGATCCTGGGATCCTCGGTGTCTGAAGAAGCCACGATGCCCCCACTGAACACGCAATGAGAAGATGGGTATAGCTCAGGGTCAAGTGAAAACTCGAGCGCCGTCTATAAAGCGAAGGCCAGCACGAACGGATGCTCAACAACCAATACTCGAGTTAATTCAGCAACGGAACCGCAAAACAGTGGCGGATGACCACTATTCTGCGACGAAACTGAAGATCCCAAGCCAATCTGCTTCCATCGTCAGACTCGGAATTCGAATATTGAAGCATCTGCCTCTCCAATTTCACATTCTTCACTGGATATTGGCAATACGACCGTCGACCGACCTGGTCGAAGACCAAGAAAATCTAGGTCGTTGGTCGTGATGAGCAGAGATAAGCAAGAGAATATGAGCACATTCAGCAGCTGCTTGCCCGACCGCAACCTAACCGAGACGCTGTCGTTATCTTCCGACGGAACGAGAGAGACGCGGACATCCGAATCGGTCTGAAGGCGTTGAAATAGTGAGTGATTTCTCTGGACGGCTCGCATGCGGTGCGCGGTACGAAGGCCGATTGAGCACGTTCGCGTCGTAAAACAAATGCTTTGCCCTTCCAAAATGAGATGGTTCTAAGGAGCTGCAATTTGGCAATAACCAGTGCCATACCGCATGATCAGAAAGCGTAGTATCACCCCAGCGTCCAGAATCCAGAAGGGTCCCAGAAATACCAGCAGCTTGGCTTCTGTATGCTACCGAACGAGGGTTCAGAGGTGAGGTCACAAGGCATCGACGTTCGACTTATACGTTTGATGGGACTTTCCGAAGATTGGGCGAAGAGGAGACTCTCATGAGTTGTCAGCAGAGGTGCCTCGTAGTACATCGGCCTCATGAATGAACTGACTACTTTCTATGAGCAAGAGAATCCGGTCAGCGTAAGCAATGACGCACTCAGAACGTAGTCCGATCTAATATTATCAGAGTTCGTGTCCACGATAGGACGACACTCGCATGGTACTGGCGAGTGTAAAAGCATATCAGTCATACGCGGGGTCATAAGAAACAGACTTGCTCACGAAGTGCGGAGAAACATGAAAAGCTTCGAGGATCACGCCAGACCTCTCCAGCTGCTATCTCACGTTGAGTGGAGGTAAACGAGAGCTCGGCGACATCTAACCTTGATAACGAGTGCTCCACTTGCTACAGATGAACACGGGCTAGGTAGAACACCGAAGATGAGTGTCGTCATCGACAATGTTGCCAGCGAAGCAAATTCAAACGTTAGGCGTTTCTTCGAGTGAATAATGATATGAGACGGTCAGTGCATGAGGTACTACGAGGATTGTGGTCAGCCGTGCGTCAGAGAGTATCAGTGAATACTGCTACGTCACAAGGATGCGGAAGAGATAACCAGTAGCTGGGCGGCCGATGGCTATCTGGATCGCACCACGAGAACAACCAGCTGTTAGGTGCAATTGAAAGACAGAAGGGGCGTAATGTGAATCTATCATGGTGCAATTCAATGAGCGAGCGTATGTATAGGCCTGGAAGCACGAACTGACATCTCGAAACCTCTTTCCGAACATCTGCGATGAAAAGACCGCGCCGGGAAACAGAACATAAGCCCCGGAAGCCCATCGCAATATCAGACATCAACACGTACATATGTTGAGCGGAGTCTGTTCGCAAGCAACATTTGTGAGCCTCAAAGATAGATTCGGCACGCATCCGCGGGCTTCGGATGATGCTGGTGTAGAGTTCGAAGAGGCTCCGCATTCCTCCGAGAAACAGAAGCAGCACGAATGCAGTGTGCAAATCAGCGACCATCCGGCGCACAGGACCGAATATGCGACGATAAGACAACGACGCGAGTCATCGAGCAACCCGACGTTCCCAGACATGACCAGAGTAGGTGATATCCACATGTACTCTATATGTGGGTAGAGCGGGTCAGACGTTTCTGCCATGATCATCATGAAAGGAATTCCATCACGAAGAGTGTTTGAGCACGATGTTCTGTCGAAGAAAAGATGAATGGAAGCGATGTGCGCTTTCAGAGGGTGCAGACAACCCTGGTGATAGGCTTTCGAGGGTGCAATGGACGTTGTGGGGACCAATACTAGGGGGTAAAGGCAGACGCGCGCCAGCACGGCTCGAGTTCCGAGGGTAGAAGAATGACATTGGGGGCAAGGAGTTAAGGACGCGGTGCAAAGAAACTATCTGCAAAAATAATCAATAAGCACGAGTCCTTCGACCGGAATTAGAGGTTCAAAGGTCAGAGACTTGAATGGTTCCCAAAGGAAATGAACCCATTGTGGAAGCACGTCGAGAATTTGTTTGCAGTAAAAGTTTTGCATCTTATGTGGATGTTCGAAAACAAAAGTAGGAAAAACAGCTCACCTAACGAACAGTTTAGGTTGTCGTATGTGCAGAGAGGACTGAATAAGAGCGACCCGTTAGCATCTGCGAAGAATGAAGAGCCAGATGTAAGGGGAAATCAGGAAGTTTTCCGTGGTCTTCTCATGACCTCTATGGTGTCGAAGTGAGCTGAGTTGTACGAATGATTCTCATCAAGAACGTGGCAGAGCGACAGAAATGCAGGAAGAAGTGACAAGAAGAAAAAGTGCGAACTCACAGCGACTACATAGCACCCGGTGTCGGAAGGGTCTTCAGCGACGTGTTAGACGATGAGCAAAGTCAGGAAATCGAATTACATGAGTCACGTGTAGGACCTGCCCTAAGGTCAGCCACCGAAAGCTAGCTATACAGTTGATCTCCGACCTTTCCCACCCTCTCCAAGGTCTCCCAAATATCATAATTCACGGTGAGCAGCTCCCTTTCGTCGTTCCCAACGCCGTCGGCATACTCATCGGACCACCTTTGCAAGATGCAAATCTTCGTCAAGACCCTTACGGGAAAGACGATCACCCTTGAGGTGGAGTCTTCTGACACCATCGACAACGTCAAGGCCAAAATCCAGGACAAGGAGGGGTGAGGACACCCGTTCATGAATGGGGGCTATGGGATCGCTAATGAACTCTACTTTTGAAGTATCCCCCCCGATCAACAACGCCTCATCTTTGCCGGCAAGCAGCTCGAGGATGGCCGAACTCTTAGCGACTACAACATCCAGAAGGAGTCGACACTGCACCTGGTGCTCCGGTGCGTCTTCTTACTCTTACGCCCGGAGGTCTCGTTCTGAGTTCGCGCGATTCTAATTAGTCTCCGTGGTGGAATCATTGAGCCCTCCTTGAAGGTGCTGGCGTCAAAATACAACTGCGACAAGCAGATCTGCCGCAAATGCTACGCACGTCTACCTCCTCGTGCCACCAACTGCAGGAAGAGGTCATGCGGTCACTCTTCGCAGCTCCGCCCGTGAGTTCCTATCCTGTCGTCGTTATAATCGCCGCCTTGACCAATGTCGTCTCGGTTACAGCAAGAAGAAGCTCAAGTAGTCCACTCATTTGCGGACTTTCATTCGCTTTGGGGGACGGATACGTCGAAAGGCCTATGTTTGGACCGTATGCACGGATTATAGCAGCAGATTCCATACGATTTTCATGTGCACTTCCGCGACCTCATCCTTATGCGATATGATGTTTTTATTCGTTTCGTCTTCGAAAACGTTGTCCTCTTCGATTGTTCTTCCCCGTCTTCCATCCATCCGCCAAACGATCGAGGGTGCTCGCAGCTTTTGTGCATGAAACGAAGACGTCACAGCAGATCATGACATCCAGGTTCCACATATAATTATTCTTCCCTTTCCACAATAAGCGCCCGAAGTAGGATCCAGCGACGAGGAAGGGATTGTCCATGGACGCGGTAAGCCTCGCCGTTCTGACCAATAGGCGAGCACAGCCACACCTTCCTATATCTTTTCGTCTTACCATCATCACCTCGGTTGGGGTCCACGCAAGGTCCACGCCCTGCACACGCAGCGGCAACCCTCGTCTCTCGTCTTGAAGCTTCCGTTACGTTCTTCCCCCAAGATTTCCTTTAAATTCCTCTGCGCCATGGATCAGCCCCAATTCACTCTGCCGGCGCTGATGACGGGCTACCTTGCAATATACAGCGCTGTGGATGTGGAACTCGCCCAGCCATCGCAGCCCCAGGCCCCGCCGATGCCCGCGCCAGCACTAGGACAACCGTCTACACAGCCGAAGAAGAAGAAGAAACCGAAGATCTCCCCAGCAGCCAAGAAGGCGTCTGAGGATGCACACTTTGAGCTCGTCATGGAGGCAGCTCAAACTGTCACTTCGATTCTGGAGTCTCATGGTCTATTCTGCGCGGTGTTTGGAAGTCTCGCAGCGAAATTGTACGGGAACAGTCGCTGTCCGAAAGTACGTCCTTCCCAGGTCTCGCTGTATCGCACCGCAGTGCCAACAGACAGCTGTTCAGGATGTCGACCTCCTCGTTAGTCAAGACGTCCCTGTAACGTTCCCTTGGACCTCGACGCCGATCGAGAGGGACCTGACCGCAGCCGAACTGAAGGAGCTCGTTCTACGCACCAATTCGCGCAACTTTTTCCTGAAGATGCCGCGCGACCCGACCGCCGAGTACCGCATCCTCTGGTACCGCAAACACTACCTCGGTGCCGAATGCAAAGTTGACATCCTCGTGCCGGGAACGATGTATCTCCCGTTCCTCTATCCTGACTGCGTCCGGTGGATTAGTGGAGTCCCTCTCGCCCCTTTCCCCGTCGTCTTCTTGCATAAGGTGCAAGGCTGGGATGACCACCGGCTTGCGGAGGACGCATACAACAAGGGAAAGCAGCATAAGGACGCCGGAGATCTCCGGAGGATGCTGGCACTGAAGCAGTTTGCAGAGGAGGTGAGGAAGGAGATCAAGTTTACTCCCGGCTTTATGCCATATTTCGGCGAAGAGTTCATGAAGCTTACAAGGGAGAGAGTGAAGGCACATTGTCAGGCGTTCCCAGATCGCGCAAGGGATTGGGAAGCACTTGGTTTTGAGGTGTTATAATCCCTAATTTATAGCATATTTATTGTGTATCTTTTTCACATCGAGATACCAGTCGAAGATTATAGTGAAGAAGTTTTGCGAAGTTCTGGAGCTGAAAAACCAACCGACAGGATAAAATTGATTGGTGACTAGGAACGGAGAAGTCAACCACACATGCGCCTCCTGCTTGCCTCGATGATATCCCTTTAATTCGAAGATTAATCCCGTTTTCGCGAGCCTCTTCCAAGAAGGTAAGACTTCCTGCCTCGATGTAAAACGTCTCCGGCTCCGCTTGTTGGGACACTTGCTGCAAGTAGATCTGGAAAAATCCACCAGATCCGGTTCAAGTATGGTTGGTCTGTTGTCGAGGTCGGCGGGGGTAGGAAGAGCGAAGGGACGCTCGACCAGTGAAAGTCCTTTAGACCGGAGATGAAAAAGGAGTCCAGACGGGAAGAAACGACGTGCCATCGACACCAGATAGCGTAGTTATAGATAGGAGGGTGAATATGTCGTCCGAGATACGAGAACAAGAGACATGAACGGTTTCGATCGTAGGCGAGGCTTGGAGGAGGAAATATTAATGAAATGGTCCGAGGTGCCTTCATCCACCATGAATACGACTTCAAGTGACTGGATTCACCGGGTTATCAGTCCAAGCCTTCCAGACCTTAGGAGAACCATCTTCATGGTCCAGTGACAAGTCTTCGAGGGCGGGAAGCGTAGCACCATTGAGAAACGGAATTAATTGAGCACCTGAACTGCGAACTACCTCCATGTTTTGAAGTAGTTGGTGAATAATGCATCGATGGGGATCGACGCTGGAACAGTCAGGCACGAGGGCGTTGCAAAAGTGGCCTCCATTAGGGGACTCCAGTCGATGAACAGGGACTTGACATGGAGCGTGTTGATTGACACCGCGGAATGATCATATGAATAGCTTTCTGCTGCTTTCGAGAGAGAGGGTGAGGTCTGCCGGTGGTGTAATCAACAGATTGTCGAGTCACGGGGCAGTAACACCATCCCCGCGTACGTACTAGTAGGAAAGAGACGTGAATAGAATATAGAGGTGTAGTGACTTCCAGCGCGAGGAATATGAGTTGATTACATTGACAATAGAATTGAACTCATCCGCCATGGAAGGAAGGAAGGAAGGAAGGAAGATAGAATTCCCGGGGAGGTCCCAATGAGGGTACGACCGGTTCGTAGGTACGTATAGGTACAAGCTACAACTACTCCAAGTAACCCCAAACACCTCATCCATCACCGTTGCGTTACTCCTAACCACTGCCAGCGGACTTTCCCCGACCTGCAGAGCCTTTCAATAAAAGGTGTTACAGGTAGGACATACGACTAAAACCACATGGGGGTCAGGATGGGTTCTCCCATCTCCTGACACAAACTCATCGTCATCCAGGATAGTCATAGCAGCCCAAGAAGACTCACAGTCTCAGGACTTGGAGGTTATATTGAAAATTTAAGACACGCAAGTAGCTTATTGTGCCCAGAAATGAGCATATCGTGGCTCATATTTTCACTGATCGTTCTGATGAACCGTGGCGCACTGTACAGCACGGAACGACAGGCAATCCTTCATTCGAGAAGTGCCTTACATTTATGACCCTGTAGGCGGATTTTGCCAGGTATGAACTCACAATAACAACAATAAGACAAGAGCACAATGGCTTCAATCGTCTTGGAAATGTTGTTGTAATGCAGGCTGTGACCCTCGTGGTTGGACCATGGTCTGTGCGCGCTGGCTCGCGTTGTGATCACCTAGGGGCAGGAAGCAGGACGTCGTCGGCGTCGAGGCAGCAGCGCCAGGCACTGACGCTGATGACAGTCCAGCGTGGTCCGCCCAACAAAACGTAGGAACAGCCTCTATCGGGTTCTCTACGCATTCATATTGACGGCTGCAAGGTGTCAACTGGTAGTAGCCTGCATAGGGCGAGTTCCCGCCATGCAGAGCTATCTTGTCGGTGCGTGTATACAGTACACCCGCTCAATCCACTCCCAGACAGCTCGTTCCTCCCGACGGACTCTGCCTGTCGGGCATCTCAACGGTCTCGCCTGCTGAGGCATCTCGACGGACTTCGCCGTTCGAGGCATCCCGACAATTCAATGTGTCTAGGGCATAGGTCCATGGTGGCGCTCTGGGATAACACAACGTGCTGTGGTGGCTGGATGCACAAGAGCGTCGACGACGCGAGCGCAGAGTCCAGCGATGGGAGTGCCAGAGTGCGTTGCCATTGGGACGTAAGACGTTGGAGTTGGTGATAGAGTTCATGGAATCGGAATAGGGGTGACCTTAATTGAGGGCTACCACGAGTGGCAATGGAATGTCTCCATGAATGACGAAGTCATTCATCTGCAAGCTCAAGCCGAGGATGCAATTTGGTGTCAGGAAGAATGATTAACTCCAACGATGTCCAAAGAGCTGGCGTTGTCCAAGCTATCTGTCTCCAGTTTCGATAGACTGGTCCGGGCCTGACCAGTGGTGGTGCAAGATTCAAGTTCTGAAACATGACGAAGCTGCGCAGATACGAAACTTAAATGCAGGATACGACTTCAGGAGGAAAGCGGTTGGTGAAAGGGTCGTGCTGGAGGTTCATTTCTTCAAGAACAACGTGACGGCAGATTTTGAAACGTTCGAGATTCTTCTTCGCCTCATCTCTTTCTTCGTCGATCTTCTGCAGCTCTACGCAATGGCTACATGGGAAACCAGTTTCCCGCCTGCATTCGTATGATTCGAGGCTGCCGAGATGTGGAGGCTCTGCTCCCTGTTGGTATCGTCAGAGACCCTCTAGCGTTCCTTGTCAGCCTCTCCTTTCAAGGATCGATAAGGCCCACCTTTTCCTGTGCATGGAAGGTCTGAAGCCATTCTTCAGCCGAAACCAACGATGATATGGACTTATGACTGGGTATGGTGTTGTGGTGGAAGGGGAAGGGAAAGCAAATGGCTGTGACGATGTTGATGGGTATGAGATAAGATAAGATGTGCTCCTTCTGTCGCACCAGAAAAAGGAATCTCAAGACTCGACTCCGACTCCGATGTCTACGAAGACAAAAGTCTCACATGTTAGCTCTCTTGACACAACATCCACCGAACGTCACATTTACACTCATATCGAGGAGGATATACAGAACTTGGCTCTCCAAGGCGATCTAGCCACACACATTGAGGACACGAAAATTCTCATTAACAAGCTGCGTGATGCGGGCGAAAGCAACATCTTCAAACATTCGGGTGCCAAACCAGAGCAGAAGCTGCACCTTATTCTCCTGGCGATGCTCGAATTCGTGCCAGATGAACACGGTAAGTGCTACGTGATCAAAGCGCTCTTTGTCTGCGTGCTGTCAGACTCAAAATATGTTTTGATAAAAGATCGAACTAAGTTGGCATCATTACAAGTTGGAAAGTTCACATGAAATGTGGTCATCCCTTTACCAATCAATCACTCGTCCATTTCATCTCTTATAAGCAACATTAGTCAAGATTATTGGTACACTGCGTAGGCGCCAATTGCGCTGAATAACCAATGGAGCTATCATCTCAAGGATCTATAAGCGTGAACAATGATGAATAATGAGTAGAGTTATCACCTCAGGAGAAACATAAGCACTCGACAGAAGCTGAGTAAGGTGGTAAGTAATTACTAGAGAAACTAAGGAATTGCATGAGTAAGCACTCAGAATCATGAGTCAGATGTGAGATAGCATCTCAGTATTATTCTATAATTAGCAGTAGTCTTAGTCAGTACACCACTATTTCCTTATTTAGAATGCCTCTCTGAAGAGTATATAAGGGCCTGTAACTAGCTAGGAAAAAAATATATATACAACCACCCAGAAGTTTTACTGCTATCATTGTTTTCACGTACCTAAGTTTTGCCTGAACATCTGACAATCTCAGCTGTTCAAACCGTCTATCGTCACTAGCAAGCAATGTAATCAGTCGTTCAAGCTAGTCTAGTCTGCCTTCTTGTAACTAGTTCGCAACGTAACCAGTCATTCACACTAGTTTTAGTCTCGCCCGTTGTCGTCTTGCAGCTAGCATGCAACATAACCAGTCGTTCACACTAGTCTAAGAAATTTCTGCTCCCGTCCTGTTAATTCTTGATCGAGTAGTGTTCAATAGTCTTCACCGACTAAGCTGCCAATCAAGCAAATATTTCGTACCAGTCAAGTTTAAGTCTACTAACAAGCCCAAGTATTTATCCAGTCTCACCCTTTTTGTGAAACTAAGGGTAAAGCTTGATTAAGAGTTTACACTATCCTAGTAGTTCATTGGATCATAGGATCAATCCTCATACTGTGGTTGACTGGCTATTTTATAAGAATACTGACCCTTCTCGAAACTTTGTTAGACCCTCCAGTGAAACCCAGGAACTAACCCTTTGTTCACTGACAGCGCAGAAGGCCGATGACTCTCCCAGTCAAGGCTCAGAGCACCGAAAGGTGCTGATCGAGCACCTGCGCACTGTGGCCATCACCTGGCTCACAAACTTTCTCTTCATATGTGAGCTCGTCCATTGTTGCCATTCGTCATCTCTTAATTTTCATTCCTAGTCAAAGCAAGTTCCAAAGCATATGCCTCTCAAAGTGAAAGTATCTCGCATACTCCTTCCGATATTACCACCCCCACCATGGAGAGTACCGAGAATGGTTCGTGAAACCAATCTATTGGTAGTAGGTCCTATAACCGTGCCCTGGTAAATGCCTTTCATCTTTACATGTGTAATCTGGGAATAACTGTACATTTTCTCTGTATAGACCCTATGCCGTGACAATCTTACATGTGTCATCACTGGTGCCAGGGACAGGGAACATCCTGTCCCTGGTCTTGTATCCTTGCAGGCCTGTCAAATCTTAAAGAGAGCAGCAGCGAAGTATACCAGCAAGACGACTGAGTCCAAGGTAGGTCGTGATACCTCGATGCCTGGTCACAGTGTCGTTGACAATGAGTTCTTTGCTAGCTGGAATCCGTCATTGGTACATTTGATATACTGCCGAAATTTACTCGACTCCCAGATAGATTTATCACACAGCCCAAGGATTGGGTTGGCCATCCCTCCAACTTGATCAGCCTCATGTCAATTACACATGACTTGTTTGACCATTTCGACATCTGCTTCGAGAAGACCGTAAGTGCTATTTACCCCTTTCTCTGCTATCATGACATGATGATGAATTCATGGGCTCTTGCACAGGATGACGGCAATCACAGATATAAAATCGAATACTTTGGCAGGGAAGATGTTGCCAGTCTTCTCGCCTTTCAGCAAGCAGTGGGTGGCAGGGGACGGGACGATCTTGTTGTGTTGACCAACAACTCACCCAACAGGTCCCACAGCAATGATAAAATGCCCGATCTGATGTTATTCAAAATCCACGCAGCGATTGCGGGCATTCTCCATATGTCTGGTGCTGGTAAATTCTGCGATGAATTGCTCCAGCGGTACCCACCGACTGGCAGCAGTGCACCCGCGGTTACTTGGCTTGAGATGGAACGCCAGATCTACATGATCTTGCTGCTGGGATGCGGAAGATGGTATTTACGGGACCTGTGCTAGTGGGTGCCCCATCGTTATACAAAGACGAGTCTAGTGAATACCGATAGCATTGTTGTTCCTATTTGAAACGGTTGAGAGACTGGAAGTGGACAAGATGGATTTGAGGATTTTTTGGCGGTTATAAACCCGACAGACAGATTGCGGCTTGAGGAAAATGGTCTCATTTACAATATACTTGGCATGTACCTTTTCTCTTACGCATTCCTCGCCAGTTACATATCTTGTCGGTAACTGCTATTCTGTACATGGTCCCATACAAGTACTTATTTTGTGGAGTCTGCCGCCAAGGTGGTAAGAAAGTATCCAGCCTGCGTATTCCCACCAACGAGGTAGTAGAGACGTGTTTCTGGATGACAATGGACGATCGCTTCAAAAAATCTGCCATGATCAGCCGAGGATCAGAAATACCCTCGTGTTCAAGTTTCTGGAGAGAAAGGAAGGTTATTTGTCGAATAACATCCAGCAAAATCTGCAACAATGATTCTTGATCCGCCTTCAAGACGACGTGGTGCGCACTCCTGTTGGATATGTCACGGTGCGCTGGGAGTGTGCAGGCCGTAGGGCAGGCCGTCTTCCATCTTGCACCGAGACTACGTGCAGACACCGATAAGGAGATATACTCCAACCAGCGGGCTTCGTGTATCAGCCTAAGAGTTTCATTGTGGGTGAATTATCCACCTTTGCTGAAACGAATCGCCGTGTGGGTGAGGTTGGACCACTAGAAGCGCTCGTAGCGAACGTCAATGCCGAAGCCGACGCGTAGGCAAACGGGGGCGACGCGCAATCCAAACTTAGTATATAGTTCTCGGTTGCTCCTTTCGTCGTCATATGGGCCAATGATAAGGGTCTGAACTGATTGAAGTGGCCGTCGCAGAAGCATACGGCGCTCACTGAAGAGGTCCTGAACTGCCCCCGAAACGTCGAGAACAAGCCTCTCGCACTGAGGGAAGAAAGGCGATATGCCGAGGATGAAGCTGACGGCCTCTTGTCGATGCTCGACGACCCGGAGCTGAGCCGAAGTCCTTTCATGAAGGTAGATAGTAAGAGGGACGGCGTGGGCCGCTTCAACTAATTGCAAGCCATGGTGAGCTTGAAGCCGGCGTCGGCCAAAAAGCGATGACTTAAATCGACACGGAGGAATCTCCAGATGTACGGTGTCTCTGTAAGTGCCACTTCGCGCCGGACGGTGCAGACGGCGGCGACGGTGAACGGAAAGTTCGATGCACGCCTAGCCTCGTAGGACGGGAAGTCGAAGGAATTAGACTCATACAGCTCCTCGTTGACCGAGAATCGAAAGATGAGGGAGAGGACGTCGCTTGGAATCATTCATACGATCAGGCTATGCTGGTAGTTGACCCAGGCTTTGAAAGCTGGAAGGTTGTCATCGAAGATGGGCCCATCGTTTGAGTTGGGTGTTAGAGATTGTCATAGGTGTGAAAATTTGGTTCGTTTCTATGAGGGTTATTGTGAGCAGATCTTCGCGAAGAGCGATTCCGAGCGAGACTATAGCCTACCTGTGTTGGAATGAGGAATGGTATGAAGGAGGATTTACCTACATCCTCCATTCTTATACCAATTCCCCGCCCGCCAACTCTGTGACCGCGGGAAATGCCTGGGTTGGCGTTCCACTGTTCAACGGAGGTTGCCGAGAGACACCAATACGGGAAATGGAATGCCTTATCCGGACACGCTTCGCATTCTCACGTTCCGTGCGCCAGAGAAGTCGTCGAGGCGAATGGCTGCATGGTGTAAAATAGCTGAGATAAATGGAGATTAGACGAGAAGACCTAATATTAATTTCGTTGATTGAAATAACTCACACATGTACTAGAGTACATAATGCGACGAACTCCTAGCATTCCTCCAGCTCATAATAGGCTTACAGAACAACGACAACGAAAAACGATAATTAAAGAAGGATCTGGAAACATGGTGGAGATCGGCTACTAATCACCAAGTGGTCATTGTCCTGGAATGGGGAAGAATACTTATGTGACTACAGACGAAGAGTCACTCGAGGTCCGTGTCCTTGAATATTGGTGGGGCAAGCCATCGCATGCATGGTCGACTGCAATCACTATGGACGTCTCTGCAACTCCAGCTCGACTCAACTCCTAGCCAGGACACACGTGAAGACATGCTGATCAAATGGCTTTTATAATCGGCAATGCAACCATTCTTACTTAAAATCAGCCTCGATTGCTGTAAGGTCACCAGTGACTAGTGACTTTGCTTCGTGGGATCCATCATCGATATTTTCTGTGCACACCGCTCGTGGTGGGATGCCATCACTTCATCTCAGCTCCGTAACTGACGATTCGAATACGTCGACGGCAGCGAATTGGGTGCAGAGAAAATGGCAAGTTTGACTGGGCCATCATCGTGCTGGATGTCACAGAATGTCAATGTCGATGTCGCTGGATCGTCTTTTCTCCTCATTGACCCCTTGCGGTCTTCGTCTTTCGCCTTGCTCATGAAGAATTTTGCTATGAATGCAAAGTGTTACGAAAGTGTGTAGCAAGATAAAATATGGTTGTAAAAGTTGTGTAGCGAGCGCTGAAGAAAAATTTGCCCGCAAGATGCGGCCCATCAGGTGGATCTATTCCTCCGAGCTTGTGGTTCGTCGAAGATGCGGGGATAGACATACAATTTGATTCCAACCCACACAAGATGCTGGCAGCGAAGTATGGTGTCTTGATCAACGGTGCTTGTGTCTCTCTCCCTCAACTCTAGATGTACAGAGCGCAACGGGGACCTTGGGACGATGTCCGCACTACCGATCGAGTGCATGTTCTCGAAGTCCACGCCGAATATCTTCGGGATGAGGTCCCATTCGAACGTCCGAGCAGAATCCCAGCAGGTCAGGTGCTCGAGGTATGGAAGGAAGGTAATTCTGCCGCCGTTTTTACTGTCCGCCGACGAATATCGGTCCGCAAGCGCCTGCAGAACGTCGCGTAGGGCTTTATTCCAGTCTTCACGTGCTCTGAAGCGAAGGTGCTTGAGTGTCGGTACTTGAACCAGCATTGTTTTCATGTTTTGCGGTTCTGACTCGGAGTTTCCGAGAGTGAGGTGGGTTAAAGGGCACCTACACCTCTCGAAAAAGTCCGTGAGGTTGAATATTGTCGTATCGGGATGGCGAAACCGGTCCATGACGCTGAGAATTTCCAGGGCCGGGAGGTGAATCTTGTTGAAGAATTCGTCCAAGAACTCATTCTCATCAGGCTCGATTTCGAACTGCTGAAGCTTGAGGCAAGTGACTAAGCCGTCAACAAAGGGGGTGCCGACATGCATCCGCTGGAAGGTGCAGACGACGAGGTTTGTAGCGCTTTGCATGACCTCTAGACATTCGTCATCCGCAATGCCGTCGGTCGTTAAGTGCGTCAGAGAGCCGAAATGAACAAGGAGAGAGGAGATCTTCATTGATCGAACGGTCAGTTGTTGCAGACGAGATGTGACGGATCTGAGGTCAACGACCCCTGGCCATATGTCTTTTCCCTCTTCAGGCTCGATGTTGAGTTCCAAGAGGCTAGATCCTGGAGCGATCGTCGTTCCTTGATTCAGTCGCGAAAGGAAAGAGGCGGGAGCATGGATTCTCAGGACGCGCCATCTGCTTGAATAAGTGTTGATGGTGTCTATGAGGGAGTAAAAATAGAAAAGCACTCCGTCCGGGATGCGACGAGGGGTCCGGAGGTGGATGTCCAGCGGGAGACCGCCAGAACGCGATAACCATTCCCTGACCAGCGCCCGTCGGAGGGGGATGTCACAGCCCTTGAAATAGAGTTCCAACATTATTGTGCTCCAGAGTTGCGGTGTAGACCAGGCAATTTGGCGCCACTTCCTGCTGACTGCGCCGAGGATGAGAGGTCCAGAAATCTCGACCTTGGCCCATGGGTCGTCGTCGGGGCCAGGTAGATAGGATACGAAGATTTCCGACGCGATTTCGGGAGGGAATTTGTGAATGAAAGGGTCATGCGATTGGTTTACCGCGAAACGCGCGTTGGCCAAGGCAAGGGTGTCGCCATTTTTCCGATCTGCGAGCATTTGAAGGTCTTCGCATTGCCGGCACAACGAACCGTTGGCCATTTTGCACTCTGGAAGACTCAAATGCGCAAGCGAACTGGAATAATGCATGTTGTTCAGAGTAGTTCTGTGCAGCAGGAATGACATGGAGAATCGGCGAACGGAAACGCATCACTGGCACGAACACATATAGGAAGGCATAACTCACCGGAAAAACGACATGAGCACTGATGTAGGCGTCGTCGACTGTGGACTGGACGTAAGTTATCCAGAATTGGTGTCCATGTAGCAATTGAAGTACGATGCGGCGGAAGTAAGTGGGCAAGTAGTGTTTTAAAAAAACGGCTTCTAATTGACTTTATTTGGAAGGCCAACAAGAGGCAGCATCTAAATCCAATCACACTTGGGGGCTTGTTAGGCTTTTCGCAAAGGAACGAATATTTATTCGAATACGCCGATCTTGCGCGGTGGGCACCTAAGCTACTGAAGGTCAAATTTAAACTCCTCGTCGACATTGCGGCCAATTGCTGAAGGCAAGAACCCTTCGAAAGACCAATTCAATGCGTTCCGGCTTATAGTGATGATGAGCATCGGGCGGACGGTTCTGGCTCATTGTGCATGATAAGCGAAAAAGGGAGAATAGCGACGTGAAATCCAGAAAGGCCCAAGAGTCAAGATGGCCACCAGAAACGCTCTACCTAGACGTAACGGGAAACGATGGTCCTGCTATTCGTTGTATATATTTATGCTGCAATGTTCCACCGCGGACCACAGGATGACATCAGGATTAATCTCTATCCTGGCCCCGGCGCGGCACAGACGCAGGCAGCGAAGGAGGGTGTCGCGGTCCATGACGCCGATCTCGTCATCGTCGAAGAGGAACAAGTCAACATTGCGGAGCGACGCTTGAATATCGGAATGAACGTGGTTCCCAACGTTCAGGCCAAACATTTTTGGGAGAACGTCCCATTTGAACGTCCCGAGATTGCTGCTGCAGCTGAGCGACTCAAGTTGGGACACCAATGGGGTGGTGGGTTCGAGGTGGCCGTCGGGAACGATCGATTGAAAGCGACCCGCAAGAGCATACAGGGCATCGCGCACCGCCATGTCGGTTTCCTGCCTTGCGCTGAGAAAGAACCTCTTCAGTGTCGGCACTTTTGCGAGCATCTTTTGGATATCTTGGGCATTTGACTCGATGTTGCCCAATATGAGAGATTGTAATGGACATGGCGACCGGTCGAAGAAAGCGGCGAGGTCGAGTTTTTGATCCGTGTGCCAGTACGTGTCTGTCGAGATCGTGAGTTCTTCTAACCTTGGGAGTTGGATCCTCCCGAAGAACGGGGCAAGCTGTTCGGAAGCGCCGTCCTCGATAACCAGCTTCCGGAGATTTTGACACACGACGACGCTTTGGGGTGCATCCTCGTCACACGGTTCTAGCATGGACCTGAACTCGCAGACGATGAGAAGCGGTGCACGGCGCATGATTTCGACGCAATCATCTTCACCGAAATATTCGGTTGCGAGGTGTGTGAGGAATTGGTAATTGACCTCGAGGGAGTAGTGGTCAAGTCCGTGGATTCTCAGCTTGCGGAGACGAGGAGTCACGGATGTCAAGTTGATCACGAGCGGCCACATCTCTTCATCGTGCAACTCAAGATCCAATTCCGAAAGACCGCAACCATCCAGCGGCATCTCGCCACCACGTAGTCTTGCAAGGACTCCGGAAACCGTGGTGCAAACTTTCAAGGTCCTCCACCGGTCTGCGTATGCGTTGAGAACGTCAATGAACGGCAACAAAGCCTCTTCCGACTCATCAGGTACGGCTTCATTCGTCCCGATTGTTATGTGCAGGGGTCGATGGCCAGAACGCAACAGCCACTCTTCCAGAAGTTCCTTTCGTGCTATTGTGTCGCAGCCCTCGAACCAGAGGTCGAAGAAGATGACGTTCCAAAGGCGGGGCGTGGCCCAGACAATACGTCTCCATGTCCTACAAACAGCTCCAAGAATGAGGGGAGCAGACATTTCAAATTTGGTGTCTGGAGGCTTGTCCGGGAGACAGCACATTGCGAAGATGGCGCAGGCGATCTCGAGGGGAAGGTGGCGCACAAAGGGGTCGTGAGATTGGTTAACGTCTGAGAGCAAGTTTCGAAGTTGTTTTGAATGCTTCGGCTTTTGAGAGTCGATGTGGAGGGGATGACAGGCTGGACAGGGGGCGTTGTTCGCGAGCTTGCATTCTCTGGGAAGCAAATATGGCCTAGAATTGTTTGGTAGACTCGAGTTCATCGACGATGTATGGGATACAGCTTCAGCTTCCTACAAATTTCAACGTGTCATGCCGGAATCTTTCGCGGCGCAAGGGAATTCCGAGTTCACGCACCGTGCTGGTATGCATCGACGAAATGTGAGAAAACAAGTGAGAATAGCACTTCTTGGATGCTAATTTATATATCAGTGTATACGTCGAGTTTGAGCAACCTTTGGTAGGCGAATGAAACGTCGAGGCAGAAGTATTTAGGTGAAGCAGAGGATGGGGATCCGAAAGGTCAATCCGAAATCGTGTCACGGCAACGGCGGCCCGCCAATAGAAATCAGTTGAACTCTACACGTGACCTGCTCGCGACCACGCGTTGGAAACGAGCTCAACTCAAGTGACAAGTCTGTCTCTTACCACCATCTCCATATACACTGTATTCACGCTTAGCCGTCGGCTTCGACGACCAACGTTAACCAGTCGCTGTACTGCGATATGCGACGCGCACAGAGCACAAGACATTATCCTCGCCCTTCTCTAGCACTCGCGGCAGACGACCTAGGTGTCCTGCGGGAAGGGGATGAATCCGACCTGGACGTCTTGAGGCGGCAGCTGTTAGACAAAGATAGAGAATGCGATAAAGTGCGTTCCAAATACCCTTGTCTTGCGATATATCCCCCTCCTTTCCAGGCCACCGGCCTATAGAGAGTTTGACCTCGGACACAGGAACTGATGTCGACTCCCAGCTGCAAATGTCGATTCAGGCCCTGCAAGACCAGCTCGCACAGCGGCCGCCCATCGAACATGTGCAAGCATTAGAGCGGGAGTTCAAGAATCTGGAGCTACTTCTCCAAGGAACCCAAAGGGAGAACGAGAAGTGCATGGCCGATCTCGACAGGTGCGTTTTTTCTCGCCTCTCCGTCACCTAAACTTGTTACTTATTCATATATTACCCAGGTATAAACTGCGCGAAAAGACCCTCGAGCGCGAGCTAGCCCGTCTGGCAGGCGAGAACTGGCAGTCCAACCTCGAGGTGCCCCTGCCACCCTCAGGCACGATCCGGGGCATGCACCAGCGGTCCAACACGATCAACTCGCCCATCGTGGGTGGGGCCCGGCGCACACACTCGCCCTCGCCCTCACCGCGTGCAGATGCGTACCACCACCCAAATGCCTCCCCAGGAGCACGCCATACGCACAACGTGTCTCGATCATCTATCGTCCACAGCCCGACGCCTCCAGCGGTGATTGATGAGGAGCGGGAGGCGGCGAGGGAGGAAAGGGAGAGGGAGCGCCTTGCGCAGCTTGAGCAGATGAAGCTCTTGATTTTGGGCATGCAGCAGCGGTTGGAGATTCGGGAGGAGAAGCTCGTGAAGATGGTAGAGAAGGCGGAGAGTGAGGGCAGGAGGTTCGAGGGTGCCGCAGTCGAGCTGAAGGCACATGCGGCTTGAAGTGTGTTTTGTCTTACTGTGTTTCTTTCGTGTTTTAACCGCCCTCTAGGTCTATTATTGGATGGATATTCCTATTCGCGGACAGCCATTTTATGTTCATGGACGGCCTGATTTCACGGATTCACGCCAGGCTCATGATACCTACCACGGTGCCATTTTACGCTTTAACACGATTCACGACCCGACCATTGTATACCATGTACAGTATCCTATCTTTCCCTCAGCCTTTATATAACGTTCCGAAGCTGGACAGAGCGGGTGCCCCCTATTCAATGTTACGAAAGTAACTCGATCGCTGGCCCTGATATACCTCCCCCAAGCCGACTTTCCTTCCAACAACTCACTTACAGCAGACTTCAACGCAGTACGAGTGAGCCTCCGGACTTCACGGCCTAGAATTCGATCATACTGGCCTCAAAATTGCACACTAATCTAGTGGCTCAGGCTAGGAATACAACGCTTCCCGTCATTGCTGGATCCAACACCAGATGAGACCCTGAACGCTGCCGCGGTAAGACTCGAAGAGGTTCAGTAGCTATCAGCTTGTCTCAAGATACCTTTGTATGCGACTTATCGAAAGAGAAGAGAAACACGCGAATTGATGGGAAGGAGGGTTCTCCGATTTTTTCTTCTTTTGCGTTCCTTGATTTCTGGAGTAGTAGGATGGAGGATTCCTCTTCGACACCTTGTAAAAGAGGATCGCCGGTCTAGCTTGAACACGAACTGGTTTCCATTGTTCCAAGTTTCGACGCGTAGTGGCAAGTTGATCACGTGTATACTATGTGAATTCAACGCAACAACATTGACCTCGAATCACACCCTCAACTTGACCGCAGGTTGCCAACTGAGCTCCTCATTCGCCTCCTATTCCTCATTGACAACTTACTTATACACTTATATCGACAATTCTATCGGACAATGTCCCTTTCGTCTCGACATTTCTGCATCGGTCTTGAGATGGAACCTACTCGCGAGGTGGGTGGATTCCGAGTTGCTCAATGCGTGTAAAATTCAACATGACGCGTCAATCTTCCAGAAGAACGAAGCCATGCCTTCAGGACTGTTTTCGAAAGCGACGTCGCGTCAGCTCATTAGTTCCAGCCCATATTTACCTTCCAGAGAATGCAGGTTGGCCAACGACACACCGTGCCAACCCTGCCGTGCCCTCCAGCTCCATGTCGGCCCACAGTGCAACTCTATGGCTCATATCGAGGAACTTAGAACCTTACGCTCAGATGTCAACCAAGTACACGACCCCTTTGTTCGCCATCTTCCTCTCGAGATCGCCTGCGACATCTTCGCAATGTGCTGCCTTCCCGACCCCGACAAGCCTCCATATACCAAATTCGAAATGTCAGCTCCTCTCATGCTCGGAGCTGTCTGTAGGACATGGAGACGTACCGTCTGCGCCACACCCTGCCTTTGGAATGTCCTCTTCTTCGACCTATGGTTCGAGGGCTGTGACACCATCGCTCGAAAGGAACTTTTGGCAGAGTGGCTGCTGCGCTCAGGGCGCCTGCCACTGCATATAACGATCGGGACGAACAAAGTTATACCAGAAGTGGAGGAGGAGGCCTTGTTCCCACTTGTCGATGTCCTCAACGCATATGCAGACCGGTGGAGGACACTCAAAGCTTGTGCCGCGTTTCCCGGAGTCCTTGCACGCCTGCGAGGCGATCCAATCCCTTTGGGTGGCGAGGGTATTTTGGACCTCGACCTTGAGCTGCACGACGCCGACGAGATGTGGCCGCTCGTAATCAACTTGACGTCCATAACGCCCCACCTCCGCAAGCTGAGGGTTCACCTGGTCGAGATCGGTTCCCTCAAGATCAGCTACGACTTCCTAACACACCTCACAGCCGAATATCTCAATGAAGACGATTGCGCCGAAATCATGCGCTGCGCCCCACTTCTCATCGTCTGCAAGTTCAGGTTCATGCTCGAATCAGGCGGCTTTGAGGACGCACAACAACGCGTCGTCGTGTGTCATAACCTCCAGAAGTTGGTCATTGAGGAACATATTCACGCCCAGCTCGCCTCGTTCTTCCGGAGGATCCAGCTGCCGAGGTTAGAAGAACTCACGATCTCGACCTCTGACAGACGGGTACGCCATCAAATCCTCGACCTTGCCGCCTTCTTCGCACGGTCCCCGTGCCCTTTGGAAGCTCTTACGCTGGGCGATGTCGAGTCGGCAGCACAGGATATTCGGAAGATGCTGGCACAAGTGCCGACGCTGAAACGGTTGTCGCTCAGCGCAAGGCAAGAGAGCAACTGGTCAGTGGCCTACGCTCTATACTCACTTGCGGGTCGCTTCCAACCGGTCACCGTCGATGACCACTTGGAATTTTACGCTTCACTGGTGCCCCACCTCGAGTCGCTCACATGCAGTGCCAACCTCAAAACGTTTTCCTACGATATCCTCCCAAAAATGTTCGGCATAAAGGCTGGTCAGCATGGACATACCGAGATTCAAGCTTCACTCCGCAACCTTGTTTTGTTTCTCGACGACGACAAGATTGATGTTATGGACCGCGACACGCTTCTGCGCTGCCTGCGTCTATGCCGTGCCGGGGTCAGGATCGAGATTAATCCTGATGTCCTCCTCGATTCTGCGTTACACCACAATATCTCAATGGACTCGGACTCGATACTACCTTCTATCTGACCATTGGAGTCGAGCTTATACTAAGTACTGAGATGTGCATCTTGTCTTCCTTTGCTGTCGAACTATAATATGTTTGTAATCGTGTCGTGCAATTGACTTTTATTGTGAACCAAATTCAGGTGCTCGACCAGGCAGCTCCTCCACCTTGAACGTTGTCGCAGTCTGCTATAGAGGTCATTTTCGCGAGTAATATATTCTCAGGCTGTCTGCGGTCTCAGGCTCCTTGATTTCTGGACTAGCAAGAGGCGAATTTAGCACTCGCCAATGCTGGCTCGCAATATGGTTATTTTCCCTGTCGAATGACAATGGAATTTAAGATCTACTCTACAGTCTTGTCTATTGCGCCATATCAAATGATATACGAAATACAATGTGCGTAACAGGGTGTATACTAGTCCGAGGGTAGGTACAAAGATTCAAGCAAAATATGGCTACAAAAAGTGTTTCTGCTGAAGGGTATATATAACGCGGAGCAGAGTATATATCAACCTCTCGGCTCCAATAAAGGGGTAAGGATACAACAGTTGGTGAAAGAGCGTGGAGTGGACATTGGACAGATGGAAGACAGAAAATAGGTGATGCAGGCAAAACACGAAAGCAATAAAAATGATCAAAGTGTTAATTAGTTAGATGAAGGCGAAGGAAGATGAAGAGGAGGCACTAAAAACACAATCCTGTAGCGTATCAGTATCATGATGCTCTTCTATACTTTTAGCAAACCAAAAAGCCGGACCGAACCGAGAGAAATTTAGAAATCCGCTGGTAATTGCGGTCGTCGTTTGTTGCGAAGAAAGATCCAAACTGGGCAGAGATAGACCGGCTTCAGGAGCATGTGGCATGACCGCACTCGAGGCCCAAGGGGACACTCGTCGAGGGGTGGTGTAGCTATAGCTTACCACACCCCCATTTCGCGCTCGCTCCGCAGATGAGACACCGTCATCGCCGTGCTCGCGTCGAGTGGCCGCGCATCGTGCTGCTGTCGTCCAAGTACGCCAGCCTCCTCGTCGTCGTACCGGTCCAGCGCGAGCACGCGTTCCTCGTCGCCCATCATCCACACGCGGGCGTGGATGCGGAACACTCGCGTCTCGCGCTTCGCGAAGAGACGCGTCGGGATTGGGATCCAGATGCGGAGGTACCACCCCTGTGCGCGCGCGTAGAGGAAGTTGTACGCGGAGAAGGTGGGGGTACTTGCCGTCCTCGAGCTCGAGCTCAGACCAGCTGCGCTCGCACGCGTGCCTGAGCTGACGATACCCGAGCTCGTGCCGGGGAAGGAGAACGTCGACGTCGGTGGAGAAGAAGAGGGAGAAGAAGATGGTGAGGTCGACTGCCGAGGGCTACGAAGGCCGCCTCCAACCCCACCGGCCCCACCACCCCCAGTGCCATGGCTACTCGCGCTTCGGCCTGTGCTGATCGAAACACCCTCGACGCCCGGCCGCGCATACGCCCGTATCCACCTGCCCTCAACGGTGATGCCCTCAGGCGACTTGGTCATAAGCCGGTACGCGGTGTCCTCGATGAGGTCGTCTTTCGTCGTCCCGGTCTTGCCCCCGAGGAAGGTCGTGCTGTACTCGCCGTCGCGGTTGTATGACGCCGTGCGTGGGGATATGGGGTGGTCGTCGCACCTGATGTCGATGAGGGAGACGTCGGGTGTTGAGAGCGGCTGCCCGGTCCAGGCCAAAGAACCCTTCGGCGAGATGTAAAGCAACGCCGAGAAGAAGAGGCACTCGCTGGAAGGAGTAAGGAATGAAGGAAGGTTAGTCAGGAACAATAGAGTAGGTTACGGAAGAGGAAGAGGAAGAACACGCACTGGTCGTCCATGTCCCACACCTCAAAGTGTGACGTATGCGGGAACAGAATCGCGAGCTCACAGTCGGACGCGCCGAGGTGTGTCGTACCAAGCGAGTCTGACGTGCTGGCCATTGTGGCGTACCGCCGACCGGATGGGAGGGTCGGCGCTAATGAGGAGGTTCGGAGATAGGACGTTCGCGAAAGGATGTCGTCTTCCAACGGGTGTGGTGTGTTTTGGCAAAGTGTTCGTAGAGGTAAAGGTGGGGGCAGATCATTTGGAGGAGTAGGACTTTGTGTACACGGAGACGGAGACAGAGACGCTGATGTGTGGGCGGCTGAAACGGGTATTGGGATACGGGACGGGTGCAGGGGTTGACTCGATGATCTCGTTGTGCTGGATGGGGCGGTGTTCGTGCTTGGATAGACGACGTGTCGATTCAGGATACTGCTCGCTGTGATTCGACCCTTCGGCCCCGTCGCGCCCCTCGCCTTCTTCACGCCCATATTCTCAATCACCACGTTCGTTCGCAACCTCGGGAACGGGATATCGCTCTCCAGCTCTGCGAGCGCGTCATCGTCGATAGGCGTCGAGAAGGGTGGAGCTGCCTGTAGTGGAGGTGGTAATGGTATGGAAGAAACGTTTTGCCCTGATATCACTGTCGCAGTTGAGCTGTTGTTGTTCGATTCCGGAATGATATCAGCACCAGTGGCAGTGGAGGGCCCACGCTCGGGGCTGTCGGGCGGGCTCGGGATGGAGGGTAGTGATTCCATATCCCAGACCAGGAGTTCATCCAGGACGTCAATAGATAAATTATTCGATAAGGTAGAGGTGGGCGCAGCGTTCGTGTGAGTCACGATTCTAGATGCAAGACCGCCGTGGCCTACATTGAGGATTGCTGGCGCGGTCACTATGTCGAGGACTGCGAATCTGTCACCCTTGAAAGCAGCAGGACGAGACGAACCGCGTCTTCCTGACTTCCTGGGTCCCTTGACGTTGACTTTCGTGCACGGTCTGGGTAGACCAGAGACGTTGGCGGAAAAGGAGGGTTTGAGCGGGTGGGTGGATTTGTTTTCCTGTTTTTGCCTCGAAGCAGAGATGGCGCCGGCGCTCGGGGTGGCAGGGATGGGGTTCACAGCCTGGGTACAGTCCACATACGTGGTGTGTTTCGCCTTGGTTGGGAGTCGGTTATGGGCGGTCTCATACGAGGAGAAGAGGGCGGTTCGTTGGCGGAGGACACGTTTCGTTTCATGGTCATTTTCGTTGGTAGAAAAGGCAGAGTCGGTCGAGCGCTTGCGCCGTAGTCCAGAGGTCGGTTTAGCCGGTAATGAGAGACCCGGTCGAGGAGAGGATGGAGGAGCGGACGTTGCAGCACCTTCCCTCCGATATCTTGGTAGGGATCCGTGACCCACAGCGCGGGTCAGATACACCTCCGATCCGTTCTCGGAAGCCATGATGGGCGTGTGATAAGGCGAAATATCGCTCGAAGGCGGTGTTAGAGTTACAAGGCAGCAAAGTACGAATGAGTGGACGGCTGAATGTGTCCAGCAAGACAATGAGATTCTGAAAGGAAGGAAATTCAGCGACCAGCCACTGGGAGAGAGGGTTGCAACAGAGGGTTGAAGGGGCTCAAAATGGGAAACTCAAGAGAAAAACAATGCTCTTATGACGCCAGCGGTGGAAGGGTGGCACAATAAACAAGCCGACCTCGAGGCGAAAAACCAAGCAAGTCAACGACACCTTTCAGGGCTTTTCCCTTTTTGTGCCATTTCAGCCGCCAAAGACTTCCGTTGTGTGTTAGAGAGGCCATATTCCAACAAATGCTATATTTGTCTTGGGGCGTGGAGGCCTGAGTAATCAAGACGTCAATGGACACCAGGAGCTTTATTGCAGGGATTTCACGAGGTTTCCATGTTTCATCGAAGTACCAGAGTTACTGTTGGGGATGGGGAATCAGGCGTCGGAGGAGAAAACAGGCATCGGACTTCGGTAAATCGGAGGAAAACCTGATGCGGCGTGACATGTCACCGAGAGTCACGTGTGTCGGTTGTGGTGTGCTGTTTGGCAAGGCTTTCATGTTCACTGACTTCTGGTGAATCTGGTCCTGACCGCTGCGCTTCTGCCACCTCTACCATTCAATCCAAATCGTCTCTAACTCAACCCTATTCTCCACCAGCTTTTATAAGTCCCCATGTGTTCAACTGTTCAACGAGACGATCATCCACCCCGAATTTGTATCCAGCCTCGATGCCTCCGCACGACAGGCAACAAGGACTCAAGGTAGGCTTCAGATGCGGTGTGCCCAATCCGTTGCTTTCTCCCGTTGTTTCAATGAATGCATCACAGAGTTGTATATATGGTCGAAGGGCTTCCAATCTTCCTCTCGAGATGGCGGGCGGAAGGATGCGATGATTACCTTTTCGGACTTATGCCCTTCTCACCGGTCGCCAAGCGGACCATTCGTTGGCAATGTGGAAACTTCATGCACCACGGCTCATTGCGCGATCCAACCTCGTCATCGTACCGCAAAGCTTCAGGCCATCGCGTCGTTGAGCGATTCTTCCATGCATCTAACCGGTAAACATCATCTCGCGTCCTGCTCTGATGTCGCTCCCTCGCCAATCGGGAAATTTTATCCGTCTCGGGGTGCTCCAGACTCTTTTTTTTTTTTTTACAATTCTGTTGCCCTCTGTTTCCCATTTCTAGGTCGGGTTTAGCCGTGCGGCAGTCGACTAACACGTTCTTACTCACAAACGAGTCTTGTTGATCATCTAGTCAGACTGGACTTGTACTCATTCATCTCCTTAACGACGCAGAGACAATCGAGCACCCACATTATTTCTGGTCGTCGCTCATGCGTGCCCGGCTCCACCGTTCTCCATTATGTATTACTGAATGGCACAGGCCTGCATGTCAGTGGTTTCCCAGTGCTTGGTTCTCAATCACGGTGCGTTGGATTAGGGGTCCTCGTGATGAATTTCCAAAGATCACAGAACCCCGCCCATTTGGAGCATTTGGGAGCCGCTCGCGATGGAAAAAGTCTTGGCTTCACCTAACCCAGTTATTTTCTGATATTTGTCGTCATCTCGACGGTGTTTTGTGCAACCTTCATTCCCGAACGAGGCCTAACGAGACGTCGAGACCCCCTCGCGCTGCGGCCCTCGCACGAGTATAAAAGAGAGGCATAGCATGAGGAGCCGTTTCTTCACCTCTTCTCGAATTCCGGCCTGGCATCGTCGTTTTCCCTGACCTGGTGTCTTTTCTGAGTCGACCTCTTCGTCCCCTTCGTTCCATCCTACATTCTTTCCTATTTCCAACTCTTTTTTGGGCATCTTGAGGATTTTCTCCAATGGCGCGTTTACTTTCCCTCCTTTCTCTCCTTGTGGTTGCTTTTGCTTCCAGCAGCAGCGCTGGTGAGTTATTCTTTTTCCCCTCTATACGAGCGAACTAAAATTTTATTTTTTGCAGCACCCCTCAATGTGCGAAGTAACCGCGGGAATGCCGTAATCGTTACTGGTGTTTCTGGCAACAACGTCTGCGTGCGCGCCCAGCGACAAGTCAACGCCCTGGTGCAACAAACCAACCGCGCTCTGCTGAGAGTAGCCAACGCGGCCCCCAAGTACGTTCCGACGTCAATCTTTCTTCTTCGTCCCTGATTGTCTTTCTCCGATTTATCAGCGATGAGGCACTCCTTACGGCCCTCGGTAGCGTTCAAAACGGACTGCGGGAGTCCCTGACGGGCATCAGCAACATCACTACCGCGCTCTCGCAAGGCGTCGCCCCGAGTGCTGACCAGGTGAACCTAGTCACCACGGGTCTTGCTGCTGCCAAGGAGGCTCTTGGTACTGCGCAGACGTGAGTGCCTAAAATATTACCCTGTATGGAAAGATGGACTGACTGACCCCGGTCACAGCGCCGACGCCCGCGTTGTGCGTCTCCTCCAGAATGTCGCGACCAACCTGGAGCGCGCGACCCAGGCGGGCGAGATCGTCCCCGCTGCGTGCGCTGGTGCAGAGAATACGGCGACTGCTACTGAGTCGGTTTCGGAGACGGCCACTGCGACGGAGACGGCGACAGAGACTGCAACAGAGACTGCCAGTGCAACAGAGTCGGTCTCGGAGACAGCGACTGCTACGGAGGCTACGGAGACTGCGTCGGCTACCGAGTCGGTGTCTGAGACCGCCACTGCCACGGAGACTGCGTCTGCCACCGAGGCCACCGCCACCGAGACCGCGTCGGCGACGGAATCCGCTGTTGAGACAACTACGACTGCCGAGGCTGAGCAGAACACCGCTACGGAGAGCGCTGCGTCTTCGACGACCGAGAGTGCTGCTGAGGCCACGGCTACCGAGAGTGCTTCGGCCACTGAGACCGCTGTTGAATCGACCGCTACCGCCACTGAGACTGCCACTGAGACCGCTGTTGAGTCGGCGTGCCCAACTGCTGAGACTGTCGTATGTCCCTCTTCCGCTTCGGCTGTCATGAACTGTCTTCTCATCTGGCATTTTACTTCAGACCGTCACCCAAGCTACTGCTACCGTAACCGTCACAGCTACCGCCAGCGCCACTGCCACTGCCAACCGCGGCAACAACAGGATCAACCGCAATGGCAGGAACAGGCAGCAGCAGACCGACGACGATGAGGACGACACCACCACCGCTGGCCAGAGGCAGCGGGGCCAGCAGAGGCAGGGCAACAACAGGCAGCAACAGCAGCAGCAGCAGACCGACGACCAGGCCGATGATCAGACCGGTGCTGGCGACTCTGCCCCCGGAACCGAGGATGACCTCCCCACTGTTAACCGCCGTGCCGCGTTCTCCAGGCTCTTCCGCCGCCTGCTGTAAAACGTTGTTGATTGGCTTAGGTATGCCTTCTACGATCTCTCTTCCCAACTCACAGTTGACCCATTCGCCTCTTAGGGAGACCGCCTTTCTCATTGATGCTTCACAAGATACCATCGCGGAGGCGCTCGATGCGTCATTATTCCGTGATATTTTTCTCTGCATGACTAGAAGAACTCTTGTGTATTTTCTTGGTTGGATTTAGTCTGCCTATTGGAATGAGGGGGAGCGTCGGGAGGGGGACTTAATTAGTCTTGCACACAGACATACAACTTTGCCAGTGTTTCTCTCCGTCGGTACTTTATCGAGAATATAGTGGACACTCCTTTTCACTCTTTGGGGTTTTCTTCTCTTTTTTTTGCTTTGCTGTGTGTGCCGTGCCGTTGTGAAGCCTTCAGTGTCGACTTGCGATGTTGGAGCCGAGATCCGTGAGGAAGAGCCCCTATCTGGGTCCGGACCGCCCGTGATTACCAAGCAGCTCCAAACAGAGATTGTACCCCGCAACTCCTGGACCGCTACCACCACTACCACTGCCCTTCTCCACTTCCATCCATTCTAAAAGCTTATCCTTCTGCCGCCAATAACCCCCGGTGGTGTCTCCAGTTCTTTGGCAACCAAAACCCTCCGAACTGCATAGACGTCATCACTTCACCCCGCAAACAGGATGGACGAGACGGGCATGTTTTCGACGGACAAGCTCGGCGAGTACACTGTTATTGGTGATATCGCAGAGGGTACATTTGGAAAAGTGAAGAGTACGTACCTATCTATCGAAATCCGTGGAGTTCTCATTGTTTTGGTAGTGGCGACACATACGATAACGGGACACAAGGTCGCCATGAAATACATCTCCAAAGCCGTCATCCAGCGCGAAAAGACGAAGACTCGTGTCCGTCGTGAATTCGAATACATGCGCACCCTTCGGCATCCACATATAATCAAATTGTACGCTTCTTCCTCCCTTATCGTATTCCTCCTCCTGACGGCATACCTTCCCCAGATACGAGGTCATCTCAACGCCCACTGACATCATCTTCGTGCTCGAATACGCTGGGGGCGAGCTCTTCAACTACATCGTCGCCAACGGTCGGATGTCTGAGCCGCGCGCACGTCGCTTCTTCCAGCAGATCATCTCGGGCATCGAATACTCTCACCGCCTCAAGATCGTGCACCGCGACCTCAAGCCAGAGAACGTCCTTCTCGACGACGACCTCAATGTCAAGATCGCGGACTTTGGGCTGTCGAATGAGATCAGCGATGGGGACTTCCTGACAACGAGCTGTGGGAGCCCGAACTATGCTGCGCCTGAGGTGATTAGAGGAGGCGTGTATGCGGGCCCGGAGATCGATGTATGGAGCTCGGGGGTGATTTTGTATGTCATGCTTTGTGGGAGGCTGCCGTTCGAAGACGATGACGTGCAAGTGTTGTTTGCGAAGATCAGTCGTGAGTGCTTTGGTAACTATGATTTCGACGGACGTCTGACGATCTGTGCAGAGGGCAATTTCCACATGCCTTCGTATCTATCGCAGGATGCACGGTCACTCATCACGGCGATGCTCGCCGTCGACCCCGTCAAGCGCATAACGATCCCGGAAATCACGCAACACCCGTTCTTCACGACTGATTTACCGCGGTATCTAACACCACTTCCTCCACCTCCTGGACCTGTCTTAGGTACTCTCAGTTCTCTGGTGTCGCCGCCAAAGCAACTAGATTTCGAGCTCATAGAGGGGCTGGGCCGGATCGAGGAGGATGTTGTAGATGAACTGGCCAATCGCATGATTGGGGTGGATAAGGACGATATTTGGGAGTGCTTGAGGCGGGACGATGGTGTGCAGGGCAACGCGGTGAAGGTGGCGTACATGCTGCTGAGGGACAAGCGGAGGTTGGGAAAAGATCGTAGGTGGTCTGTTCCCTTTCGCTGCGAGGGTGCTGATCTCTTGCAGTTGCAGAGTTCGCAGAGGCAGAACGAGATGCACAACTTGCTGCGATGGATGTGGGTCTCTATCCCGATTTCGAGATTCTGGCACTAATCCTTTTGCTGACAGCCGCGAAACGCCATGTCACCCACTGTCCTCTCACCCGTCGGTGCCGACCTAGAAGAAAACCCCTTCGAAGCCGAGTTCAACGCCGAGTATGACGATGACGAATCACCGGAAGATGACGAGCTCGACTTCATCTCTCCACCTCCACCGACCAACCCGGAAGACTACGCCCCACCACAATTCGCTGTCCTCAACTCCTCCCTCCCCGAACAACTGCCTGAACAACACCACCTTACGTCTTATGCCTCAGCGAAGAGATCTGCGGGCCGAGAGAAGAAGCAGCACAAGACGAAGTGGCATTTCGGAATCAGGAGTCGGAGCCCGCCGATGGAGGTGATGCTGGAGATCTATAGGACGCTGAGGACGCTAGGGATGGAGTGGAAGGAAAAGAAGAATTTGGGTGGGTTGGGTGGGTTGAAGGCGAAAGGACAGGGAGGGAGAATCGAGAGGAATAGGGATATGGATGGGAGTGGGGGTGTTGACTTGAAGGCTGCGTCGAGCATTTATTTCGTGGAAACGAGGGCAAGGGTGCAGGATGTCGTGGTATGTTTTCTTTTCTCCTTCCTTGCCCCCTGCTCATTTGCTGACCTGCAACGTTGGCTAGGTCTTGATGAACCTCCAACTCTACATGGTCGACTCGATCAACTACCTCGTCGACTTCCACCACAAGAAGACCTACAGGGCATCGACGGACCCGAATGCTGGCAAGTTCGACATGGCCGTGTTCGATCCCATCTTCACGGCCAGCGAGACCAGCAGCGAGAGCGGGCGGTCGCTGAAGGAGAAGGATGGCTCGATGATGAAAGAGGACGAGGTGGTCTCGCCGTTTGTGTTCATGGATGTTGCTTGTCGGTTGATTTTAGAGCTGGCGGGTGGGGGTGAGTAGATGGGGAGAGGATGTTGTTTTTCATGTTGTGTTTTTCGCTTTATTTTTCGTTTTTTCTTGCTTTCGCTGATCCACCCTACGCCCCAATCCTCCGCTGTTTTCTTCTCCCAGTGTTTTCTTGCTTGTAGCTATCATGATACTCCCGACTCACCCCTCTTTCTCAGAAGCACATCTACCTTTGATCTTGTACTCATGCCTTCTGCCCGTCGCCTCTGGTGTCAAAAGCAAAATCAACCTTCATCTAGATGTCTTCTATAGCTGTTGTAGTTCTCTGTATCTTATCTATCTGCATTTCCGATACCCTGGAACCTCACCTTCGCATGAACGAAATCTTGTTGTCTGGATGAATAAGCGGAGCACCGGGCCGCTCTAGTTGTGAAACACCCAAACACCGCTCCTTTCTCCCAATTCACGACAACCTCCAGATCACGTCAACCAACACAGTCGATGTCTAACCCAAATATCGCGACAGAGCAGCTTCTTGAGCTGTTGCTAACGCTCAAGGTAGGTTCTGCTTGCTTGCTTTTGGGATGCTCGAGGTGATACGAACATGCAACAAAAGTGAATGCTGATTCGATTGTCAGAAAACAACGCCGGCGGCGGCGCGTGGCATCCTCAACAACCAACCCGCCATCGCGTATGCATTGATAACGCTCATGGTGCAGATGAATGCCATTAATATTGAGGTCTTCCAGGTACGTTTTCTATCGTCACCTTAACACGAAGTTATCCATCCTAACTAGTACTCGTCCTCGACACAGAAAACATTAGCAGAATACGTCCCCGACCCTTCAACAGCCCCGGTCGGCGCATCCTCAGCAGCAGTACCGCACCCCTCATCCTCATCAACAAGCGCCTCAGCCCCAGTCGTATCCCATCTCCTCCCACCACCCGCCGCTCCAGCGCCGATATCCGCGATCCCACCACATGTCCAGGCGCAGTATCGTACCACGACGCCACCATCCGCACCTGGGTCTGCACCTGGTGCTCCTACGCACACCCCGACACCGCCATATGGGTATTCGAATGGGCAGGCGCAGGGTCATGCACCGACGCCGCCGGGGTATGGGTATGGGTATGGGCAGCAGCCGCAGCATGGAGCGTATGGAGGTGGGGGGTACCAGCAGCACCAGTATCAGCAAGGAGGATATGGAGGATACCCACCGTCGTCGACGTATGGTGGCCAACCTCAGCCACCGGCGGCTCCATCTACAGGGTCAACGCCTTCGCTGCCAGATTCGCTGGCTAATATTCCAGCGGAGCAAAAGGTGAGCATTCTAGTCTCTGCATGCCCCGATTTCGCCTTTTCGCCTTTCGTTTTTGACTTTTTCCCTTGAATATATGCGCCTTTGACGTTTTCCTTTGACTTTTTCCTTTTTCAACTGCTCCCCTTTTCGTATACTATTGCTAATTGCGTCTGCAGGCTCTTATTATGCGTGTCCTCTCACTGACGCCTGAGCAAATCAACATGCTACCTCCTTCAGAACGGGCTACCTATATCCAAATCGTACGTCGCGTCCTTTTGTTAGCTCCCGTCTGACCGATCTGACACAACCTCCTCTTCAAGAGGGCAACGCTGGGCGTACCAACATGATGGGTGATACGAGGTTATGGCCTCGCGAGAAGATTTCGGTGGTTGGGATCTAGATGTCTTGCTATGTATTTCGTTCCGCTCTTCGCTGAATATACCGCTGAATACGTTTTGGGGCTTAATCCGGCTGGTGGTGAACCTGGTCATGTGCCGGCTTCATTCCTTTAGCATCCCTGCTCTGCATATAAAGGTAAGAGTATTAATCGAAAGATCATCATCTTAGTTTCAGCCGATTAAATTTCCTGAATCCTCGGTGACCCAGTTCATGCTCAATGTATATTTTAGTGTGCGTGGAGGTGGGATCAAGCCGCTCACCTCGCCAACAGCCATGGGCTGTGCGCGTGCACGCCTTTGAGCGCCCTAATCTGCGGGGCTGACAAGTAGGCGATGGCGTTGGGCTTTCGTCGTCATTTACTGAGATGTGGGTTCTGGATTAAGCCTGACTTAACGAGGTCTTGACCAGGATTTGGACCGAGGATGTTGAGTTTTTGAGATGGCCAATGTTGATCTCAACACATCAAAACATTTAGCTGGCAGACGGATTATAGAATGGTTGTGCAAACCATCAGGAAGTAGCTATACGGGACTTTCGCTCAGGGCCTCTCTCGCGCGAGAGAAATACGTTGCTCGCAATTTAGTTCAGAAATATCTTCAGGCACAGTTGGTTCGTAAGGCATGAGGAAGTCTGCAGAGGTCGTGCGGGAGGAGATGGTACAATGAGAAATGTGATTCTGGGAGCTTCGGAATACCGTAAAATCTATTATGTATTCATGTAGCTTCCCTGTCATCATTTGACGTCGCAGCAGGGCCCCAGCAGGTCAGCTGCGGAAAGGGTGTCAGACGGCCATGTTGGTCGTGCGGAGAAGCTCAACAGTTGCAGTCGGCTGGGTGTGAAAATTGTTGGAGGCAGGGGACCTTAGAATAGACCTTTAATCTTTAATTTTCGTTCCGCTTGGGCCTACTTGAATATCTTCACAGAAAACCATACGACCCTCGTGATGGCATAAAATTGCTACAATGATCCAGACAACTGGAAGTAAACGAGAAAGTAACATGTTTTCAGTGTGCAGAGCATCAAACCCGGACTCTCAAAATAGATGCATGGGCACCTGTACTAGGTAAGCGTGTCCAAAACGTGTAGAACCAAGAACTCGTTGTGGGGCACGCACCAAGACTATTGAATTGGCCAAGGATACATGCGATTCGTATCGCTCCGAGATGAAATAGATGTCTGAGAGAAGTCACACCCAGTTTTCCGAATAGGCGCTCGTGCGGAGGGATCAAGACCGGCGATGCAGGTTAAATTTCTCCAGCGCTACGCAGCCAATTGATAAGAAAATTGGGGGGAGGAATTAAATGTACTGCTACTAGGCTGTACAGAAGGAAAATGTCCTGAATGTGGCCACAATCGAAGGTGACCGACTATCCGATGTATTTTTGCACTCGGGACGCCATACATCCTTCTACCTCGAAATTATTGCGACAGGTTCTTACATCTGTCACAAGATCCATTACGAAGCCGATATACACAACATTGGTATTTCCGGGGACTCCTGCAGGACTGACAAAGAGATACAGCGACCTCGCCACACGGAAAATTACTTATTTGGGAAATAGCGCCTGCAACATTCTCGGCGTCCACAAAAGGAAATGCGTATAGCGATTGGAGGGTGGCGGGGTGAGAATATTCGAAATTTCACTGAGGATCGTAGGGACAATCTCATTTCTGAATTTATTTGTACTTTATGTAAGTGACAATTGTATGCGCCAATGCCCCGGCGTCGTGGAAGTTACCAGATTCGAACTTCGAAGTCCTTCACGTTCCATCAGGTCTCTTTCACGACATCCTCGTGATGAACATTCTGAGAGGCTAGAGCGGACAAGGTTCGAACGTTTGCACCCTGGAAACCAATTCTTTCCTCTCTTGCCCCAGGGCCCCAACCTTCTGGGATGCATCACGAGCAGCAACACGTACCACCCGCAGCATAGCTGGGAACATGCCTGCTCTAAATTAAACCCTAAAGCCTCACTGGTACCATGTTGTCTGGACAAGCCGCGACTCATAAGCATCGCGCCATCCTCCTAACTCGAACAAGGACTTATGTTATCACTTTTTTCATTCCTGGGCAGGCTTCGCCAGAGCATCAGGTACGTGCTATTACTGGTAGCATAAATCCGTGTTCTCCATCGTTGACTTTTTATCTCTGTAGCGGAGTCGATGAACCGCCACGACCCCAGCCAGATGAGAGTGTCGATGAACCGCCGCGCCTCACAGCAGATGGGCTGATTCGACCGCAAACTATCGACTCCGAATCCTCAGTTCCGGACGCCCGGCCCCATTCACCTTCGACCGTCGTTCTAGTAACGTTGAATGCCCCAGAAGTTTCTTCGTACCCGCCGCCCGTCGATTCCATCCCAACTACCGACCCCGAATCCTCAGGACAAGACGTCTCCTGGTCGCCTTCACCTTCCATTCTCGCTTTTCCAACGCCAAATGCTTCAGTAATCTCTTTAGCGGCACCGTCCGTCCCTTCCGGATCCGTCGCCATTAATCCTCGAGACTGGCCGGAGGTGTTCGTCGATGCATCCGGCAGCGGCATCGGTATCATCTTGAACAAGCGATGGCTTGCGTGGACCTTCACCCCGAACCACCCCCTAATCCCTTTAGGACGCAACAACAGCGTTGTCTCGTCCTGGTCGGAGCTCATAGCTGTAGAGCTTGGGTTGTTGACCATCCTTGCTGCCGGGTACAGGGATATAACGATCAAGCTCAAGTCAGACAACAGGGGTGTGATCAAGGCAATCGCGAAGAAGCGCTGGAGCCCAAGGCATGAGTTAGACGTTATCCTGCAGCGGATCCTCTCTCTTTCTGAGGACAATGGGCTCACGTTGAAGGTGGGCTGGATTTTGGGACTGAGGAACCCAGCAGACAAACCCTCACGAGGTAAATACCCACCGCGTGAAATGATGCTGGATTGTTGTCCCGATGTTCCTCATTACTTGGATGGTATGATACAGCCAGTCGATCCATCTAGCCTACGGAATTGACGTTCATTTTAACTTCTTTTCTTGAAAACTGTTGACTCTTCTCGATTTACGTTTTCTTTTTTCACGGTTGATCAGCGGTCTCGTAAGAGGTAGAGACCTGTTCTCTTGACGGAATGTAAGTACGCCTGCAGTATCTAGCAAACTTTTGTTGTGATTACAAGAATAAAGTGTTTCCTTCTTATTTGGATCAGCTTATGGCTGCGATTTAATCCTGGATGCCATGTGGCGAGGAAGGCAGATACCTACCCTCGTCTGGGCCTCGAGCGCGTCAACGAGAATGTAATGAGAACGGCGCCATAGCCTGCGGAGACTTACTCGTCATAAACGAAGAGAATTTCGTCGAGACGAGGATTTAGTTGCAGGCAGAAAAGGGTGAGGCCGATGGTGGAATAGCTCTTTCCACTGGCTTCCTGGACGTTCTTGCATTCCTACCACGAGTGCTTAGGCGCTTAAAACGTCGTGGGCGCGTGGCCTGATCGTGGAAATAGATTGGATAATCGGCAACTCGGCGTAACCCATCGAGCATCGCTGTTGCAACTTCGACGGTGACAAGGACGATGGCTGCGAGGATATGCCCACTATCCGACAAGACACCTCACACAGCGGCATGGACAAGGAACACCAGAAGTACTACTACCCGCCATGACCGCAGCGAATTCGACGGGCAGTGTAACACAGGAGCTAGGAGGCAGACGTCGATCAACTCCACCTGCTCGCTTGACTCCTCTTCGATGAAAACAACTGCTCGAATACGCTGAGACGCACGGACGCCAACGCCGGGGTATGGCCGCAGGCACGGGCAACAACAGCGACCTTTGTAAGGCTTGGAGGATATGGACGGTACCTGCAGCCTCAACACCACTCTCGGCAGTGTACGCCACCGTCGGCATATCCCTACCAACGACAACATTAACAGCGGGCTCGATATCTTTGGCACCTGCTGCTGGATTTAATTGGCCTGTACCCTCACGGAGCAAAAGGTGAGCATTCTTTCGATCTTTTATGCGTGCTCTTCCATGTTTCGCTTTCGTATGTTTCGCTTTCGTCCGTGTTCGTCTCCTAGGCCCTTTCTCCCTGTTTCGCCTTTCGTGAACGGTTGCCAATCCTGCCCGTAGGCTCTTATTATGCCCTTGCTCTCGATGACGGCGGAGCAAAGCAACATGCTGGCTCCTTCAGAATAAGCAACCTTCATCCAAATTGCACGTCCTGTTCTTTGTCTCGTTTCCCGTCTGACCCATCTGTCATTGACTGTTCTTCCAGAGGACCACGCTGGGTGTGCCAACATGATAGATATGCTATGGAGTCGTTGGAAGGGTTAGAGGGTTCGGTCCGTCGCTTGGGGTCTGGATATTTCTCTACGTATTTCCCTACCCTCTTATGAAATCCCTCACTAAATATCTTGACCATGTTCGTTCCATCGCAAATGCTCCAACATAAGCATGAAACTCGAAAATTGAATGCATATACAAGCGGCACATGTGCCTATCATACAAACAATATACAAGGTCCTAGCATATCCATTCTCCTCTTCACCGTTCTTTCTTCCTTCGTCTCCCAACTCGCCTACCCAACAGAGATCAAATAAACCAAGAACAACGCTCCAAGGGCACAGTAGTTCACCAAGCCCTCGCCATACGTCGCCGCCAAAAAGATCGTCAGCGCAATCGTCAGTTTCGCGATGCGCCGGAGGAAGGAGGGGCCTTCGCGGGGGCCTTCGTAGGCAACCTGGTAATAGCACAAGGGAAACTATCAGGAAAGCCATGAAGGACATCGAAAAATGGACACACCCAGTTCGCCCCCCGCCTTTCGAACGTTATCATTCTGTTGTCGCCCTTGAAAAGGCTGGGGGGTTTACAGAAGGTGAGTCGCCGTTGTGTATTTTCAAGCATCGAAAGACTCACTCAAGCGACATGTCTGCTTAGCGTATTGTTCAGTGCAGGCTCGCGGTGCCACGATGCTGGATGGATGTCGGTGAACGAAAGGATATCGAGCGCGAGTTCGCCGACGCCGTGCAGAAGGTATCAGAAGCCCGCAGGCGACAACGAGGCGAGATGAAAGGGATGCAGATAAAGGGCAGTCAGCCACCCTCGTCGAACCTCCCTTATTCTAGCCGTCCAGACCCTTTTCTACTGTAACACGTAAGTGGCGACTATGGCGACATGCTTGCTTTTCATTTGATTCTTGTGAACAAAGAGCAGAGAGAATGGAAGGGGGTTTGTGACGCGTTTTAACTTTGAGCAGGAAAGAACAAAAGCAGTGGAGACCATGTACAAGGAGCACCGACGCGGCCCTGCAGTGACAAATGACTGTGGGATCACCCTTCAGAATATTAGAGGTTATTTGCACTTCGAATATTCCTAGAATCGCCCAAATCGCATTGGCTGAAGGAGGCCCCAAGCCAATCAGATTCACGGATTTGTGGAGCCCTCAGAAGTGCAAATTGCTTCGACCGACCGCTTCACTTTTTTGGAGTGCCCAGCCATTTCGCGAAGTTTATGTTGTTTTGACGAACACAAGAGACTTCAGAATGTGGGCCCTTCGAACGTGTTCGTGTTCTATGGCGTGTCCTCATGTTCCGATGAGGCACAGATAAGATGATGCTTTGGCGGTGCTCGCGTCCACCTTATCGCTGGGTCGCGTTCACTCGTTCGGGGCATGTTAGTATATCACACGAGCAGTCTAGAGTCGAGTTGAGCATAAAGTCCCTATGACGAAAAGAGACTAAGTAGTATAAGTTTTCAATCTAATGAGACGGGCATAAGTGTTGTTCGTTCGTTCGAATCCTATATTTCCCTAATCGTTCCCTAATCCAACGTTAATCTCTCTACCAACCTCGTGTAGTACAAGCCCCACTGGTTTTCAGGCTCCTCCGGCAACGCAGGCGCGAAGTAGGGCATGCTGTGGCGCGCCAACCTCGCTGCACGGTCCGAGATGTAAAAATACATCGCGAGCATGAAAAAAAACGCGAAGACGACGAAGAGGCGAACGCTGAAGAGCTTAGAGGACCTCAGTGCGTTGGACCGCCTTTCTTTGAGCCTGGGCCTGGTCGCCACAGGGGTCTGATTCAAAGTCGCGGAGACTTGGGCAACAGCGACCTCAGGTCTCGTATTACTATTCGCGTTGGGCTGACCGAAGTTGAGTACCTGCGGCGCGTTAATCGCGAGGCTCATCCTGGTGTTCTGCGAGGCACCGCCAGCGACCCCGGAGCTCGTGATGCCTATTCCCTGGAGGCCGCGAGTGCGAGGTCCGGACGAGGCGGGTGAACTGCGAGCACTCCTGTTGTTGCGAGACGCACCGGTGCCTCCGGCATAGACCTGTCATAGGAACTCATTAGTGAACCTGTTCACATAATATCATGAAGAACGATCACTGACTGGGTTGATGTTCACAGTCGGACCATGAGAGCTGAATCTGCCTCCACCTGTGCCAGCGCGACCGGCTCCGGTGCGGGCTCTCTCAGGAGCGGTAGAGATGCTGTCGTCGGGAGTGAGCGTGTTGCTGGCGGTCCCGGAAGCGCTGTCGGAGCTGGCTAGATTGGCAGAGGGAACACCGAAGACCTACGGTAGTGTAAAACGTCTCTGAATGTAGATTGCAAAGGGCGAAAATCTCGACGACTTACTGGGTTAACGTTGACGGTTGGCCCATGAGAATGGACATTGGTGGGTTGGGTCTGAGTTGGTATACCTCCGATGACAGCTGGCCCGTTAATGGTGGTGGTGGTGGCGTGTGGACCCGAACGAGTCACGATACGAGGACTGTCTGCGTCAGAGCTCATGTGGTCTTCGTCCACGTCAGACGTCTGAGGAGAGGCCGTGCCAGCGAAAGATCCGATTTGAGAGCAGTTACCACAGACGATGGTGTGTCCTCCGTTTAGCCAATTGGTGTAGAACTGGTGCCATGTTTCGAGTCAGACAAAGGACGATGGTGGGATCAGACGCCGATCCGCGTCGATTGCTCACCAGGCCGCGTTGAGTAAGCGTGTCGCAGGCGCTTGAGGTTATCGAAGACGTGTTCGATGAAATCGATGACATGGCAGTGTCGACTCTTGACTCCTTGAAGAGAACTTGGAGTCTTGGGTGGGTCTTTGTGTCGAGCTTGGAGCAGACGAGAAGTATTCACGCGATCGGAAGTCAACGACAGAAACTCGTACGCAATCAATTCAAACGCCCTCGTACGAAAGCTTCGAACGAGTGAGATGAAAGACCTTGAGGAAAGAGATGGAAAGGCAGATTGGCATGGTTTTTATACCGGAGAACACGAGGCAGTGAATTAGCGACAAAACGACGATGGACGGTGAGCATTGTACGTCGGTCCGCATCGTCCTCGTGTCTAGTCATACAGGAAATTCCGCAGTCTCAAAGAGACGCTTTATTCAGCGATTCTACAGCTGAAAGGGCCCTCGAGGAGGCAAAAACGTCCCATGACCCGTTCACGAGTTCGAGCTTGAAAGCGTGTCGAAAACACGCTTTCTTGGCAAAGAAATTTCGGTGTCCGCGATGAGCATTTCCGTCGGGGAGATAGGGAATCGGACCGCGCAATTTCGCCCATAGAGGTTGAGCTAGCATCGGGTGGTGTCTGCGAGGTGATGACCGGGCAAGGGCGTCGATTTGAACAAAGAAGGTCCAATGACTCGAGCATACATCTTTTGGTCCCCCACAGCAGCGGTCCTCTCGGCAGTCAACACGAGATTATACGCACTGGGTACGTGGTAGAGATCCAAGGGAAAAACTGAGTGTGTTGCGGGAAGCGCCACCATTGCAGTAGTTGGTTCGGTGAGAATGATTGGGAGCGAAGCGAGCATCTGAAGTACGTAGACAGGACAAACAAGGACAACTTTGCGTCAGAGGCCTGTGCCTGGCGGTAAATGCAGGTTTCTTCTTCCTAAATCCATGCTTGCCCGGAGCGCAGGCTTTCGACCAGCCACCACATTCCGGCGCGGTCTGCAGCTTCCAAGACGCCCTATACATCTATCGACGCCTCGGCTTCAGCAGCTTCGCCCCAATGGATGGATAGGCAAACTTCGGTATCGACCAGATGGCAAACAACGGTCGAAGTTGGTTGGTGCCGCCTTTGGTGTGTCTCCCAACGCGATTTTTGCGTACAAAATTCGCATTTACGAGCTCGATAGGCACCCTCCTTCTCTTCAATGCAATCACGCTCTTTACCATGGATGACCTCGTCGAGGACAGTGAAATAGCGCTGGGACTCCTCGCAAGCATCATCTACCTTCAAAAGGCTGACATGGGTTACGAGCACGTCAATTTTGACGACTCTATATCCACATTATCGTATTTCAAGATTCTCTATCAGTCCTTTTCCCGGTTACCCTGGGAAGAAGTCGACGAACTTTTCAAGGACCTCACGCGCCTAATGAAGGCCGGAGGGTCAAAAAACAACGCCGAAGGGGAGGCCCACCGTATCATGCGGACGGCTGCAGAGCAAATCCATCACGCCTTCCAGGACCTGAACCAGGAATCCATATCAAATTCGGCCAACTATATTTTGATCGTCATGCGAGACGCTTTGGAGGCCCTCATCGACCTCGTGCAGGACAGCGAGGACGAGGATAGCGACACCAAATATACATTCCAGCTCATCCGCGACAGCTCGAAGAAGGACCCTGGGGCAGTATTGAAGGATTATGAGTCTCTCGGATAGGACCTAGGTGCGCAGCTTTCCGTTAGGAATAACTCTCTGTCTGACGAATCCGCAGAATTATTTTGTGCATATATATAGTAAAATTTGCCTAATAGACGATTTGGAGTCTATGTAACATCACCCCAAGAACTCAGTACCCAATGCTGAACCTCTGCCCTTCTGTGATAAAAACTTCAAGAACAACCGCCTCTTCGGACAGTGGGGCACGGCCTGGTCGTAAGAATTTGTAGCAAGGCTCTCGATTCCTGACACCAACATCAGGTGAGTTCCATTTTCGAATTTGACGAATATAAGTCGAAATCTCATGCGGTATAGAGGGGCAAACCTAGACTACTGGCCCACCGTCAAGTAACATCGCCATGGACTGGAATACCGTGCTCGATCCTGAACCGATCCCACTCGAACCAACTATCCCTCATAAAATTATATGCCGGCACCCAATCAACACACGTATGCGTCGCTCCTGTCCTTTCCTTCGTGAAGTTCCGCAACGTAAAATCCCCCGGCTCGAGTGTCACATCTGCCCGACAGAGCGTATACTGCCGCAAGTAGTTGTAGCAGTGGAGTATATGCGCCTTGCCGCCCTTGCTGAGCGTGTCCCAGCCTTGGTCGATCACCTCACGGATCGAACGGAGACAGTGGAGCTCGTGGAACATGGCGACGGCGAACATGCGCTGCTCGTTATCTCCGATGCGGACGTGCCCATCGCCGAGCGTGGCCGTCCAGAGCCATTCGTCCTTCGCCTCGGGGGCGTGGATGGCGAAGTGGACGCTCTCTTGGGCGATCGTTTTGACGAACTTTTCGGAGATGGGGAGGCGGTGGGGGTAGTCGGTGCCCACGAAGGCTGCGTGGCGGAAACGTGGCGTCAGGTTTGAGTAAGTGCCGTTCAGAAAGGAAGACTCACAATATGACGAGAACGGTCTTGGATCGGTGTAGTTCTTCCTCTGGTTCAGTCGGATGAAGGTGCTGACGTCTTTGGATAGCTCCAGTAAGGACCAGGTCAAATATAACGACGCAACGGCTAAGAAGGCGAGTGCCAGCATTTGTGATTTCGCATTCTCTCCTCCCTTGGTCTGCATTTTTCGATATTGTGATGAAGATATCAAAGAGGAAGACGTTGCCGCAGAGTTAAGCAGCAAGGCATATAGCGAGGAGGGGATGCTCTAGAACACAGCTCGATTCTGGGATCCCAAAGACCCTCCACTTCCTCAATACACCGGCCCTTCCTGGTGATTTTTCCAGGCGATTGGCAGTTGGAGGAGACAAGTGAGTGATTGTTTGGAGGAGATAGCGGGACGGCAGATTTGTTCAATTCTCCTTATCAGATTGAGTGCGGAGAGCGCCTTCTTGTCTTCTTTGCGTTCTCTGCCATCTACAGCGCCCAGACACAGAAATCTGCAGAAACCTAACAGCCTATGAGTGGACGCAACCTCATCGTGATTCGAATCTTCTTGATGTCGGGCACGATAGATGTGGAGGGCTTTCTGAAGGACTCCGAACACTCCTATGTCAATCCTTCAACTCTGTTGATGAGTCCAACGCTGTTTTGTCGAAGAGTCTTCTTACCTGGGCACGTCGTAAGTATTTCTCCGTGTTGTGCTTTCTCGAGATGCTTATCGACACCTGTTTAGAAGTCCTAATCAACGTGCAATCCACTTGACATTCGAACACCACAGCCATGCGCTGCTCAACCTTGGGTTGCGGATTAGGTTTCTCTAACTCCGCCAACCTTTCACACACGAGAGCCACGACTGGTCTTCGTTCGATAACGATTCTTGTAGGGGATTTTTGTCCGTTCTATTCAGGCATCTATGGTACATTTTACGGTGAAGAGAGTCGAAAGTTCGACCAGTAAGTACACGATCTCGGAAAGAAAAGAAGCTCATCACTGTATGCGCAGATGAACGACTCGAGGTTGCAGCAGAACTATTCACCGACCTCATGAAAGATAGCGAGTGTGCCCTTATACCGAATATCGTCAGAAGCCTTATTCGAAGCGGACAGATCTTGGAGCTATCAGCTTAGCAGGAGGCGAAGACTCCCTCATGCCCCTCCAAGCACTTGCCCTCCTACGTGCCGGGGTCCATTCCGGAGAGTACTACGAAGCGAGCAACGAACAAGGAGAGCTAGTTGGATACACGTTGTGGATGCCGCCTGGCCAGGAGATGTTCAGCACGTTCGTATTCTTTTTCGCCGCACCCGGATTTGGAACGTGTGTTCTTCTCTTCTTACTTTCTACTCTAGTGAGGAACAGAAGCAACTCGGCCTGTACGAATTCATGGCGAAGCTCTCGGACGAAGCGAAAGAATACTATAGGACGAAGGTAAGGCCTTCTGTTTCTAAACTTCTAACGCCGTTGGCGATTCTGTGCGAACAATTAAATAAGCGCCCTTCACGAATAGTATATGGCCGAATTTCCAGGATTCGTAGCAAGTTTGTTGGGTCCAATGGTCAGTACAGTTTTTTTTCTGGTGCATCTTCCAACCTTCCTTATTTTATTCTTGAAAGGGAAAACTGGATTCGTGGTGGCTACACATGGCCATGATTCGACGAGACTACCAACGCCAAGGAGTCTTCCGTGCCTTACTTTCACTTGTTCGAGAGAAGGCAGCAGCAGCGGGGCAGTACCTCGCGACCTGCACAACCAACGATGACAATGCAAGTTAGGAAATGCCCTCATTCTGCTGGCGTTGGATTGATATCGGTTTACTCAGATCCGTGTCTATACCGGACTCGGCTTTGACTTCAAGGGGTCGATTGTGATTTCGTCACCCTGGGGAGATTGGCCCATTCACGTCTTCAAAATGGATTGGAAGGCCACTCCCGTCATTGAAGAATAAATAGATTGAAGGGGTCTGCTGGAATCATCTACCTCTCTTGGGAAGCGATCAAAGGGCAGTGAATAGTACGACTGGATGGTCTACTTAGTACATGCTCATAATACCTTATATCTAGTCCGAAGTAAATTGACCTCTAGATGACGGTAAGTACTACAACGTGTTAAAACGTGGAAACCATTAAATGTCCAAAAAAAAAAGGATATTGCTGTTATTGCTTCGAACGCGCAGCAGGTAACTCTTCCAAGGCGAAGTGAGACGGATGGGAGTTGTCAGGAAGCGCAACAGCTGGCGGCTGGGTATCAGTCGTGGTCGTTGCGAATGCAAGTGCTGTTTCTGCACGGGTATTCATCTCGTCGTGCCATGCACTGCCGTTCACAACCCGCAGAATGATCAGCTGAGGAGCTATCCCCTATCAAGCAGGTTAAAACATATTTCGACGTGAAACTGAGGCGATACTCACACTCATCTTTGACCAGAGCTGCCCGAATAAAATCGCAATCCCACTCTGCAGAGCGTACGGTATCAGGAACATGATACCCAGAACACTATACGGCGCCGCAGACTCGACCAGTATCGCGACCGTACTAGTGTATACCTTCGCGTTCTCAGCGCCGAGTGCCCCGTAGATAATCTTGGAGACCCGAAGAAGCCGGAGACAGATGAGGACAGTCACAAGGATGTTCAAAAATATCGTGATTGCATAATAGGCTACTGCGATGCGGATTGTTTTGAGCCCGAAGAAGTCGCCGTTGGGCTCTCCTGAAATCACGACTTGTTGGATGGCGAGGGCTGCGGACGGAGGGGAGGTGAGTACTCAGGACGGTTTCGCCGAGGCTACAGTGCGTACGGTGACGTACCGAGGGCGACTAGATATGCGAGAATAGGGAAGGCGACAATGATGTGCCGCCTTCCGTAGATCAGGTAGAGGCGAAAAAGCTGCGAAACGGCGTGAGGATTGTGATGAAGAAGTCGAACCGGGCAAGCGACGCACCAGAAGAGCGTCGCCGAGAAATACTGAAGCAACAACAGACGTAGAGCCCAGAGTCTCATACCAGATATAAACCTTCGCCATTATGAATGCAGGAACGCCACCAGGTACATTCCGGTCTGTAATCCACATCGATTCTCCCCAGACGGCATTACAGGCGACGTCGATAGTGGATAGCAGGATCATAGCCGTGCTGTAGGAAGCACAAAATTGCCGTCTACGAGGCGCAATTTTCGTAGAGTGGTGGAATAACCCTCTCATAATCATAAAGTAAATTGACAACTCGAAACCTTTACATATCAACGGATCCGAACGAAAATTTAGTTGCGCGGCAAGACGAGAATCATGTACGCAACTCACCGTAGAGAATGGCCCCCATGATATTCCCAATATAATAAGCATGTTCGAATAATGTCGTGTCGGACATAGGATGAGAAATACGGGGCGAAGGGGAAGACACACGCGTGTCCTGCCCTAGCTTATATTTAGGCACCTTGTCGTAACCAGATGGGACCTGAGCTCTCCAGGGAAGGTATCACTTCTGGAGGTATCCTGGGAGATATCAAGGGCGGGAAAGGGCCTATTTAGCTGGTGGGTCGGTGAACTGGTGACCCTACACCATCTTCCTCGCTGATTGGTTCAGAAGTTCGCATTGTGAAGTGGGTCTGTTGCCTGCAGATTCTCGTATATTCAGAATTCATCAATCAAGATGCGAAAGGTCTTTCGGACATAGTTAGTTGGAAGCTTGGTGGGAGGAGAATGTAACAAACATCGAGGATGAGTTGAGGTTATAAAAGAGCGCTGCGGCAAATGACGGTCCGGTTCTCTAATATAACATCACGTGAAATAATGACAGCCCGGTCACTGTCACTGGTGAAATTCTTCGACCTCGGCGCTCGCCCTTCACTTCGTCTCCCGCGTTCATGGCTGTAGAACATAAAACAGGCTATATCTTTGTTGTTCGGACCGGCATGTCGATAATACCACTAAAGCGTAGGCACCTCCGGCACAACTCCGGCGTTCCTGGGCTGTACATAATTTGGCAAGCACGTCGAATATATCTTCCAATCTCTTCCAATGGGGATCTTCCCGCCGATTTGTGGGTTTATTTTGAGCCCTGTGGTGGAAGGCATGAGTAATCCATCAGGTAAGTTCAACGTCTTGGACAGTTTCGCCGGTTCGTGATGCGTTTGGATGCCATGTACTAAATTTGCCTGCACTTCCAGACTATTTATCACACTTGTCTCCTTACCACCACGAAATCCAGCGTAAAGTCGCCTCTCTCTTCTCATTATGTTGGTCTTTAGTGTGCAGCGCGTTGATCACCCAACAGGTATGCTCGTTTCACGTCCTTGATGCGGCATTGCTCACGATTCTCTCAGAGGAGCAAATCGTTAACTCTGCAAACCTCTTTTATGACCTCACCCACGACGGTATGTAGGTTTCTCAGTTGAGAATGTGGACAGCGAGAGAAACCTCTTTTCCTAGATCAGAGTGCCATAAGCCTTTCCGGTGGCGACACGTCCTTGTTGAAATTGCAGGCGACGGCCTTGCTTCGTGCTGGTGCATTAGATGGAGAATACTACACCGCGACGAACTCGGATGGCGAGCTAATGGGCTTTACGCTCTGGATGCCACCAGGCAAGGAGATGTTCAGCACGTAAGCATGAGCAACGTCGCCCGACCCACGCCTCCAAGCTAACAAATCGTGGTTCACAGAGATGAACAACGCAGTCTGGGCTTCCACGACTTCATGACCAAACTCTCCGACCGGGGAAAAGAGTATTACAAGACAACGGTGTGTAATACACTAGAGCATGCGGAGTTTCTACTTTGAACGCTCTTCCAGTATCTTACACATTTTCCCGGCTTCGTCAACGGAGTATTGGGTCCAACGGTAATCATATCGTCGTCCGTCATCATCGGCAGGAAGTTGACACAGAACCATGCTTAGGGGAAGAAAGACTCGTGGTGGCTTCATATGGCCATGGTGCGGCCGGAATATCAGAGACAAGGGATTACGCGAGCTCTTGTCAACCTCGTTCGAGAGAAGGTTGGTCTGTCGCCTGGTCTTTACGAACTCAGTTGACGTTCTTTCAGGCAGCTAAAAACGGCGAAGTTCTCGCGTGTTCGACAACCAACGATGATAATGTTCGTGCAAACTCCATCTTACTCTGCAGCTTTCCGACGAAACCCTGCAGGTACCCGTTTATGTCGCGTTGGGCTTCACTCATAGAGGAAGGAAGATCATGCCCTCTCCTTGGGGTGATTGGCCTGTGCACCTTTTCTCTCTGGACACGAGCAAGGCATAGAGAACAAATATGCGAATAGATTTATGACCTAAAGGGTTATCTTTCGACATTAAGGCGGAGCTTGATTGACTCGCTTTATCTGGAAGAACCTCCCAAGGATAAAGAGTGGAATAAAAAGAAGTCATCGCTCACAATTGACCCCCAAGTATCCCCCGGACACCTTTTATCTTCTCAACCTCCGATACTCCTTCCGGTACGTTAGATCGCAGAAGTTGTATTCTTTCGACCTGCTGCTTCTCGCGAAAATGCGAATTGATCAAGTTTTGCCTTCCACAGGTTTGTCAACGGATTCGAGATCTTTATCAACACGCGTCACGGTGTGCCCTCTGTAATACCTACGACTGACAGCGGACCCATGAGCCTGTCAACTACGTCCTGGCGCGACAGCGGAACGCAACGCGTGTCTGGGTCGCAAGTCAATCAGGCCGAGACAGAGGGTATTCCCTCGGTACACTCGCGAGTTGGTTCACCCATCTTTCAAACCCGTCCTCTTGGATCATGCCTTCAATGAGAGAGAACGTGGAGACCTTGACGCTACTCGACAATGGCGAATACGACGAGGACAAAGGTACATTACCTCGATCCAAACAATTCCCGTCTGCAGTACTGAAGCGTTGTCTTGACTAGTCTCTTACGCACCTCCTCGCAGCTCGAACAACAAGCTATCGGCATCCCTACCTCTTGCTCTAATCTTTTTCTTCATCGTCGATATCGCGGCCTTCCTTGCAATCGCGAAGATGCTTCTCGACGTCACTTCGACTTTCCGGACCGAAGACAAGATGGAGTTTAGAAATCCGTATTTTGGCCTCGACGAACTTTACGCACAACATAGAATCCAACACTCGGTTTACCCCAAGATTGTCAACGAACCCAAGCTGGCGGCTCAGATTAGTTCTGCTGAACCTAACAAAGTATTTCCAGTGGATTTGCATCAGTGGTTGAGCGACTTCGGGCGGCTGTCGCCTCCTGACCGCCGTTTGCAAGTCTCGAAGAATGTAGGTTATTTATTTCGGCTTTTCTTATGGGAGCCGGCCTCATTCCTTCTCCCCACCAGATCCACACCGTTGTTCAACATAACGTCTTGGATTACGGGATGGAAAAATGCGCCATCGCCATTCGACTGCCCGCTCGCGGTGATTCATTACCTCACCCATACACATTACCACCCGCTGGCGACACCGTACGACTTAGCATCTGCGAACTCGATGCCAAGCGGCCGCTGAAGGAGCACACACTCTCATGGTCAACCCGCCCACCTTGCGTTCGACAGCTGGCGCCCGTCGACGCCAAGATCGGAGGAGAGATCGAACTGGAACCGTTCGCCTGCAAGTCGGGTTCTTATCTGACGTATCTGATCTCCTGCGCTGAAGACTCGCTTGGGTGTAATGTGGATATCTGGACGAATCACAACCAGACTTGGGGTACGCATACTTCTCAATCATTTGCCGTTTGCTCGTTGCCTGACTCCGAGGAATGTTTGCCCGGCAGGAGTCTTCATCAATCAGTACCAAACTCTGTAACCAACGTCCCTCTGAAGCTGTCATTGGCTGCTTCACAGTAGTGACTCGAATTCCATTTTCCTTGTAAGCATGAAGATGAATGCAACCCGTTGGTCTAAGACGGCTCTTCACGATATGCTCAATCGAGGCTCAGAATTTAATCGTTTCCCGACGCCTTCCAGATTCTCCAACCTTCGGAAGAGCGCTTCATGTTTGAATCATTCATGATAAAAGGGTAAGGAAGAGCCAGGGCCGGCCGGATTCGGCTGTGAAAGTACGTTTCTCCTGCAGATTTTTTACGTTCGAACTTTCGTTACTCAGCGTGCCATTTGCAGATCCTACCACGAAATACCTTTCGTTGCACGATGAACTAACACTAAGACGAAACGAAGAGTCCAAGCGTCCGAATGAGTCTAGATAAATTATATAGTATGTCATCACAATCATCTCGGCAGGCCCCAGGGCGCATTCGTCTGGCAGAAACGGTCAGACTCGAGGCTTTCGTAAATTGTCGATCAGGGTCGCTCACCTCATCTCCTAGTCAATGTCTGCCCCATCCACAATGCGTAGCCACTTTGAATCATGCTTGTCTGGAGGTGTGGGAGCGGGGAGCACTTTCGTCCCATGATTAGTCGGATGCATCATTCGCCAGACTCCTGGACGTACAGATAGGACCATCCTCGAGCGGACGTGCGGCCACAAAAACCGCCAAATAGGCAGCCAAGAAGAGAAAGATGGCCTTGGACATCACTGGATCCTTGTTGAGTCCTTTCATGGAAGGGAATGCTCATCCTTTATATCTCTTGTATGCCCAACAGAGCGTTGAATCATCTCGCGTCTGCAGATACTGAAACTCGTAAGATATCCACTCAAGTTGGTAATTTGAGCGGCGTTGTATTATTGCTATCATTTTTGTGATTCACTCTGGTGCTTCAGGTTCACCCTCTGGGCATCTCAGCATCGATTTATAGGGACCTTTCATTCCAGACGCGCGGTTTTGAGGGTGACCTAGACGCACGTCTTATCTAAAAGAACTTCTATCACTGATACGTCGATGCATGTGGGTCAAACTCCTCTGACATGGGCGCGAAATCGAAGATTGCCTTCTTGTGCTTCTGGAGTCACATAGTGCGGGGCCAGGAAATGGAATCCTCTTGCCAGCATTGCTCCTCTAGATCTTTTACACAGCTCGTCCTATGCAGCTTCACCATGGCAGGCGCGAGAAAATTGTAGGTCATCTCGGGCCAACGTCTTGAAAGTTGGCACACGACTTCTTTCATTCAATAGGCCTTTTCCCAAGCTGTCTACCGTGCTTACACCGAGAATGATCATCAAAAAACTAAGATCGATACGACTTGATCGTTTTGTGAGTGTACCGTTCCGAATGCGCTTTATGGCTGACGCCAGGAGTTCGCAGTTGCTCTGTTCGCTTACTTACCGCGGTCTGAAGAATTCGAAGTCGAAGTCGAAGGTTGTGTTTATGATTGGTTGAGGAAGGAAGGATGTGAATGTGAATGTGAGTGAGTTCGCAGGTAAGGATAAAACTATTTGGAAACCCCCCTTTCCACGGAAACCCTGGGTTTCTTGTCATTGATGTAAAAACCCCCCACATTTGTCCTTCCATCAAAAGCTTGCGCATGTTTGGCTTTCCGGAGGCGCGGCCGGCGATGTGGGAGGCGCTCAGAAGCGCCTGAGAAGCGCCTCAAGCGCCTTTTGACGCTGGCGTCCATTACTTATGCAAAGGCATTGAGCCTACGGAAGGCGAGAACCTTCAGCTCAGGTATGTCAATCAAAGCAGTTCACGCGGAATGGGTCCTCACAATCCCTGAACGTTGCAGGCTGACTGAGCTGGCAGGAGGCGCCGAGGCGAGAGCTATGTCTTACTAGTGTCTGAGTCCAGCGCCGGTTAGGCACTTGAGATACAGACTCTTTATATAGATTAATCAAGCATTAGAGCAAGCAATGTATGATGGTGTCGCTCATTGTCCCTTTATTGTCTATCAAGCCCTCCCGTGCCGACGTTGCAAATGATGCCCGCCTCCGCGTCCATCAAATGGTCAATAGCGGCCGAATTACCGAAAACGGATGGGAACGAGACTAATGCATGGTATACGTGCAGACAACCGGGCGTAGATTCTTATCTCAACTAAATGTGCCATAAACCCCATCTACGATCGTGTAACTTGAGCTGTACAATGAACTTTATTAAAGTTTCAGAACGAGTACTGATCTTTGTTTGATTACCTGCTATCCTCCTACTTGTTTTCGATGATGAGCCATTCGGTGTCTCCCCTGACATTCGATACGGCGTCCTTCGCCACCACGGCATTCGCGTTGAGGGCTAGATATAAAGTATCAGGGTATTGAGAAGGAGGTACAGAAAACAGGAACGTACCTCTGGAGTCCACAGCAGGGACAGCGACCGCATTGGCTGCAACCGCGAAAAGGGAGAGGAGTAGCATAGCGGCCTTGAACATTATGATGTCGCACTTGCAATTTGCGGACGTCTCTATGTCTTAGCGTCCCATGCTGAATAGCCAGGCTTTATATCTCTCGCACTGTGGGTTGAACGGCTCGTGAGATCTGTAGATCGAGCATAGTGCTCAGCGCGGCAAGCGGGAGTTTGGGTGGATAAGAATTCTTAGGCTCTTAGCAATTGGATTTGCTCAGGAAATTTTAGATAGCCCAGGCCCTCGGTGAGAAGCAAACTATCATGGGATTCCTCCTCCGCTATCTACTGAAATAGGGTTACTGCTTGCGGTGCCAGTGTGCGAGTTAGCATCAAATTCTGTGCTGAAGACGCAATAAAGTGGTATTCTTCAGACTTCTCGAATTTCGCTCGATCAGTGTTGATTTCGCTGATGCATGAGTAAGCGATGAACTCCTCTGAATATACTACGGCGGTTCTCTCTTCATTGTCTACAGGAGTCTCATGCATGATGCGCCGCACATATTCAAGGAATTTCCGAATTTGGCATCATCATAGGGCCTCGTGATGAACGGGAAGGAGTTTGTTACCGCATCAGAGGAAACCGCATCCACTCCATTGGCTAGAGTACACATGGTAATCACGTATCATGTCGTCCTGTAGGAAGACCTGCCAATGCAAACGATATCGAAACAATGATTATCTGCCTCGGTTGCTCATAGCTTTGAACGTACTTGTCTCGGCCCATCATTAGTGTGTTGCGCGGCCATTATAATGGCCAAATCATCCGCCCTACGGAGTGTAATAGATTTGATACGGTTGTGGTCTTCAAGCCCCATGTTTCACCCAACAACTATCTTGAGGGTCCAAATATCGGTTCTTCGCGATCGCGGCCTGGGGGAGCGGGCTAGCCTAAGGGTGTGATTAATAAGTAAGCGTTAAGCTTCTAAAGGAGAGTTTGATTAAGTAGATACACTCCCCGGGGGACATGGAGACGCAGAGGCCATAACAAGGTCAAGCCGCTGGAGTGTATCGTCAGGTGTCCTTATTTCTTATCCCCGACGCATCTATACGTCTGGGTTATGTCGAAGAGATCTCACATTTTATTTGTAGGACTCGATTCAGAATTTCAAGAAACCCTATTACAATGCCACTATGTATTACTTCCACTACGCACGTTGTCTGGGATCCTGATCACCTATGTACAGTAGTCTACTTCGATTACTTACCCATTCCTTTCTGTATCCGATTTTTTTTGTAGTTCTACCAAAGAACCAATGGGATCGAACTCAACACGTCCTGTATCTCCGTACTAGTAGGAGCATGCGAAATCTGCTGCGGACCATATGGAATGGACTTCCTTCAAAAATTGGCCATATTACACGTCTTCATCTAGTAGTGAGTCGATATTCTGCGCGCACGAATTGCTGTCTTGTCGTCAATTTGGATCCCCCTAAAATGGTATATGGGGAGACAATAGGACATAGATTCTTTTCTCGACTAAACGGGCCATAGACACTAACTATCATCGTACAAGGGGCAAATAAATAAATAGGCCATTTGAGTTGCTATCAGAGTTTGAGAACGGCTGTTACTCTTTGTCTAAAGTATTCGCTTACCTGCTTTCCTCCTACTTATGTATAAGCCACGCATTGTCTCCTCGGACATTCGATGCAGCTCCCTTAGCAGCCACAGAGTTGGTGTCGACGTCTGGACACAAAAATTGAGCTATGGCTGATGAAAGACGTAAAATGTGAGCATACCCCTGGAGTCAATAGCAGGGACGGCGATCGCATTGACTGCAACCGCGAAAAGGGAAAAGAGGACGACAGCGGCCTTGAACATGGTGTTTCTGTTGTGATCTGGAGGCGTCGCTTTGGCTTGACGTCCTAGGCTCAACCTCGAGGCTTTATATCTCTCGCAATATGATTCGAACACCTCGTTAAATTGGTAGATCAATCAGAGTGTTCAGCGCGGCAGAAGGGAGTTTGAGCGGATAAGATGTACTTAGCATTGGGATTCGTTCGGGGAATATTAGATAACACTCGAGTTCTTCCATCTCCGACAGTTCGCTTCCTTAGCCCGCTATCTGCTGTAATAGGACCACTGTTGGCAGTGTGTGAGTCAGCATCACATCTCGCACCGAAAGCGCAATGAGGTGGTATTCTTCTCGAATTCCGCTAGATAGTTGATATCACTGATGCACTAGCGAACCCTAAAATTTGTCCCACCGAATCGGAGTGACTAGGACGGCTCAAACGTTCACCCTTCAACGACAGATCGACCGGTAGCCCGTGCACGGAACGATGCGCCGCACGCGCTCGAGGAATTCCCAAATGGGGCATCCGCATCGCGTATGTCACAAACCGGCCATGAAGTGGGAAGGGCAACAATACGGCGCGGGGTAGGCCTCCATCACTTCTACCTGTGGTAACCATGTAATGTCATTCCTATCGCAAGACCTGCCGCGTCAAGCAAAATTGAAACAATGATTGTCTACCTCGTCATCCATAGGCTTGTCTAGATCTATCATTAGTCTGTTATCCCGGTCGTTATGTCTGGGACATACCAGCGGTCTTCCAGCTTCAAGCCTCTACTAACAGTTATCCTGATGTTCAAATGTCGGTTCTTCGCAGCCTGCAGGGGCAATTATACCTGTGATTGGTTAATTAATGGCTAACTTCAGAAGCGAGTCTTTACTGCCTTCCACGGGAGCGGGAAGTGCCGGCGCCAGAAATGCAGAGATAATGGCGCTAAAGTAGACAAGTTGGGAAGTTTCCTGGAGAAACATCAAGTCGGATGCAAACGTCGAAAGACACGACGTATCTATCCAAAAACGCTTCCTCGCGATATCCATGTGGTAAACTACTAGTACTAGTCATTCTCAACGCTGTCGACGTCAAAATTACATTCCTGACGTCTTTTTCGATCCCTCCGTTTCCCACTTTTATGGGCGAAAGAGCATAACTGTTAACATGCATAACCTGTAGCTGTACCACCATCGAATTGTTGTTAAAAGCGAGAGTCGAACCCATTAAACCGAGGACGCCTGCATAGATCACATAGATCGCAAAATTCGTAGTTGCGGTTAGATGTTCGAATCGCGCAAAGTTCCTCTTACGGACCTTATGTCAGCGAGTAGATGTGTTTGCAGAGATGGAAGAATAATGATAAAGTATCTCTGTCGATGAGCGGGAATAGCAACTATGTTCCTTTCCTTGATGTTGTGATCCCATTTCTTAATTCGGGAACAAAGCTACCGTAAATGGCTCCCTAAGTTGCAAAACGTGGCCATCCCCCATGACATGCATGACAATTGATAGAGGCAAACTCTCTTCTGCGTTCGCCCGAAAGCCAAAAAAATCAATTCAGTTGCTTCCATATGTAGAAAAGGTTTCGCTGTTGAATCAGACCGTACATGCGAGGCAAAAGTGATCCTGGAGCCACTAGGACTAAAAAATTGAAGACCGTATCATAGAACGTTTAAGAAAGACCGGCTCCCACTGTAAGTCCTTTAGGCGAGACTTTTCGTGGAAGAGTTCCACTTCTCAGGTGCTTCTTCGCCCAGCGTGGTACCACCGTGTGTGAAGGTGTGGGTTTGGAGCTCAATACCTGTCGAGCGACCAGCAGGCTTCATCCTGAAGTCGACGCCACTCTGAGCCTGAGTAACGACATCCTTGCCCCATGCACGGCCTGTGACAACGCGGAGGACGATGAGCTGAGGAGCGAGGCACTGGAGAATAGTCGGTCAATCGTTCCTTATGGTGTTGTAGGGGCGAAGAAGATAAACGTACAGTAAGCTTGGCCCACACCTGTCCGAATGAGATGGCCGTTGGGCTCCCCATGGCGTACGGAATCAAGAACATGATTCCAACGAGACTGTATGGGGCGGCGGATTCAATCAGCATGGAAGCGACGCCAGTATACATCCTGGCACTATCGGGCCCGAGCGCTTTCGAGACCGCCTTTCCGAGCTTAGCGAGACGTAAGCAAATGAGGAGGGTGACGATGATGTTCAGCGAGATGGTGATGGTGTAGTAGGGTGTCCCAAAATTGATCGTCCTTCCGCCGAAGAAGTTGCCTCCAGGCCTGCCGGCAAGAACGAGCTCGATGATGGCCAGCGCTGCAGGTACGTTAGTCGCCGATGGAGTTCCCCGCTTTCATTGGGACGTACAGAAAGCGGCCAAATATGCCAAGATCGGGAATGCGATGACCCAATACTTGGAGCCATAGATAATGAAAAGGCGGTAGAGCTGTCGGGATAAGTCAATTCAGGCAGACTAGATAGCGCGCGTTTACTTACCAGAAGCGCGTCGCCCATGAATATCATCATTACGACGGTGGTGGAACCCATAGTCTGATACCAGACGGAAACTTGGGTCCCAATGTAGGCAGGAACACCACCTGGCTGGTCGCGAGAGTTGATCCACATCAACTGGCACCAAACCGCATTGACCGCAATGTCGATGGTCAAGAGGAGCAGTAGGACGGTGCTGAAGATGGCGAAGAACTTGCGGCTGCGAGGGGTGTTGTGGTTGCCCTTGCTAAACAATCCCTGCATCGTCAGGAAGTACATGACGAGCTCGACGCCTACAAGGATAAAAAATAGATGGCATTAGTATTTTTGTCACGATTGATGTTGATTGAAAGGATCTGTACGTGTACGTACCATAGAGAATTCCGCTCATATAATTACCAATCCAGAGCGAGTGCTCGAACACGGTTAGTTCAGACGCCATGTCGGAGGAGGATGGAGATGCTTCGAGTACAAGGACAGATCACAACAGCTCTGTGGTTCTTCCCTCGTGGGCGGCAACTGAGCTTTAAGTATCGGCTCTACCGAGCCAGGGGCTGAGCACTCATGAGTGGGATAGGTATGTCGGACATCGGGCACGCGTTGGACTTCTGTCAAATCTCACCTGATCAGTGTCGCCTTGTTGACAGTCAATCATGCTTCGCAAGATGCATACCATTACAGAGACCCTGGCTAGATACTTGAGGCAGACTTCTGTGGGTGAGAGGGTGGGCAAGGACGATCCAGAAAGGTATCGCAAGACATCGCCCAGGAAAAACTTGGGACCATTGAAGACATACAGTCCGTCTTGATCATAGGCAACAACGTCCAACTGTCGGCCTGCTGATCAGGTTTGTTCGACAGTGGCCATGATAGGAAATCGATGAGTTCTTGCGAAAGTCCGATTGTCAGTTCATGAGAACTCGAACAAACAGTCAACACTCACGGCCGCGGTAAGTGCGGATAGAACTCCAGGGTAAAGTCTTGTAGTTTGCCAAGCCGATATCTCCGATCCAAGGGTATTTGGGTACACTTTCGCGTATCTGAAGCACATTCCTTGCACAGGTCTCCCCAAAATGCTCTCGGTCGCTCAATTTCGAGGCAAAGCTCGCTCGCCATCGAATCTAACGGCCCTCAGCCTGATTCTCGTCTCGATAAGCCTCGTAATCAAGCTGGTCGGGACATTCCTAGTCAAAAAACAAATATCGCATTTGACAAGAGAGTACAGTGAGTGTGAATTCACAAAATAGGCGAAAATACCGCTTTTAATCAACCTGCGACCCTGCTCTTTCTTCATGATCGTCGTCCCCCTTGTGCCTAGGTTACGTCGGAAGCGACTACCCTGAACGCTGGCCCATCGAGCGGAAGAGCGTTTTAATGCAATTCGAAAACCCGATGCACTTCCAGCTCGACACTCCGGATGGCGTAGCGGAATGGGCCGCCATGGCGCCAGGCAACGGCGTCGTCCACCTAGGCCCGTACCGCCAACCGTTCACCGTCAGCATGCTTCATCAACTGAAATGCCTCGACGTTATCCGCCAGGAGATGGTGCGCGATCGTACGAAGGATGCCGGGCGGTACGTCGGCCCGACGGAGCTAGGACGCCACTGCCTGAACTACATTCGCCAAATGGTGACGTGCCGAGGCGACTTGGAGCTCGAGTCTTTCCAGTTTGCGTCGCACAAGAATCCGATTGAGTGGCGGGGTGTGTACGAATGCAAGGATTGGGATGCGGTCTTCAAAGAGGTCAGGAAGAATCAGGAAGAACACGAGAAGTGGGTGAAGGAGGGGAAAAAGTCTTGAAAGTCGAGGATGTTCTTTTCGTTGTGGTGTCCAATACCATTTCCTCTCAAAGTAGATTCCTTGCATCCTGAGGATTGTGGACTAGCGGGCGAGTTGAATGAATACCGGAAGAATACCCAACAGTCAGCTCTTAGCCAAGTTTCTCTGCTGAGTTCTGCTGTATGAGCACGATGGCCCTGGCGATTATTGAAACCGTTTTGCACCATCCGTCAGAAAATTTCGAATACACCGTCGTAGAGTTTCACCAGACTTGAGCACTTTTTTTGACTGATGGTTGGACATAGAACGCTGAAGCGTCGAAGTTGAAGGAGTAGGTATCAGATAATAAAGTCCGGAGTGGCGAGCGACAGCTCGCGCGTCGATAGGTCGATTATGATAAGAGGTAAGCGAGACATATTCCCGGTAAGTTGTCAGTGAATAAAATACGAAAACACAAGATCTATACAAAAAAAAATGATATGAACTCCAACTCGACGACAGAGGGAGTAATTGCAACGCAAATCCGGCGTACCTGAGATAAGACAGACTTCAGATGTCCTCCCACCCGGTCTCGAGGCCTTCACGGATCCTCCAACCAGGGGCGTCGTCCCCGCCTAACCACCTCTTGACGCGGGTCTCGTCCTCCTTTTCTCCATCCTCATCTAGAACCCCGACATCCCCGCTCCTATGCAAGGCAAGCACAGACCACCCGATGATCATCATACCAGGCGGGCGCTGTTCGCCACTGCTCTCAAGTGCCCGCACAATGTCCTTGAGGATTGAAGAGATAACACGCTGGTCGGGCATCGAGGCACGTTCGATGATGGCAATAGGCGTATGAGCGGGGTAGGCATGGCCGTCGCGCCGTTTCTGCTCTTCGGATGTGTCTATGAGGGCAGAGATGACTTGTGCGAGCCGGGCAACACCCATGAGGATTACGAGCGTCCGCCCGCGTTCGTATCCGGGTAGCTGGACCTCCTTGCCCTTCCTTCCGACGCCTGTGCAGACGATGAACGACTCGGCGACTCCGCGTTGCGTTACTGGGATCCCAGCGAAAGTCGGCGCAGCCAGGGCGGAGCTGACACCTGGGATGACAAGAGGCTCGAATCCATGTGAACGGAAGTAGAGCACCTCTTCGCCTGCACGGCCATATACGACTGGGTCTCCTTGCTTTAACTAAAATACATCAACCACTGTCGACAGAAGAAAACGAATTAAACTTACTCGGACGACGGTCAGACCCCGTTTCGCAGCCTCGACAGCAGCCTCCATCATCTCCGTTTGGGCGCCTTCAGCGTTTCCAGGAAATTTTCTTGCGATGCGTACTTGGACATGCTTGGGGATAAGCTTCAACACGGCATCCGGAACGAGTTTGTCGGACAACACCAGGTCCGCCAGCTGGGTGAGCGCGGTATGGGTGGCGATGGTGAGGAGAGATGGGTGTCCTGGGCCAGATCCGACCAAAAGTATCCGACCAGGTTTGTAGAGGGCATCGAAGTGTAATGACGGCTGTGTGGCACCTTCCTGTACCGTGTCTTCTCCAGCGAGAACCTCCTTCATATCCTCCACTGACATCGATGCGAGCTTCGAGATCGGCCAGTACTCGCTGACCTGGGCTACCCACTTGATCTGCCTCTTTCTAGACTCTATCGCGTTCTCGGAGTTGCTTCTAGACGGAACGGGACGGTTGGGCGTCAAAACTCCACCGTCCTCGAATAACTCCTCCGCTGCTTCATCCTCCGAATCCTGGATCTTGTCGCTCTTGACGCCGCCGCCGCCGCTCCCTACGGCCATCGCCCGCATATGTCCCACTTTCGCAACAGCTGCCCCAACCTCGCGTGGCAGCTTTGCGACAATTTCCCGTCGAAGACGTGCCGCCAGTCGACACCCTTGGCCGTTCGTTGTGACACCGATTTGCAGCGCTGTCTTCTCGCCCGTCTCGTGGTGTTCGAACCGGTGGGTTGACGTGAAAGAGAAGTCGCAGAATTCTGGGATGTCCGTGGTGTTGACTGGAATGTGGTGGGCTGCAAAGACGTTGTAAAGCTGTTCGGCCGACTCATGACTCCTGCGGTGACCTGTCGAGAGCGTGTCGGTGATAATAGCCAGCGCGACGCTCGATGTGGAGGCCAGGAAAGCGTCGAGGGTTTCCGAGTCGCTGTTCGGGTCAGAGGTCCCTGGCAGGTGGTCCCAGTCGACGAATTGGACTTGCTGCCGGCGTACACGCCACTGCAACTCGTCGCAGGCGGCTTCAATACCCCCTTTTGCCAATACAATGACAGAAGATTCGGCTTCTAAGGCGGCGAAAGCCCTAGATGCAGCAAGGGGTCCCGAACCGAGAATGAGAGTGACTTTGTGTGCAAGTTTGAACGACAGCACTAGGGCTGCGCCGCCTTTGGGTGTCGGATATGCGTCCTGCATGGGTTTTCAATGCGAGAAAGGGGAGGAGCCTCTGTCATTATAAACTTCTGCGTCGATGATAAACGGAAGCAAGGTGATTCGTGCTCATGAGCAATTCCAACAAAATTTGCCTTCGTGCCAAAGATAACTTTGCCAGGACCCCGAACAGTCCGTTCCATAGGCCGGGCCGGGCCGAGCGGCAGAACGGCAGACTGGGGCAGACCCAGTAGGAATTCCCGAATTTGGCTCGATGTTTGCCGCTTAAATTCGATACGAAGGCTTGCAGGCTTACCTATCATCCAGCAATGCTTTATAAAGCAGTTAAAAAGCAGAGTGTATACAATACGCCACCGGCCGAAAGATGGTTGGACTCAGGGTCCCGACTTGATAAAAAGGCCTCACGTGCGGTTATCGTTATCTTCTCCCCTGCCGTCCGCATTCATCGCCGTGCACAGACCCGCATCTGACCACAGTGAGGCATCTCCCTATCAAACAGCTTTCATGGCCGAGAGAATGTCCAGTTCATCTGTCTCTTCAGCGGTTGTTGGCCTCGACTCGGAGGGAGACATGGCTTTGAAGACTGATACATAATGCCCACCTAAAGGCCCGCATGTCGGACATTTTATTTCAGCCGAACGGAAGGGCCGAAATCTTTTTCTTGAAACGAATTACGGAAAAGAGGGCTAGACTCGCAGCCAGCCTACAGGTGCGCAATTTTTTTTTTGTGAGGGACGGAATTGCTACCATGTATAATTCCCTCCCTCTCTCAAAAAATTGCTTCACCGAGACGGCTGGATTCGAGGCTAACAGAGGGCGACCGCGGCATCGACGCGCGTAATCGTGGAAGAGGGGGTGAAAAGCTCTCTTCCTTCTGTTGGTTCTCGTCGATAGTTAAAAAAGGAATCAGGCCGCGCGAAACCTCCATCCATCTTTCTGTCATGGTTCGGGTGGAGGAATCTGCAGTTTGAACTTCTCCTTTGAGGACGCCGAGAACCTCGAGTTGGGTTGTGATGCGAAGGAGGGAATAAAGATCCTCGTCGTCCACGGCTACTCGAGTTAAGCTGAGCCTTGTCAGCTGGGCGACATAGGGCATGTCACGCAAAATGGTGTCGGTGAGTACCGCCCCTTTTGGGACAAGTGAAACCTTTGAAGGAAAAGGGAGGTGAGGGCGGGGAAGTTTAGGCCACGAAGCTTGACAGACGCGCTTGTGTTAACATTACTAGTTCGAATTTGGAGTTTGGTCAGGCGGGCCAGAGGGACGCGAGAATCTGAATTGGGCGTAGTCCATTCCATGTCGTCGTCGAGAGGGTTCTATGGGAAATCTTGAGGCCGTATAGCTGACGAACACGTCACGGAGATTTGTGCACTGCAGGAGGAAATTGCGCCACATCCGAACGCCGTCTACACAAGTCAACTCTGTCTCGGTGTATCTTGACAGGAGCAGCTCGAGTGTTTCCAAAGATGAACACGGTACAGAAATGCGGGCGAGGTCCCTTGGGAATTCGGAGAATAGAGTGTTCTGTAGGCCAGAGATAGCGCACTTGGAGGTATGAGTAGAAGCGGCCTCTTGCATGGAACGTCGACCATCATGCATTATGCAGGATCTTATCTTATCGATTCGGCCACGTCTAGTCAGCTGGGCACTTATAACAACTGAGTGTATAACAGGCCTCATCGGGAATACATCGGAGTACAAGGTATAGTCCTAAGAGGAGGTCTAACATAGCGGACGAACACACTGGAGGATTGAGAACCAGAACGTGAAGAGAGTAACGTGGATTACTTAGAGCGTTCGTATATTTGTAGGCAGACTAGAAGATGGTGATGCCAGGAACGGGCATCGAAGGCGAGGGAGGAGTTGGAAAACACGAATACCACTCGAACAAAAATGAGGCAGGACGATCGACGAACCCTAGAAATAATCTCTCCGTTCCTCCTCTAAGGGATTTCTAGAACCCACGTATTCTCTAGAAACTCATAGCTTCGCCAACCACAACCCCAACAGCACAGACCCGATCGTGACCGGCGGTGTAATGATGCAATAGCTCCAGAATATCGTGCGGCTAATGAGGCGTTCGAACGCGTCGCCGGAGACGGCAGCAGTGATTTGTGCGAGTGTCAGGGCAGGCGGCGAACAGAGGAGAATTGTGTTGACTGTTACGAAAACTGGGCTGTTAAGAGAAAAGAAAAGAAAAATTAGCTCACGCTCGAGCCGAAGGTTGCAAGAGGACAAAAATAGAGAGAAGAGGCACGTACTCCTCGAAAATGGCATGCCAGTCGAACCTGGTTGCAAACACCATGAGCGGCACTAACAGCACCGGAGTGATGACCATCCTTGCAGCGACAGCCAGCGCGACCGTCTTCGTCTCTCCAGGCTTTAATGGCTCTTCCTTCTTCGCCGGTGGGGTACTCGATCTTTGATACCTCGGTATCCCAAACGTATCTTTGACCCTCTCGACCAACGTCCTGCTCCGACTCTTCCGCTCGCTCCTGCTTAACCTTCTCTCTCCAGTGTTCGTGGTGTCGGACCCTTCAGGCGGCGGCACGTAGAAGTAGGCTCCGAGGACGACGAGGGTCAGCGGAACGGCGCATTTGCCAGCGGTGTTGATCGCGTTGTTGAGAGGCTGCATGTGGAACTCAAGGGCGTGTTTTAACGGCGAAATACACGCCACGAACAAGGAGAGAGTAGCAGACCAGAGCGGCATCGTCATGAAGTCATTCAGCGCCACCCAGAAGCGAGCAACCCGGCGGCCGACGTGGTGTAAGAAATGGGTGACAGGGTGGTGTGTGTGGCTATGGCTAGACTGACGAACATGATGGGTCGAGGGGGCTGGAAGGCCGCTATCGGGAGCCTCAACGTCTCTGGTATTCTCCTCATCGCTGTCTTCAGTGTCCGTCGTATTGAGAGACGTATCATACCGAGCGAGATTCGTCACGCTGTTGTTCGGGCTGTTCGGGAAGGAGTTGTAGAACGTCGTCCGGCGCCTCGGGAAATGCGGGCGTCCAGCCAAGGGTGGCGGTGGGTCACCCCTCGATGACATGATGAGCTCAGGCAGGTCGGCGTGGGTGACGTCCTTGGGCGAGTGGACGAGTCTCGGCGAGCCAGAATGGCTGTTGCGTTTGGAAGACTGATAGGAGCCAGAGACGGTGATGGTAGACGTCGAAGGTTGGGACCGGAGGTTAGGCGAGTCTCCGAGGAGAAGAGGGGTGTTCTCATCTGCGTCGCCATTGTGGGCCGCAGTAGGGACGAGAATGGTATCAGCACGCGAAAGAAGGCTGACACCGTAGCTGTACCGAACCTAATGAATGCTCAGTCGCGAGGCAAAGCTGACCAGAGTAAACAGGAACGCACCACCATGCCGAGCGTGCTGTACATGGTCAAGTAGGTCAACGCTCGACCAAGCATCGCATTCCGATTGTCGTCGTCGCCCCAGGCAAGGTCAGGTACAGAGATCACGAGACTTTGCATAAGGGCGATTGGAAGCGCATTAGAGTTCATGAACATGGCAGCAGCCATGACGAAGCTCCTGAAAGAATATAAGTTACACGCTGAGATGGCCAGAAGGAGAAAACGCACCGTTGGGATTGCTTGAGCCCAAACACGAACCCAAGAACGCGGCCGACGGACATCGAGGCGGTCGTCACAATAACGAACCAGATAGGGATAACCCATAACTCTTTCAATTTCGCTGCAGGGAAAATAGTCAGTCAGACGCAGTGGATAATTTGTTGACACGATGCAGGGAAGCAAGAGGAAGGCAAGGAAAGGCAAGAAGATATCGAAGTCAAAGAGGAAAGGCTCGCTCGGGAGTCAGAGCCAGGAAATTTGTGCGCCCCGAGCAGTGCTCCATGCATACTTCACATGAATCGAAAGACTAGAACGAAAGAGAAAAGGGCCCAAGTGTCCGGAGCCATAAAGCAAAATCGATCCTGAATGTGTTCCCACTTTCATGCCTCTCCGACTTTAACCAGACTCGATAGGCTTATCATCGCACACTCGCTCTTCGCAAAGACGACGATGACAATACCTAGGACGAGGCAAATGATCCAAAAATTAATGATGCAACGCCATACCAGGACACCCTCGGCCCACGTATCAGAGCACTTTACGCTCTGTGAAGTCATGCCCGAAAGAAATTAGGCAAGGCGATGGGTAAAGAAATGGCCGAAGGACCCTTCGGACAAACAGGAGGATAGACAAGAACAGCGAAATGTTGACCGATAGCAGGTTGGATGACCCCTATTTCTTCCAACCGACCATCTGCCTTCCCTTGGTCCCTAGTAATACAGGGCAGGGTAATCGGCGACGACGGCCAGCCGTCTCCTCGTCCCGAATGATGCAAATCGTGCACTTCGTTCGACAACACGCTCAATGCGCATCATGACCGCCCGAATCAGCCATAAGGTCTGTTGTCCAGCTGAATATTGACGGGTGAATTTGTTGGGATTCCATCAAGGCACGTTCGTCTGAACAAAAAAAGAGAGGTGGAAAGGAAGGGGAAAAGGTAGCCAACAGATGGCGTGCGTTAAATTTCACAGATGAGGCTTGTGCATGAAACTCGGTTACTCGCGACCAAGCCTTAAAATCAACTTGTTGCAAGAGAAAGAGGGGGCGTTGACACGAGAGGACATAGCCGCAAGTCGACCTACCTCCCCTTCGTGACGCCTTCCGCCCTCATGTCGCGAGAAGCGGTCCACGAACCAAGCATGGGATGATCAACAGGACCAGATGCCCAAGCCACTATGTCCTGACAGCACGGGAGCACAATGACTCGTAGACTCGTCGGCCAAACAAAACGAGAGAGAAAAGAAGTCACGAAATAACCAAAAAAAGGAAAGGAAGAGACGAAAGGCCGGTGAAAAAAAAAAAACAAAACAAGGTACTCCAACGCCATAGGTAAGCACCCACCTGGGGTCAAGAAAAAGGCCACTTTGGAGAAAAGCAGCGCGGGTGTGAAGAGGGAGACATTAAGGCGGTTGATTTGCTGCGTGAGGTGGGGCAGGATGTCAGCGCTCACGTCATGGCGTTACTGCGCGACGACGTACTTTCTGCGTCTTCTTGTCCAGGATGCCATGGCGGGCAAGGGTGTACCCGGCGGCACAGAGTATAAAGACTTCTAGGATAGACTGCAGGTGTATAAACGTTGTCAGTGCGTAGAACGCGCAGCGATAAGGGTAAAACGCACGTTGAAAACAGCAAGTAGCAACTGAACAAACGGCGTCTCCGATTCCTGGGTGCGCAGTAGGATCTCCACGGCCATGCGGTGGTGGTAGTGGTCGAAGGCGACGCCTAACAACGTCTAGTTGTTGTAGATGGAAGTAGAAACGCAAGGAATGTGGGGAATGGATTGAGTTGGACATACACAATGGAGACCACGCACAAATCTGAACGTCATGCATGGCCAGTTCAGGGCTGGGCCCGGCCAAGGACACACTGCCTTCCTTTTCTGGCCTGTTCCGGGCTGGACGGCACTGCCACCGATAGGCTTTGACAGACGCACGTTTCTCCGAAGTCAACTGGCAAGCTGTTCAGGCTGGGGCAGTGTTGAGGCTCTGAAGAGGCTACGTATTGGTCAAAAGTCTGGGGGGAACAGAGCAAGAGACCAGCATGTTTACATAAAAAATTCTTCACCTATGTGCGGGTTTTTGGAGCGTGACACTCCCATAACCTCAGGCAGTCGACCGCAGTGGTGTGCCGGTCAAGCAACCGTCAACAAAGTCAATGACGGTCAAAATGCCATCAGCGACGGTCAAAATGTTTGACCATTGTTCGACCGATTGCCATAACGAGAAGGGATGACATCACTAACGTTGACCATGACATTCTAAAGAACAGAGATAGCGAGTACAAGGATACATACATCGATAAAGAATGTAATTAGTTTGCGAGAACCTCCTCTGCGACCCCATCAAGCTCAGGATCCTCCTCGCCATCTGCGTCCAGCTCCAGAAACTCGTAAAGGGCAAGTTCTTTGTCGTAGTTAATAGTTGCATGGCGGCGGAAGCGGTCTTGCCAATGCTTCGAAGCAAAATCAAATAGCGAGGCAAGCGAGAGGCGCGGAATAACTGCCGATTGGCGAACCGGTAAGTTGTCGTTGTTATCTTTGGCGACGAGATCGATGTGTGTCTGTACGAGATCTCGGAAGGCTCGACGCCTCGGCGGGGGAGACGGCTGGGTTGACTCGGATGTGCTTCAGTCCCCGACAAGTCTGGTGTCAATGACAAGGGCGGAACTACAGCAACGGCGGTAGCAAGATAATGAGGATTTGAACTCCCTGGGAGATGCGGGGTACCACTGTGTACAACAGGGTGTGGCGCAGGTGCAAGTTCTATATAAGTAGAGACAATATTCGTGATCAGTTAATAATTTCAATGCAACAGTGAAGGGGCCACTCACGAGCGCTGGTTCCCCCATGCTCGAAACTCTGTTGTGGCGGTGGCGGCGCTGGCGGCGGTGCTGGCGGTGGTGCAAAATGACGTTTAACCTTACTCTTCGGTTCGGGTCGTATGTATTGGTTGCGAACATGTAATTTGACCTCGGTCAAGTCAAGCAATGTCTGATTCTTGAGCCTGGTCCGAAGTTTTGTCAGTGTGTTCCCGAAGACGCTAAATAAGCGCTCGCAGGATGCTGAATTTGCCGAAACTGATTTCGTTTTGCCGGACTTTGTCGATTTTGCGCCAGATTTGCCGAACAAATGGAAAATTGGGTCAGCCTGAGACAACGGACAATCAATGAAGCAGGCGCGCCACCATCCTCGTCGGGCATTGCTACGTGTGGCGGATGGCCTCGACATAGCAGAAGGAGGCGAATGCAGGAGTAGGAGGAAAAACGCAAAGACAAAGTTGCCTTGTCTGTGTCAGTGATTCTCCCAGCTTTTTAAGCCTCTCAGTTATTGGTTTGAAATAAAAATATGTAGATAGTGTGTAATTTACAACGAGCTTCCACATGCTAATCTGTCAATACTGAAATAATGCTACTTCTGAGAAAGATAAAGAGTGAAAAAGGACCTGGAGAAGGAAGGATCCTTGAGGTTGTGAACCTTGCCATCTACCAGAAATGGGGCCTGTGTCGCTCTGCGGAGTGAAATCAAAGGACTATATTTATTCTGTTCACACAAAAGAGCAAGCCTGTATCACACCGGGGTAAAATTAAAGGATTATATTTATTCTGTACACACGAAAGAGCAATCTGTCTGAGCAAAGAGCAACTGAACGCATAGCGCACTTGATGTTTGATGCGCTGATGGGGGCTGTCTAAATTAGGCTTTGACCCTCGGCAAAGTAGTGGGAAAGTCCATCAAATATTGACCGTCGTTGACCGTCAATTGACCGTCAAGGTGGTCAACCGTCAATGTTCGACCATCAGTCATCGACCGGCCAATACTGGTCGACCGCAAGCCCAAGTGATGCGCGTGTCGCCCGACTCAGTCTCGTCGATCTCACGAGGTTAGGGGCCAGGAATGAGAATGATTGAGACGGAAACGGGCGGAAGACCGGAGGCGACCAACGCAGGGAGGCACTAGACACGTAATAATCCAGCTGACGGACAAGATAGAGCAAGCCGCCTCGTCGAAGGCCATACAGCGGCTGCGAAAGGACGCCCGGGGCGAGAGACCTGAGGTGGGACGCTCAGAGATGGTGGGCGTTCGGAGGGAAAGTGCCTTCACAGATAGCTGGGGCTTATATATCCTGTCGAATGTCAGGTTGCTTTGGGGAAGATTACATGAGCACTCGCCCCGCGACTTGGGGGTGATGATCGTTTGGGAAGAACATTTATGGTAGGCCGATTCCCAAATGCGGAATAGACAGCCGCACAGCAGCAAATCTAGAAGAGGGGAGTGCATTCGTGAATTGGAAACTACGGCGATCACTACGGCGGCATCTGCCGACAATGACTAGCAAGTTCGTCCCGCCTCTGTAATCTACCTCTTTGCATACCATCCTCCATCGTATATACCCTAACTAACATGGAAATGCACGAAGCAGACATCAACAATCCCACATCTAATAAGTGCCATTGCGCGTTGCCCCTCAAACCACCGCAAAGACAGGGACTTCATTGACCACTATTGGATACCCGTAAGCGTCTTCAAATGACGCTCGAATACACGGGTTACTCGACCAACAACGTGTATACGAATGCAAAGAACTGCAAAAACGACCCACGATCGATAGGACGACTCACCTTATCAAGATCGAGGTCAAACACGAGCATCGACGGCGAGTTGGGCAATGACTCGGAAGAAGGGCTAGAAAAGATACAAGAGGTAAGTCTCAGAAGTATTCGAGCAATGAATGGGGTACTTATCGTGATATGCAGAACTCTGCAATGATGGTGCACACTCGCACTCTAATCGCGCCTCCTCAACCATAATAGTGCCCTCAGCTACCAAGACACCTGGCGGCGGCGGTGATGGACCAGCAGCTCACGAAGGGGGCCAAGACACTCGCCCATAGATGTCTAAACACACCGAACCTGTACCGAACACATCGTGAGCGCCCCGCCTCATCGACGATCAACACGAACTTACTCACCACGTTCTTAGGTGCTCGACGGGACATTTCGACGACGGCGAGGGCAGCGAGAAAATTGAGGACAGTGGAGGATGTTGGCCCGAACTGATGTGATGATGGTGGGTCAACACGAAGGTGGGTGGAGAACGTCTGTTGAAGGTGAGTTTCTCGTTGTCATGTACATTCGCGATGGTCTTACCTTGTCTCTAGGCTGCGTACAATGTGTTGGACCACGAAGACGATGGTGGAGAGTGTCTAGACGTCTGAGAGAGTGGAGAATGTCTGGGATGAAGTGAGTACGAGGTTATTGAAGGCATCAACGAAGATTTACCTTTTTCTAGCCCTCGACCACCCTCCCACTTGTTCCAAACACGCAATGTCGAGTCTCTACGTACAAGATCTCGTGAAAACAATACCGGGGCGCACAGCGCTGGCCCATCGCTCCAGAATGCGGTCAGTCAGCGGCGTTCTCGTATACAAGGTGGAAGACTCACCTTCGGCGTTAGACCTCGCCTCGGGGGATTCCATCTCCGTCTCCTCGGACAACGACGATGTGGGTGGATGAGTAGTGCAACCATAAGCTTAATTTACCTAGTATTTGTTTGGAAAGGCGGGATGTCGCACTTAAGATTATTATTACTCTATAATATTGATGGCCAATGCAAGGCCAACGAGACGAGAAAATGCGATTGACCTCGTCAAGGGTCATATAATGTAGGAGTTGCTGGCGCTGAAGTCGTCGAGTTGGCTGACGGCATTCATTCTGCGGTCCTATGGGTGTCTCAGGACTCTGCTACGGGGATCTTGCTCATCGACGCGAGGACGCGACAAGTCACGTTACCGCTTGGCGGGAGTTGCCGCCGTAGTGATCGCCGTAGTCCGGCGCCGTAGTTTCTGAATCAGAGACTTTCTGGAAGAGGGTCGGACAACTACTACCGGATCCCTAGCTTTCCTATATATAGGCTGGTAGTACCCGGGCTAAAGCGACAACGCTGATGTTACATAAGTACTCCGCTCAGAGTGTCAGGACGCGAAGCACGGACCATGGTTTGCCGTATCTAGAAACTCAGTCCTATGCAACGCATTCGCCGTTTGGCCCGTTCAGCTCAATTACCGTTCGAATTGCGAAGCGTCACCTTGATTGCCCTCATGAAATTTCAAAAGTGAGTTTAGTTTCTAAAGCAAAATCAGATTCCTTGCACTCTAGATCTTCAGGTGTGGGATGCTTAGTTTTCAGCGCGAATCGCAACAGGCTGATAAGCAGGAGACGAAATGGTAGTGTAGAAGTACTTGCTCGCCTCGGACTTGCAGAAGCACTTCCCATCCGAGAGGCATGAAAGCGTCATCCTGCATAGCTTCGTGGTGCCGACCGTATATGATGATACAGTGATTCTATTCCTTCTTTTCTGGCCAAAATTAAGGAGGATCTGGAAGGATAAACAACGGCATAACGAGAGGGTGGGCCATGGTCTCAAATATGTAGTATGGTAATTTCAATTTCCGTCCATAACCCGGATCTGTGCGTGATTCCACAGTGTCTCTTTCCAGCAAATCTCTTCGAATGTTTGATATTTCCAGGCTTAACGTCCCCGAGAGCCAGGACACATCCACCTTAAATAACGCGATGTACAAAGTAACGTAACCGCCTCGATTGAACGACCGACGCTTAGCACAGTCGGCTTTCTTTTTAGCATGACAAATCGTCATCGATCATCGTCGATTTTTTTTGGAGAACCATCCCCACCTTTTTGTTCCCCTCACTCCATCCCCGAGAAGCCGTCGACCATGACCCAAATCGACCCGGATATTGTGAGTAAACGAAATTATGCTTCGCTGTTCAATACCGGGATTGAGCCGGAATTATAGACTGTTCTCGCAGTCTTAACTGCCCTGACCTTCTGGGCTATTCCACCTCGCGAGAAGCGCGACTGAAGGTTGATTGGAAATGTACGGAGTTAGCCAACACTTCGTGATACACGTTTTACCATGTCCTTTCAAGTTCTCCAACCTGTCAAAGAGCTTAGACGAGGGGAAAGTGAAGATCGCACGCGAAGGAATGTAGATAATAAATGGGGGAGTAATTCCGCTGAGTAGCTGAATGTTCGTTTAGACCGGCGCTTTCAAATGTTGAGATATGTTCTATTGGTCCTAAGTGGGATGCTTCACAGGAACTAAGATTATAGATTATCCCAAACGGTCGTCTCTCTCCCTTTGCGGGATTCCATGAACTAGAAATTATCATAAGCATTTGCTCGTAAAGAAGCATCATATAGCGCAGGCTTCGCATCGAGAAATTAAATACACTGGGAATACCAATCGTTCGAGATTGAGCATGTAGATCCGGATGCGCAGGTCGTACATCCTGAGTAACCTTGTCCACCACACTGACCCCACTGTGGGACGGTGCAGCTCGGAGGCTGCGTGGGCTGAGGGTTGCTCGTCGTAGGCGGCGGGCTGCCAGGCTGAGTTGTGGCCGGAGTGTTCGGAGGTGAGGGGATGGTGGGGTCATAGCGTGCCTTGATGAGGTCTGCGGCCTGACGGAGGTCATCGTTAGATTAAGCCCGAATATTCTAATCAGGTTTCTTACCTTCTCGGCAATGGCGTAGACCGTAGCACACGTATGGGTTGCTGGGTCGAGGGGCATAATCGAAATATCTCCAATGCTCAGTCCGGTGACACCGTATACCGTCAGCTCAGGAGAGACAACACCCGCTTGGTCCTGCGGCTGCATCGCCGCCGTGCAGCACGAGTGACCGATTGAAGCACCCACCGTTCTTGTGAGGTAGTCGCCAATCTGCTGGTCGCTCGTAACGCCAGCACCAGGGCTCTGCTCGGCGGGGGAGAGCTGACGCATGCTAGGTGTCTGCATCCACCTTCGGTAGAAGCGAAGCATGTCGGCCATGATGTCCACATCAACGGGATTGACATTCGCGTTGAAGTCGACGATGGGCTCGGCGTATCTGTCAGCGGTGTTCAGCAGGACGGTGCCACGGCTGAGGGGTTTCATGAGCACAAGAATGTTGCCAGCTCCGCCGGAGAAGGGGATCTCGACAACGCCGTTGTCCCGCTTCGCGAAAGAGGCGAGCATGACGTCGCGCTGTGCTGTAAAACCCTGGATCTGCTCTGGAGTGTAAGTCCTCGGGAGGTAGGTAGCAGCATTTTGGGCTTTGGCTTTGTCGATGATGGCTTGGTATCGCGTGCTTAGGTCGGGAAGAGGGACGGTGGCCAAGCCGTTGCCAACACCGATTGACCTCGGTCCTTGACTAAAATGAGAGGCGAAGAGGAGATATTCGAGTTAAAGGGCACCTACCCTTCCTCTGCTGCCACTGTTGGTCCGCCCAGTTTCGGAATTGCACATCAGCAAACAGAGATGACGGGTTCGGGGTGACGTCCGTCTGGTCTACAAGCGGATACCATATCAGTCGCGGCTCGTAATCACGAACCAGAAACGCACATGAGAATTGGCCGAAGAAATACGGATGTTCTTGGTGGTTAGAGCCAACGCCCGGAAGGTCTACAAGAACGTTGATTCCCGCCTGCTGGAGAAGAGCTCTCGGGCCGATTCCACTGCGCTGCAAGATCTGAGGAGTATGGAGCCATCCAGCGGTGAGGATGATTTCCTGCGTAGCCTTGACCGTGATAGTCGTCGCACCATTGGGAGTGCCGCGTTGCTGGATTGTGACGGCCTCCGCTCGCTTGTCAGCATTGAAGAGGACCTCATTGACTCGGTGGCCGACAAGGAGCTTGAGGTTCTGACGAGTAGAGACCGGTTCATAGTAGCGGGTGCGAGCGTAGGAACGACGGTATTGCGCATCGGTTGCGGAAGGTGTCCAGTAAACACCATAGGCGTCGCCAGCAGCTCCTTCATAGTTGATTTGGATGCCGAGATCTTTCCAAGCGTTCCACTGGACCTCTGAACGATGTTAGAGAAGCTGACGTCGTAAGAGTTGCTGTAAACGTACTCATTCCCGGCCACAGGAAGTCTGGGAAGGTGCCGTAGATGGGACCATTGCCATACGCGCGGTCGATATCGTAGGTAATGTTGAATTCGGCAGCGAGGTCGGCTCGAGGAGGGTTCAAGGTCGTAGCCTGAGTGAGGAGTCACATCGACACTCAAGCCCTCCCATAAAGTAAAACGAACCTTTTTGAAGTACGGAAGTAAACCATCCCAGCTCCAACCTGGGTTGCCTAACTTCTCCCAGTTGTTGTAGTCGTCGGCGGCAGCACGGTCAAAGAGCATTCCGTTTATCATCGAACCACCGCCGACGACGGACGCTGCGAGGATTTGCTGCTGTCGGTTTCCAAGTGCGGGCTGTGGCACCGAGGAGATGTTGAACATATTGGCGGGTGGATAGGCGGTTGCGCTCGACGGATCGAGCTGTCCAGGGTTGTCATTGATGTAGCCATATTCCACAATAAGCACGGATCCTGGAAAGTTTCGTGGAAAGGTTGCGTAGCACGTCAGTATGGATATTGAAGTCAAACCAAAAGAAAAACGTACTGCCCGTGTCTTCGCTCAGTCGATTGGCGATGACAAGACCGCTCTGGCCTCCTCCAACAACGATGTAGTCATAGGCAGCTGCGAGCTGACCAGGATTGATTTGCCGAGCCTGAAGCTCCTCGATCATGTCGATGTATCCATGAGCAGCACCAAGCACTGCCAACAATTGGATGAAGCCTAGCAGACGAGATGCAAGTCGCGCCATAGCGATGACTGTAAACACCCTGTGGAGGAAGAACTTTATATCACCCTTCGACTTCCGCCATCCCGACTTTGAACCGACGCGGTCTGAAGGGTATCCTCTAGGTACGTAAGAACTGAATTGAAGGAAGAGATATTTTAGAGTTCTCCGACTGGAAAAAATGGTGATGTGTTCGCGCGAAAAACATCGACCTTGCGTCCAGATGCCAAGAGCGAAAATCTGGTCCTTATGACCAGTAGTTAGAGGATAATTTAGGCGATCGATTCGCCGGCCTAGTGGAGAAACTGGCAATGTTGCGAGGAGCGGCTTGAAGAAGTTCTACGAGGTTGGAATTTGGGACAAACACCGCTTGCCTCGAACAGAACCTCCGACTTCCGTCACATCGATGTCACATCTTCTTCTGCTCCATCTCGTCTCGATGAAAGTCAAGCCATGTCGACGGACAATGGACCTGATGCGGTTAAGTTAAAGATGTTTTCGACAGATCCCCACAAAGCATAGAAACAAGAACATAAGATTAGTCGATATCAGATAAGATAAGTGACCTCGAGGCGGTCCGGCAAGTCCGCCACTCCACGGTCATCAGCGTCGTTAAAAATATGGTACAGTCTCGCATCTATAGCGGAGTATCAAGATGAAGAACGACGGTATTTCTTCAGAAGCTGAATACACATTTTGCCTCCTGGAGAAACCTCAGCAAAGGTGATTGTCTTAGTCACGAAGTCAACACGAAGTCGGGAGATTTCTCGTGCTCGACGGAGGCAATTAACATTTTGGTCGAAGCGATAAACTCGAAGTTCGTCTTTAAATCCGAGCAGGCAAGCTCTATCTGAATGGATATGACGAAGCTGCCCCGTTTGGGTGGAGATTCTGCATGCATGCCCTGCGGCGGCGGCAGTGGATGGTAAGCGTCACTTTGAAGCTTTTAACCCATCGATAACCATACACCTACGGAGAAAGATAATTTAAATCGAGGTTAAGACTCGCTTCGGTAACTTTGGCATGTTTATTCTCCTCGGAGGCTACTTTGTACCGCATTCCTTTCAGTCGATGTGCCTTTTCATCGGAATTTTCTGTGCCAAGTTCACTCCGCCGTCCGAGCCATAGTCTGGGATGAGAAGAATCATACCGGCGGCCTGAAACAAAGCTTGAAAGTTTAGGCAGAAGAGATCTTTGCTCCTTGTGCCTTTAGTATACCGACACGAGCACCATTCACAAGAATTACCTTAGTGCTAAATTTTGCTATTCACAGAATAAATATGACGCATGCACGTCTTTCAAGTTCTAATAAACCACTCCTTCAGCGGCTTTGAATTACGGTCCCGTACATTTATTACACCGACCCGTAGAAGCCTTCCACGATGTCAATCACATAGGAGAATGAAAGAGATATGTAGGCAATCCAACGAGCATTTATCGCCTAACGCCGCAGCTATGAGATAGGTGGCGTTCATCCATTACTCTATCAGACGTGCGGTGATTCAGGAGCAATTCAATTGAACCGCCTCAATTGGCGACCTATTTGTCGGACGGAGGCTTGCCTTGCATTAAGGTCCCGAATCCGAGTTCCCATGATGGCGCCTATCATCATTGGCGCTCTCGAGCAATCAATATCGGCAAGATCGGCAACCGCATTGGCGGGATCAAAATCCCTAGCTCAACTGTGTTCGAGTTCCCACTACTTACTATATCTGACCACATATCCGGCAGGTCAGGTAACTCGGCGGTCACATATTTTGGCGGGGAATTCGTGACTTTGGGTGACTTCGTTCATATTCCCTCATTCCTCTCTCGTTCATTCAATTTCTCTTCCTTCTCCACCAAAATTTGTAGGTGAATCAAGAGGCATATATGCCCCATAGTCTGCAATTTTGAAGAAAAATAAATTCGGTCAAGAGGAGAGGTTTCATTATTCCAACCCAGACCGCCGACATATGGGACCTGCCGGATATGTGGTCAGATATAGTATGCCGACGGATTTACCGATCGTTGGCGGGTGCCGAGATGCCGGCGCTCGCTTGGCGGCGGATCAGTCACGGATCAGCCTCCTTCCAAATCTGTAAAACTTCCTCAGTTTAGACACGTTTCTCGGGCTCCGCCGGCGGTCCCCTTGACACGCCTCACGACGCGTGTTCGCGCTTGGGCGCTAGCGCCGTGCGCTTCCCCCGCGTCGCTCAGCGGCCGTCCCCTCCCCTCGGACGTGCCCTGGGGCCTTTCCTACCTTGACACATGTAAATAATATGTATTTTATCAATGAAACATGTCAATTACATTGAGAGTAATAGAAAAGACCCATGGACTGCCCAAACACCCCCGGTTCATGTCCTGGGGCAAAATAAGTGCTTCCTTGGGTGGCATAAGTTGAATAAGTAACTTATTTTGAGGGATTTACGGGGTGAGCTGGCCCGATTTACGCTGGATTTACAAAAATTACGGTGAGCCAGCTCAATTTACATGGCCCGATTTACAGGCTGATGAGCCAGCGCTTAGCCGTTGCCTAGCGCCTGCCCTTTGATTCCTTGCTCGGCTGCTTGCAACTCTGATCGCGGCACTCTAATTCTCTGATCGCGGCATTCTAATCCTGTGATTTCTCGCCCTTCAAGCTAAATTTCGAGGCACGCAAGCGCGCACAGATGTCTTCTTGAGACATTTGGCATTTGTTTTTGTGTACACCATCTCCGTGGTCCTGTTTTACTAATTTCCACTGTCTAGAATCCCTTCAAACGCGTCGCCGTGCCCTCGCCGCCACCCCCAGACTCTCCTCGAGCATTCATCCAGGGTCGATTTGACCGCCGTGATGCCTTCTCGCATTTCCCTCGAACCCACCTTCGGCGCTCCGGACATCTGGTCCCCTGCCGACCACAATTTACCGGCACCGTAAATCCAACGTAAATCGAGTCAAATAACCATACTTAAGCTTTTAAGCGTTAAGTACTTTAAGTGCTAATCGCATACAGGAGTAATAGTATGGAGGTCGACCATGGAACCCGAGCCTCGTCTGAGTTTTCAGCTTGTTTGGCTCCAATCATTCTCTCTTCTCGATAGTTAACCGATTTCCTTCTAACTTAATCACCATCTTGACGATGAAGTTCTCTCTACTCCCTGTAGTGGTCTTTCTCACCGCCGCTGTCACTCTGTCCTCGACTCCTCGGTCAAGTGTGAGTGCTAGTTGCGGTATTGCATGACGCCTGAGCACTGCAGTCATTGGCTTATAAACGACAGTGTCAACGTCGACGACCTCTTCGACATATTACGATCGCCGTGTGCGCCCCCGGCCCGAGGAAGCTCGTTAATCTAGACGGACCCTTCGCTAACAAGTAGAGTTCAATACCGCCTAAGCACTTGGGTGCAATCCCTGCCGTTGCCTGCCTCGCCTGCGGTGCTTTCTGCACTGCGGACCAGGACCAATATGAAGCAGTTCCTAAATCGCGGAGCGCTTTCTTCTCCCGCTGCCTGGAGGGATAGATTTCTTTTGTTATCGTTATTCCTTCAACGAAGAAAATTACAAGGGCAATATTCTGGAGGATATGAACGGATAGTTTGAGCGAATACAATGTGGCTGGCTCTCTCTAGTTGAAGTTTTGTCAAACCATCGGGTCCTGAATGTCGTGGAGTTAGAAGTATGGGTGCAATGCACGACGGGGGGAAATCCTGGGCTATTGACATATGACTGCCCTATGATTAATAAATTATCTCCCAACCCAGAGGTTTATAGGGAGGCATTGGTGACCACCAAGAGCCTTCGTGTTTGTTCAGTTGGGTCCAACCAGAATTCTACCTTGCTGAGTGCACGCAGCTGATGCCGGGCGTTGAGCATGACAGATTTCCCCAAAAGATTGTGTATGGGAATAAATTCGATGGAACATGATATCGTACACAGCATACACTTACACTTGGGGCCGTTCGTCAGCAATGCACGACAACATAGACCAGAGAACAACGCACTCATATAGTTTCGCTCTTCTTCCTCGCCTCCTCTCTCTCCTGAAACCTTTTCTGCGACTCCTGCTGCTTCAACATCGCTTTAATCTGCCTCTGCCTCGCCCGCCTCCCTTTGCCCCGCTTGCTACCAGTAAGCTCGACAGGCTCCGTCATCTTTTTCTTCCGCTTGGTAGCCTCCTCTTGACGGAGCTTCTCTCGTTTTTTGTCGCGCTTCCGCAGAGATGTTAGGGAGGATTTGAGGAGCGTGCCGTATTGCGAGTAGAATTTTGGGAGTTCAGACGCGGTGACCTAGGCAGGGAGAGAAAAGGGAAGGAGAGAAAGAGAGTCTATTTCAGCACTAGAAATATATGGAGATCGTGAACGAGAGCCACCTTCGTCGAAAACCGAGTCGTCTTTCCATCGGTCACTCGGATGAGGCATTCGTACTCTCGTGTGTCGGCAGACGTATCGCCTTCCTCGTGCTTCATGGCTGAATCCTCGCCATCGTGTGTCACTGAATTCCAGAAAAAAGGACGGTCAGGTTCACTCGAACGGGGCTCGAAGAAAGCAGATCGCGCACATCGTTTATGGGTGAGCCATATCGACCCATGATCCTTCTTCGACTCGAACAGAGCCGTTAGTTGTTTCAAGAACTGAAAGATAAGACTTTGAGTACAGTTTCAAAGGTAATATGTAAAAGACGTACGGTATGATGGTCGACCAGCGTCATTTACAGATGCTGGTTTGAAGAGAAGGGCGACAAACGAGAAATACGTTATTTACGTAATAAATTGATGCCAAAAAATAGGGAGGAGCAGTACAGTGCGATTCAATTTTCACGAAAGTATAGATGTCTGATGATTTGTACATTCCTGTGCGATGTTGTCCCCTCAGTTTCTCATCACCGATGTCGCAGTTTTCCAAAATGAGTATAGATTTCTGATGTTACGATTAAACCGTTGGTGTAAGTGTATGCATTTGTAACTAAAAGATTGCGATAGTAGCGGAGAATGTAAAGAAAAGCGCGAAATTGACGAGGAAAATCGTGAAGAAAGAAGTTCGGGCTAACGGGGGTGTAATGCGGGCAAAGCCGACTCATGACCACGGATTAGCGGTGAAACCATCCATCGTCGTCTTCTTTCTCGGTGCACCAAGAGGAGGGATCAACCACTGTGGTGCACTACCTACTGTTACCGAAGACGTCACCGATCCATTGGCATCGCCAAACGAAAGCCCGGGTGTGGAAGCAAACTGGGATGTGGGTATTGAGGGAGGCATGACCATTGACGTTGCAGGGGTAGCAAATGGGTTGGGCATGGTCGGCAGAGAAGGTATGGATGGGAGTGTGTTGAAAGGTCGGGCAGTCGCGGGGGACTCTGTGGCAGGAGAGAGGCTCACATTCGAGGCATCCCAAGCTGGGAGGACGTCGTCAGGAAGAGCAGAGAATGAACTTGTGGTTGTCGTAGGTCGAGCTGCGTATCCGTCGTCAAAGGCACTCGGCCTGCCAAATGCAGAAGATGGGGAGGCGGAAGAGAAGTCGGAGGAGCGTCCAAATGCAGGCACTCCGTCCTCTCGAGGAGTGGAGCCAACGGTCTTGGGACCTCTCTCTTCCACAGAATACGACGGTGCGGTCACGAATCCATACTCCAGGTCCAAAGATGACGCTCGAGGATGCGAATTAGCTCCCTGAACCTGGGTTGGTGGTGTTGATTGAGACCTTGTGGAAGGTGGTGCAATCGGAGGCGGAGCAAGACGAGAAGGGGGTTTGGCTGTCGAAGGAGTGTCAGCGCCGTGTTCAACTTCATCGAGGACGTTCTTAATCGCTGCAAGATCGAATCCGGCGCGCAATGGGAGATGAGAAGTCGACGATGAAGGTGTCGAGGGTCGTGAAGGTGTGGGTGTATTCCTGCCAGAGCCTGGTAGCGACAGGGGTGTGACTTTCGGCGATGCATGAGCCGACCCGGTCGGTGTACCCAGGCGTGGTGGAAGGTCGTCGTCTGCGTCGTCTGCAGGTGCGGTGGCCGGAGGTCCCTTCAGAGGCGAGCCGTTGGCACCAGGCAGGTCACTCTTCTTGAAATTAGCGAAGGTTGATGTAGATGGTGGTCGAGAGACATGCTTCTGCGGTGTTGTGTTACTCTTCTTCCGCGAGAACCAGCCCGATTTCTTCTTCTCTTCCTCCTCGCGAACGACGATGCGATCTTCGGTAAAATCAGGTTCCTAGATGGAGAAGGTATGAATATATAGTATAAAATTGGCGTTGAAAGGAAACTTGCCACTGGCTCATCGAAGTAATCCGAGAACACAGGAAACCCAAGCTGATCCAAGATCAAGGGCATGAACGTCCGGTAGCTCATATGCCCAGCAATCTTGTCCGTTACATCTACGTTCTCCAACCCAGGCACACCTTCTACAGGTCGCAAACCAGCCACCGTACCAACACCTCCACTCGTTGCTCTGAACAGGTAATTCAGGACCCAGTCGTTTCTCGCGAAGGCGTTGACATATCGACCAGAGACAACCGAACGGCTGTCGCACCAGAGGCTCTGCGAGACGGTCAGAGTCGCGCCTAGCAGGAAGACGTCTTGTACGATTCCGAACTGCTTCTGCTTGGCGAGCTCGAGGAGAGCGTAGAATATGACCCGGGCTCCGAGCGAGAATCCAATGAGCGTGATGGGCCGAACACCAAGATGACGGTTGATGAGGACATCAGCGAGGACTTTGCCTGCACCCTTAGCGCGGTCGAGAGCGTTGCTCCACGGATTGTCGATGAGGTATCCAAGTTTGGTCAGGACTACGAACGGTCAGAGAAGCGACGAGTGAATGGGATGAAGCGACTCACTGATTGGCCATTGCAGAGCCGTCATCAAACCCGTCATCACAGTGGCCTGGAGCACCGTCATACCAATCTGCGACAATACCTCTCCCGTGAGGATCGATAGCGCCGTACCCGTCTCCCTTATCATCTCGGGTTCCCAGAGCACGCTGAACACATCTCCGACGATAGGATCCAGCACGCTGAACGGCAGCCGTACATCATCATTTATGCCATTCATGAACCTATGGTTGTTCCTTGTTGTTATTTCCACTGCTTGAAAGGCTAATATGACTGACGGACGCACCCAGGTACGGTCAGAATGCAGTTTACCCGTTTGTTGTTGTGAAGCGGCAGAATTTCAAATGTTCGAACCTGTTGCGTTCGCTTGACCATCCCACGTACGGCAATACTTGAACCAGTCAGCACACCGCCGGTCGTGATAACCGCTGCGCCAGTCGTTCCGCCCAGAAATGCTGCTGTTCCTGAAACTCCAACGGTTGTAAGGGCTCCGGCCAGACCAAGGCCGATAACAGGAGCCATTAGACCAGCCGACAGACCGATGACAAGACCACCACCTGGAAAAAGAAAGTGTTAGCAACGCGAAGGCGTAAAGTTATTGTTGACTCACCAATGGTAGCCAAACCAAGCATCATGTATCGTCTCTTCTTTCCAGCCTTACGTGCTCCTTCCACTAATTCTTGCTGTTCTAGGGTTTCTACGTCCTCCTGGATCTCCAGAGCCTCCGTCACTCGACTCTCAAATTTGACAACGTCCAGCCACCCAAGACCCATCTTAAACGCGACCTGCTCAAGCAACACTCGCGAGCGTGCATCATATACACTGTCTGCGATCAGGACGAGGAAGAGATCGCATAAAACGGTCCATCGTATATCCAAGGTAACATTTTCGTCGGTTGATGATAGTGATGTCGAAACTCCGGGAATGGCGGCAGTCTCTGAGTCCTTCAGCACTTTCGTTGTGGTCGGAACTTGCTTAACAGAGGAGGCGGATGCTGACGGAGACATAGCCGACGGATTGGGGTTCTCTGGGGCGTGGATAGTTTGGGTGTCGTCGTCGGAACCGTGGGCGGCTGCAGGGGGAGGGGTAGGGGTCGTACTTCGTTCCTCTTCTTGGTCTTTAGGTGAAGGTTCGCTGGCTTTAGGCAGAGGCTCGTCGACAAGCGTCTGATCTGAGATTGATTCATCATCCGACTCGTCATGGTGGAGCACGTCCTCAGCTTTTCTTCGCGCCTCCTCTGGATCGTATTCCGGATTGGCGACGGTATGAGTGGTCATCAGCGCCGGGACGAGATCGCTTGCGAGAACCCCGTGTTCTGCAAGACTCTCAATCATCTTCTGCTCTGTGGATGCTTCAGCAGCAAATTTTGAGGAGGCTGGATTGACACACCCTGAGTCTCGAGCTCCATGTGATAGTAAAGGCGACCCATGATCTTGAGAGCCCATAATTCCATGTTTGTGATCGAATGCTTCAGCTCCTTACGATGTACCGTCTTCAGACTTTGCACCATTTCTCTACTTGTCAAAGCGCACAGACCGACGTAAGCGATTCGCTGAGCCTCCGTTAGCAGATTCTTCGTCGCTTGCATCTGGCTGAGAGGAGTCATGGCCTTGTCTTCGTCGAAGAGATATCGCGTGCGCAGGTGGACCTCGTCAACGTCCGCCTCCTCGGTCCCTCGAAGACGGGTGTAATCGCTCTCGTTCTGCTCGATCTTAGAGCGCCATTCGTGGCCTTCATCATCGACATCTATGAGGTTGCCCGTCGCATTCGCCGCAGTCTTCCCTTTGGCTGATGGCTGGTAATGGTACCTCTTCTGGTCTTCCTCGTCCATGCCGCTGAGAGACGTGTCCTCTCGGATAATTGGCATATCCTGCCAGCCGTCGTCGTCATCGTCGTCGAAGATGTCTTTGGGAGGAGGAAAGGTTGTCACAGGCGGCATTGGGCAAGGATCTCGCAGCGGCAGAATTGGCTCTACAACTCATGCCGAGGTGCCGATTACTCAATTTCTTGCCACGGTCAGCTTCCTGAGATAGCCAGCCAATGCGCCTGCGGCCTTGGTTCGCACGACGCACACAATGACAGATCCCTTACAGCGGCCTTGCCTAAGGCGTCGTTGCCTCGTTACCTCTCGCTCTCATCTCTATGGACGATATCGATGAACCCTCGTCCATGGATGCAGCAAAGGAATCGGAAACGAAAGACAGAAGCAAACGAAAACGCGTTCAGGGTTGGTTCAAACGGCCCAAATCAGCCAGCCGACTTCGTTTTCTGTTTCTTCAGCGTCTGGCGCCCACGATCCTGGCGTTGGAACCAGCAGAGGGATTGTACAGCCGAGAGCATCAGGTGAGTGTGTGGGCGCCATCTTAGCGTTATCTACGACGACTCAATATCTCTCTAGGCAACAATGGTACCCCGCCTCATGGTATGCACTGTCGTGGAATCCTACCTCGTAGATCTGGCAGACGCAACCCACTTTCCAGAACATACCACCGCGTTGCGGTCATCAAGCGCTTCGGATCTGCTGGATTCCACCATAAGCCAAGGTGAGATTGCCATACGCAGTTTTTTTTTTTGTCTGAGAGATTGACCTCGGACGTGGCTCGAAGGGCACGGTGATGAAATCAGCCGTCCTTCTACCCCTCCTGTACAACCAACCTCGACGAATCCTCAAACGCAGATCTCGGATCGGAAGGCAACTGCAAAAGAGGGATTTGGAGTGGCATCGCGGTTCGCACAAACACTCCTCAAGAAGGTTCCGGCCTGTGTCGAGTCCAATCCAGTCAAGATGGCGTTCTCCATTGCAAATGTGATAATTGAGATAAAAGAGGTCCTGCGACGCGCGCGTCCGTCCAATCCGTCCCCTCCCAAACGCGTGGATGGTTGTCGTTGAGACGCTTTTAGAAGTTCATTGGCCTTTCTGGTGACTCTAATAAGCGGTTTCTTCCTCAGCGAGACCGGGATCTTGAGCGGGAGCGATGCCATGGAAATCTGCGTAGAAGCTCGAAATACGCAGTGGAGGTTGGGACCGTCAGATTCAGAGAGGGCGAGGAGCACAAGTTGAACGTTCTGAATATTGACGTCGTTTGGCAAGGGGCTCCTAACGGTTGTTTCAAATGTTTGTCATGGACGCTCAAACGCTCATGGACGAAAGAAAGAAATACCTCCTTCCCTCCCTCCACAATCTGTCCCCCTAAAGCCTCGAATCGTAGCCGGGACCTCATCGCATGTATCAGCATTTGTGAGGTCGTTGCTCCCTTTGGCCTCTTAAAAGGACTAGCCTACCGGAGCAATCGAACGCCACCTCCCAACGACGGCTAACTCGTGGAACGAATCCCTCTCCTATCTACGATGAACTACAGTGAAGACCTCCAACGTTTTCACGACCTCTACACGCACTTGTGAGGTCGAAACGTAATCGAAGATGTTCAGGAAGGTGGAAAGTATTCTACTATCGACCTCACACTCTTGGACCTCCCACATAACTCTTGTCTCAGCAACGTCGTCCTCGTCCGTAACGAGTATAAGCTTGCCTATGGTAGCATTCTTGCGGACACGCTTCAGAACACTGGACGTCTCAAATCTACCTTCCTAGTAACAGGTCAACCCGGAATCGGTACGTCCAGTTGACTACATACCCCCCTGAAGCATCAACTAATGTGACTCGACAGGAATATCATTGCTCTTGTTCTACATTTTGTCCCGTAGACTCGAAGAACGGCAGCCGGTCGCTTTCCAGATCGACGCTAGCATATTCGCCCTCTTTGACGAAGGCGGCGTATCGTTTCATCCAACATCCGCCTTGTTCACCTGCATTATTCCAAATGGCGCTTGGGCGCTCTCAGATGCGGTCCAAGGACAAACCGGGCCCTGCGCGGCCTTCGACTGTCAACGGGTGCACGTCGTATACACAAGCTCGCCAGCTTCTAGAAACTGGAAGGGGTGGGTGAAGCAGGCTTTCGTTGTGGAGTACGTCATGGACATATGGTCGCTGGAGGAGCTTCGAACATTGTTGTATGTGGCATTGTTTTGTCACACCGTTATTCCACTGACACGTTGGTACCAGGACTATCTCCAACCTCGATGTCCAGCGAGGTGAGGCCCTCTTTCGAAAATACGGACCGAGCCCCAGGATCATCGTCGCCATTCTCCTCAACCCGGAGATGGAGGCCGCATACCTTCGCGATATCCAAGCAGGGGCCGTCGAATTGGCAGTGAATTTCTCAACAGTTTTCTCGGACATACGAAAATTCCATTTTGATTCCCACCTTTCTTCGACAATATTTATTGTCCAGGTGGACATTTCAGGTTCGCGGCAGCATGTTCTGCGCATCCCAACACCATTTCTCGCCAGCACCATTGCCCTAGCTTTGTCACGTCAGACAGCTGCCCAACAAGCGAACTTCTTCACTACACTCACGCATCATCCGTCTCTTCGCAGTGCCGCGGCATGGATCTTTGAGAATTACGCTCACGTCTACTTCTCCGACCCAAATCGCAACCCCCTTCAAGCACGTCTCCTCAATGACTCAAACCCCTACTCCATACCTACCCCCGGTAGGATTATAGTAGGTTCGACAGCGCTGAAGGCTATTCAGCCGCCGTTCAATTTTTACTGGCGGCCCCTAGATCCCATCTTCAATGGTGTCAATGGCGTCGTTCGCGCTGGCAATAATGTTTGGGCTCTACAATTCACGACGAGTGATTCTCTTAGTTCCACCACAAATGGCCTGGATGCGGTTTTCGAGATCATGGATGACAATGCCGATGTTCGGTGGCACTTGGTTATCGTAGACCCAGATTTGAGCGAAGCCGAATTTGCTAGGGATCACCAAATGGTCCAAAACCTGACTGGGCGATGGGGGGGACGCCCGTTTACGCATGTGGACTGCCCCTCGGTGCGTTTACTGAAAAGGACCAGCGGCGGCTTCAAGATGTTTCGGACGAGGTGGGTACATATCCATTATCGTTATTCATAAACTTTGACACACGAATAGTTCAGCGAAACCTATCCCATGGATCAGAGAGCGGACTCGGGTGGCATTCTGTGAGCTGGTGAAAGAGAACTTAGAAACACAGCTCGGAAGTTGGGCGAGAAGGACGTTCACGTCGATGTTGTTGTTAAATCATGGTACATAGTTAACAAATGCGTTGCGTTGCTTGATGACACCATTCAGAACCCTCCACCCCCCTCTCCTGAGCCTGATACTTCTGCTCCGTCCCTCGGGGTCACGAGATGAATGCTAATTTCAGCTGGGGCGGGGATACGGGTGTTACTAACACCTCGGCGTAGGTATCGAGGCGTCGCGTCAGAACAGCATCGACGACGTTATGTCGGGTGGTTATCAAGAATCCCGTGCACTTCAAGTTTCTGCTCGCCGCGCACCGGCATCGCACACACGTTCGGCGCGACGATGACCGGCTTACGGTCGTACGCAAACGGCGAGTGTGTGGTGTTTATCTGCACCATCGCAGAAGTCACATGGAAGTCGGCGTACGGCGATTCGAGGGACGGGATGAGAACGGGAGAGGGCTGTTCCTCATAACTAGTGAAGGAGACGGAAGCGCCTTTAGGACGGGCCTGCGAGGCTGCGAGGCATCAAGTTCCGGAGTTGGGCGTCAGAGATTGCGTGTTGATAGTCTTGCATTGGACAGATTGCTGAGCGCTGAGCAATCGGGATTCGGCGTGCAGGACCTTGAGAGATCTGAGACTTGGCAAGGAGGCGTACAGACGAGTTGGATAACAGCTGGAGGGGTACTGAGGGTAGGGTATAGACTGAAATTATGGAGGGGATGGCCAACGACCGGGGGTTATATTCATTTTTTTTGAAGCACGGTGAAGGAAAGGACGAATAAAACGAGGCAGGAGTAATATATGTAGCGTGTGTCCTCGGGCGGCGGGTTTGACCATTCACGGCAAGATGGTTGCTAATCTAAGTCGCATCCAAGTCGCATCATGCTCGCTTGGCATCAGATCACTACGAGTCCAGCCTGAGTCTCCTAAATCCCGCAGCGTGCCACTCCGGGTCAGTCCTCGAGTCTTACTGGTCAGCCAGCCAGGCTGTATCTCACCAGCCAAGGTGGAAGGGAAATCGGAAGGTCAGCGTTTCCACACAATTTCTGCGACTCTCCTCGACAGCCACTCCGACGTTGATTTCAGCGAACCCTCTAGTCACCATATTCTATTGATGTTGACAGCTTGTACACGTCAATCGAGATGTTTGCGGTTCGTCGACTGGATGAAGGGTTAAATGACGTGTGTGCACCTACCCGAGGCCAATGAGCTAGTTGTCAGGCAAAGAAATCTTCGGCTGGTCAGAAACGAAGAGGAGCTCCTTTGTGGCAACATTGGGATAGTACATATTCCAAGGCTACACAGTTCGGCTGTCTTCAGGCTTCCCTTGTTCTGACGCTAATATCTGTGCCAAGGGGGGAAAGTGCATCTCACTCTGGCTTTCCGTAGTCTTGGTCACTGGACTCTTAGCGATCCAGTACAATCGTCTATACGGACCGGTAACATACCTGTACTCTAAGGCTATCAATGCTTTCCTGTCGAACGTCAAGATTCATTAAATTCATTGCTGATGTATGGACCCGACGCAGGTGTTGTCGGGCATTGAGCCTGCAACAATTGGAGACTTGGTCGATATTGAACGGCAGCTAACACTTACGTGGCCAGCAGGGAATTAGCGTATACTGAAGAAACATTTAAGCAAGCAGATTTTAGTGTAAATCGTAATGCTACTCACGTTTTCCGATAACGAAGTGCAGTCCGAGAAAAACGAGACTGTCGTCGAGCAGCACCCACTTCGAGTCCAGAATGAGGTTTGCCGAAAGGATACCACGGAAAAAATGAACCAACACATAATAGGGATGCCACAGTCGCAATACTATCAACGGGTCGTCGGTTGTGTTCAGCCTAAATAGCTCTAAGGTACAGGAAAGATGCCCACCTTGTCAAAGAACCGATCTCAAAAGTGTACAGTATAAGCGAATCTATGATACGATGAAGCCTGTTTCATGCCATCAGTCGAGAAGCTGGTGAATCTGGCATCGGAGACACACAATATACTCTGTTGGCGAGACCTCCTTAAGAGGAAGAACAGAGAGAGACTGACTAGAATATCCACGGCAGAAGATAGGCTCAGCCCAACGGAAAAAAGCCACTATAGAAAGACATTAGCCGCGTGCATTCGAGCGCAACAGGGATGTTGATCACCTGATAACGCCGTCTGAAAAGCCGATAGCTATGAAGGTGAATCCTATCGGCATCGTCAATGTAAACCGTAAAAAAAGGCGAATATCAAATACATTTCGCCCCCTGAAACTATGGGGAATGAATTCGAAAATCCTACAACGAGAGCTTGAACAAATTTGCTGACCAGACGCCGCGGCTGCTCCATGAGCATGTGAGATAAATCGCGTCCAAGGAACGTAGCTTACATACCAAGCCTCGCGAAGGCGAGAATAACCTTGATTTGCACCACCTTAGATAACCCATAAGGTAAGGAGAGGCGACGCACAACTAGTAACGTCAGATATAATTTTCTGCGGCTTACTGTCACCAGGTCATCACTGTCAACGACAATTAATTGCTAGGAAGATAGACGTACAGTGATAGATCCGATGAGCGAGTAAACTTGGTGTAACAGTCATAAAGTGGTCTTTGAAGACTTGATTGTTCATCATGGCCGTACCAGTGTGTTAGGAAGGTTAATCCCGCCTTTGAACCATCAGGAAGTGTTCGTTTTGAGTGTGACAATCATGCTCACAGTGAGAACGACGCTGAGCTTTAGAGGTGATTTGAACAGAATGACGAGCTGGAACGAGGCGCGACATACAGCTATACTCCTGAAGAGAGTGTGAGAGCTGTAACGTAGAAAATAGACAGCGGTACTTCAACTTACGGGGGAATGAAGTCTATATATCCCGGCTCTCCGAACTTCAGGACGAAATAATTCCACATTGCCATCCATATCAAAGCGGTATGAACGACTTCAAGGAACCTAGATGAGCGCAACCTGAGTTATTCGTTGAGGACTGGAGGGCAGTGCAGACCATACAAACGCAACCTGGCGAAATGAATGTTAGTAACTCAATCGGCGTTGGAAGAAAGAAAGCAGCACACCAAGACTTTCATGGCCGTTCTGTCATTGGGATATAGCTTGAAATATATCAGACATTGCACCGCGAAGACACCAGATAGTCTAGATGAGCGCATATTTAGACTCAGTCAGATGGCAGACGACAGATTTGAGCTAGAACTTACAGCGACGCGAAAAGTACCCCTAGTAGAACTGCGCCATGAGTCCCTGGATCGACCGACATGAAGTGGTTGTCTACGTGGATGCCTCTAGCATTCAGAGCGCAGCGAGTGGGGGGAGGTAGATCATAATCAGAAGAGACAACATTAGACCGATTGACCCCGCTTATATATACTGATGATGGAAGCGCACGACCGAGGATTTTGTGCGTAGGTTGACTTCGGCCATCACCCCATGGAAGAGTCTGTTTGTTAGACGCTAAATTCTCAATAAAGCATGTAATTATATGTGTTGATACATTCCTGTGATTGACATACCAGTCCAATAGAATGTTGGAGCGCTCCTCTTCATGTTTGTGACTGTTCGACTCCCAGACTTCCGGCTCGTCGCTCGTGTCCGTTGGGAAGTCGAGAGCCGAGCACACTTTCAACGTAGGGCCTGGATGTGTTGGGAATAAGAACGAACGGAGCCTTTTGCGAACAGAGTTTGAATTACCTCGACGTTTTGCCGCCCGATATCCCAAGTAGAGTATCACCGCCTAACTTGTGACTAGTTACTGCTCGGAAAACGGAAGTTTGGTTCCACCCGGGACGCTGCAGTAATAATACTCTGATGGATATCAAAAAGGGTCGATGGTTCGGATTGAACGCGGCTTCATTCGGGCAGAGAGAGAAAGCAGGCGCGGAGAGAAGCGGCAAGGAGCACCTATTTTTCGAGTTTCGGTCTCTGGTCTCGACTCTCTAAAGAAGATTGTAGATCATCCTCGTGGACTTGGCGCAGGGATGCCACATTTGTGTTATCTGAAAGCTTGAGTGTGGTGGTCGGAATCTTTGTCGAAGTAAGCCATCGTCGGGCCTCTCCCAAAAATATTGAACGGAACGCTGGACAACAAGACGGCTGCTGGCATACATCCACGGGATTCAGGAAATGGGACACTTCAGAGGGCCATAAAAATCTGGAGAGAGAAGAATCTAAACCTTGATAGTGGCCAACGGAGATAGATCATGGGTACTACTGAACATCAGCACCCTAGAAGCAACAGAAAATCAGTTCAAGGTTACGAAGGAGTAGAATAAAAACGAGAGCTTACACATAGAGCCATGGAGGGTCCTTGCTTATCCAAAGGGACAATCGAGCGCCGAAACACGCGAGCATCCGGAAACAACTCCAAAAGGGACACCACAACGGTAAACAGGCAACCGCCAACATGAAGAAGAAACCAATGAAAATTCTCCGTTAAAGGGCGCAGCTTGTGCGGTTCTGGAACTTGAAGAAAATGGCGTAGGACACGATGATGACGAAAATATTCTTGTTAGCCCTCTCATAATCGAGAGCTAACCTAGAACGATGGAGAATCACAGGTAACGAGCGCAATATTAATATTTTCAGGAGTCCCATGAAGATAAAGTGCCAAAATGAATGTATGCTGACGATAGATGAAGTCAGAAAAGGTTCTTTGCCAGCTGAAAATTCGACTCACAAAGTCACTGTGAATCCCCCAGCCCTGCCTGCTTACACCTCGCCGCTCCTGGGTCCTTCGCCAATTCCAAGACTCTCGACGTCCTTGAGCGGGCTTGCAAAGGTATTTCGGTCCCATCTCCCTATGTGACGATGAACTAATGTGCAGGCATGAACTGGGCATGACAAAAGGAAAGGATCAAACTTGCGATCGACATATCGTGTAACAAAGTTCCCACGGTTAGAGACTGTAACTTCATCTCCGCTTCCACTAAGTACTGGCCGTCGTCCTCATCATCTACCATGTCTTCCTCGGACCCATCATGCCATACCATCGTCTTTGAGAGCAGCGCAGAAGTGCCATCTCCCTCAGAGCTGCGGTCTGCCCTGGAAAAGGGCTCCGACGAGCTCAAAATTGACACGTTGCGGAAGATCATCGTGTCCACTATCAATGGCAATGCATTGGTGAGCATTTTGGAGCTCTTTTACTGGGATTTATAACTCAAGAACTGTATAGCCAACGTTAATGATGCCGATAATCCAATTCGTTATGCCTTCACGGAACAAGCAATTAAAGAAATTGCTGCACTTTTACTGGGAGGTGTGCCCCAAGTATGATGACAACGGGAAGCTGAAGCAGGAGATGATTCTCGTCGTGTACGTCTCTACATTTTCACTCTTTTACTTTTGGCTGAATCCAATTTGCGGGAAGAAACGCAATCCGGAATGACCTGGTAAGCAGTCACCTCATACGCGCCACGTTCATCTAAATCATGCCCTCTACAGCAACACCCCAACGAATATATCCGCGGTGCAAGCCTCCGTTTCCTCCAGAAGATCGCGAAGGATGCTGAACTCCTGGAACCCCTTATCCCTACCTGCCGCTCTTGTCTCGAGCACCGACACTCGTACGTTCGCAAAAACGCCGTCTTCGCCCTGTATTCCATCTACCGAGAGTTCGAAAACCTGATACCCGACGCGGCGGAGCTCATGTACACCTTCCTCATCGCGGAGAGCGACTCCTCCTGCAAACGCAATGCTTTCGTCTTCCTCGCGCATTGCGCCATGCCCAAAGCCGTTGAATACATCCTGAGCATATACGACACCATCGGCACACTAGATGAAGCCTTGCAAATGAGCATAATCGAGATTATCCGTCTGGATTGCAAGAATGACTCTGCCCATCGCGTACGCTCTGCTTGCCTGTTCTGAGATTATACGCTGACTTCTTGTTCCAAATATCTAGTCTCGGTACATCCGATGCATTTTCGAGCTCCTTAACGCGTCCTCACATGCCGTCAAGTACGAAGCTGCCACTACGCTCACGACCCTTACCCAAAACCCTGCTGCTGTTAAGGGTAATATGGCATTTCCATACCGTAAATCTTACACGTTCTGACGTGTCCTAGCTGCTGCGTCTTGCCTTATCAATCTCGTCATCAAGGAATCCGACAACAACGTGAAACTCATCGTCCTAGACCGACTGGAGAATCTGCGCGCCAAGCATGGTCATGTTCTCGACGGTCTCATCATGGATGTGCTACAGGTCTTGTCAAGGTATATGCTACGTGTTGTTCCTTGCCCTTCACATTCTGACATCTTCGTCATGAAGTGCCGATATGGAGGTTCGCAGGAAGGCGATTGGCATCGTTCTGAGTATGACTTCAAGCCGGAACGTCGAAGAGGTGGTGTTATTCCTGAAGAAGCAGCTGCAGAAAACACAAGAGGCCGACTTTGAGAAGGTGCTCATTTCTCTTTCGCTCTGCTGTGCTTCTGCTGTTCCTTGCTAACCTTCGACGGTTCCAGGCACCTGAATACCGACAACTGCTTATCCAGTCTATCCATGTCACCGCGATCAAGTTCTCTGAGGTTGCGGCCAGCGTCGTCCATGCCCTGATGGATTTCCTCGGAGATTCAAACAACCCTTCCGCGCTCGACGTCGTCGCATTCGTCAGGTAGGCCTCGCCTTATTTCATCTAGTCCACCGAAACACATTCTTACTTTCACCTTCTCGCGCATATAGGGAGGTCGTCGAGAAATTCCCCCATCTCCGCGCAGCCATCTGCGAGAAACTCATCTCAACTCTCTCCGACATCAAGTCCGGCAAAGTTTTCCGGGGCGTCCTCTGGATCCTTGGCGAATACGTCGAGTCTCTACCCGATATCCAGGTCGCGATGCGTGAAATTAGGAAGGTCCTCGGCGAGATCCCGATTCTGGCATCAGAGCAACGGCTGTTGGACGAGGCAGGTGGTGACGGAGAGGGCGAAGAAGAGAAGGAGAAGGAGAAGCCGAAGGAGCCCAGCAGTCGGCCGAAGGTCCTCGCGGATGGAACGTATGCGACGGAGACGGCATATACGAGCGCGAGTACGGCGAGGTTAGAGGCTGTTAAGGCTGCTGCGAAGCCGCCATTGAGGAGTATGTCACCTCCAAAACTTTCGTGACTGTATTACTGACGTTTTGTTTGTAGCACTGATCCTCGGCGGAGACTTCTTCACTGGTGCTGTTTTGGCTGCTGCCCTTACTAAGCTTGTCCTCCGATTCGGTGAGAAGACAACAGATAAAGTGGCTTCGAACTCTCTTCGTGCTGAGGTCCGTTAGGAACATCTTTCCTCCTTTCAACTCATTAACGTATCTGCTCGTAGTCGATGCTTATAATGGCCTCGATCATCCGCGTTGGTCAATCCAAATTTGTGAATGTTCAAATCGACGAAGATTCGAATGAACGCATCATGAACTGCATCCAAACTCTGAGCGAACTCAAGTCAGAGCCTGCAGTCCACGAAGTGTTCTTGCAAGACACAAAGACCGCGTTCTCGAAGATGCTTGGTGCACAGGAGGTTCGTTTCTTTATAACCATGCGCGTATGATAATTAATGCCGACTCTGGTTTGTAGAAACGGGCAGCGGAAAAGAAGGAAGCCGAGACCACGAAGGCTGTTGCCGTCCAAGTCGACGACCTCCTCTCGTTCAGACAGTTCTCAAAGAAGACGGCGGACGAAGCCATAGATGTACGTAGGGAGCCTCCTGGGTCTCATCACTGTTTAACATCTGTTTCTATAGTACGATGAGGACGTTGGTCGTGCTACCGGTGCAGGGGAGGTGCAGGAGGACTTCATGTCGAGCCTGAGCCGGATCTCACAGCTTACCGGTTTCTCAGACCCTATATATGCGGAGGCATACGTCAAGATGCATGGCTTCGACATTCTTCTGGGTTCGCGTTCCTTGAACGTTTCAAAGTCTAACTACTCAAACCTGGCTCTCAGACGTCCTACTAGTTAACCAAACGCCAAACACGATGCAAAACCTTTGCTTGGACTTCGCAACCCTTGGAGACCTCAAGATCGTCGAACGGCCAGCTGTCTACACCCTCGCTCCTCATGGGTTTCAGAGCATCAAGGCCACCATCAAGGTTTCATCGACGGAAACTGGTGTAATTTTTGGTAGCATCCTCTGGGAAGGACCCAACATGTCGGAGGCCTGCGTAATCTTGAACGATATCCATATCGATATTATGGACTACATCAAGCCCGCGTACTGTAATGAAGCTCAGGTCTGTCTGTCTTTTTCTTTTTATCGTGAGTATGAGGCGAATGTTATGGCCTTGTAGTTCCGAAGTATGTGGACCGAGTTTGAGTGGGAGAACCGCGTCAACGTCAACAACCCAATGTCGTAAGTTCCCCATTTTATCGGCCCTGTCTGCTGCTGCCGCAGGTTAGTAACTGCACCCTCAGCGATCCGCGCGAGTACCTCAAGCACGTCATGAAGGCCACCAACATGTCCTGCCTCACACCCGAAGGTGCCCTTTCGGGCGAATGCGACTTCCTTTCTGCGAACATGTATGCCCGAAGTCTGTTCGGTAAGTGTTGGCCCTGTCATCTCTGACGGAACAGTGGATTCACCCTGCTACCCTCTGCACAGGCGAGGACGCCCTGGCCAACCTCAGCGTCGAACGTACAGAAGCTGGCACCATCACTGGCCACGTGCGCATTCGCAGCAAAACGCAAGGCATTGCTCTCTCGTTGGGTGACAAGATTACAATGGGTGCGCGAATCGTCTTGTAATATTCTCATCGCCTGTACTGACTGGTCATCGGTTTTCAGCCCAAAAGGATAATAAACCTCTGACGGTGTAGAGATTAGAGTTATGATGCCTTCTGGATGGTTTACCTGCGCATGAATAGTGTAGTTTCATAAAAATTCGGAATTCCTCTGTTATTTATGGACACGATCGATAGCTCTGGGCCTGGGTGTTCAGAGTAAGCTGTGAGAGTGAATGAAGCTTTATTTAAATCCCTGAGGTGACACTGAAGCGAACGCTACACGAAACACACTGTGGCCGGTCAAATTAAACGCAAACACCACCACACCTAGATCTCGCTGACCTACATAAGTATCTATAAGTATCACAACCATGATCTTCCTTCAACTGCCACCATGCTGGGTAAGTTTAAATCCGAATCTTTCAATGCACCCATACTGATCGAATCCAGTCGTTGGACTGACAGGTGGCATTGCGACTGGCAAATCCACGGTCTCTGGGATTCTTAAGGCGTCCAAAATACCCGTAGTCGACGCGGATGTTATCGCGCGTCAGGTCGTCGAGCCTGGGACACCTACTCTCACAAAGATCGTGAAGACCTTTGGGAACGACGTTCTGTTGCAAGATGGCTCTCTAGACCGGAAGAAGCTTGGGAGCATCATCTTTGGCGACGAGGCGAAGAGGAAGCAGCTTAACCGGATCGTGCATCCTGCCGTCCGGAAGGCCATGTTCTGGCAAATGTTGGGTTATTGGATACGTGGCCACAAGTATTGCGTCATGGACGTGCCGCTACTGATCGAAGGTGGGCTCTGGCAGTGGGTTGGCGTCGTCGTCGTCGTATATTGGCACGTGTATTGGGCATGGTATCCCTGTCCTTCACTAACGTGTTCCCTGTAGTTCTGAAGAGTTGCAATTACAACGGCTCATGCAGCGCGATAGCTCGTCAAGAGAAGACGCCTCAGCACGCTTCAATTCACAGCTGCCTATATCTCAGAAGGTCGCATATGCAGATTTTGTCATCGACAATTCCGGTTCGAAGCAAGAGCTTACGGCCCATGTCGAGTCACTGATACGACGACTGGAAGCTCGCGCAGGCTGGACATGGCGGGTTAGCTGGCTCCTACCCCCCATAGGCATCATATCGGCGTGCCTAACGCTGCTATGGAGGAGGTTAGGATGGAAGCGCACGACGGAACGTCGTGGCTCGCGGTGATAAGACGTAGACATGTAATGTGAGTTACGTTTCTTTGCTTTCTATCTGCAGCCAAAGTATTCATCCACGGCCCAAGAATAGAGAAGGTCCGGAAGGCCTGTTTATTATATTATATACCTTGGACTCATCGATATACATCCTAACAGGCATGAGCACACAATTCACAATTTGAACGGAAAAATGCGAAGTACTGTGGTTACCACTCTATATCAAGTGTCCCATGCAACTATCCGGATGAAAGGGTTGATGAACTATGAACAGCAGCAATGCGTGCTTCTAGGTCCACATTGCACCGCGTCTAGAGATGAGTATGCGTCAGCAGGCGACTGATTCTTACCAAAAGAAAAACTTACCATAGCTTCAAGACCAATGAAGCCGACGAAAACATCGGCCCTTTGCTCGGGCGGCATGTTCAGAAAGTCTTCAAGAGACACTTGGCACAAGACTATAGATGCCGAAAAATGATTTAGCCCGTCGATTGTGGCAAGATTCGTCTCCTCATCCTGCACAAAGATTTTGCAGCCTCAGCCAGCGATATAACTTGAACTAGCTGAATCCACGAACCTCCAAATAGTCTTGCATCAACCACGTTCTCTGACCCCAGATTGCACCCTGCGTTTCGTCAGTCGCCTCCGCCGAATCACCATACCATCGCGTCAACAACGCAGCCTCATCTACTGTGTTGGCGAAGGCGTACTGAACAGCAGTCTCAGGCCGCTTCGTCCCACAAGCCTCAGCGATGCTGACGTCCCGCCTAAATTTCTTGATCGCCTTCAGGATCGGTGCGGTATATGCATTCAAGTCGGGTGTGCAGCCTAGTTTCAGGCCGGAGGCAGGGTCATCTGCAACTGTCTTCCTGCTATCTCGCGATCGCCTGGACCTCTGCTCTGGGTACGCCTCGAATATGACAAGCAATTTCCCAAATTTCCAGGACTGTTGGGCTACTTTCTCCACATAGGCTTCGCATCTCGCCGGAAGGGTAAACAGAGATAAGAAGAGGACGGCACAGTTCGGGTCCACGATGAGGTCAACCCCGCCTAGAGTTTCGCGCTCGACTACTTCGACGGCGCATATATTCGACTTGAGGGCGCGAACGACAGCTTGCTTTTGGATGAGCTCGAGAGACACCATGTAGAAATGGAGAGAATTTGGAACAGAAATCGTGTCAGGAAGACAGACAGTGTCAGCATCGAAAATCTCTGTTGGCGGGCGCACTGGTTGGTCAGAGGTTTCCAAAGGTTGACGATGAGGTGATGGTTCTGCGTTGATTGGTGCTTTGGATACAGAAACCTTGCGAGCACGTAGCTGGGCGAATGCTGCGATACCCAGTGAATGGGAGGTGATCTCGAGTTCAGGGAAGGCTGGAAGCAGAGAAAGAGGTTCCGGTGAGGAGATTCCTTGCTGTCTTGGGTCGGGCTGTGGTCTCGGCGACGGAGTAGGCGGTGAGACGTATTCAAGTTCTTCGTCGCATCGCAAGTCTTCCTCCCAAGGATCATATCGGCCAGGCAGGGAAGCCAGACTAGTTGAAGGGACAGGACGAGAGCCAAATGAAAGGGGCTCGAAGCTCTCATTTTGCGGACTTCGGTCATCGTCATAGCTGACGAGCTGGATGTCGAAACGGTGTCCGTTGTCTTGCACGTAGAAGTCCGAACTTTCGTCCATAGGTGCGGAAATCAATGACGATGAAAAAGGCGGCAAATTCTCTTTGTCATCCTCGTCATATTGTATCTCGAGGCCAGGCGACCCACTTCCGAAGAATATGCCCGAATCCTCTGCAAAGGCTCGGGCATACGAACCACGGGGTCGAGTTTCGTCTTCGTCTGGAACATCGAGTTTCAGGCGTTTGCGTTGTGGTCCGCCTTCCTCTAACATGTTCTCTTCATCTGCAGATCTTTCATGCCGCACCAAGTTGCGGTCAAGGTTGAGGCTCTTGCCACTGTCATGTCCTTGGTTTTCCAAACCAGCCTCGACATCGCCACCCTCTTCTTCATATTCATGAGCCCGTCCTTCCATTTGCGCAAGCCTACGCCTCTCTTGCCTATTCAAGAGAATCTTGAAATCATCATCGGATGTATACGGTGGCGGCGCAGTGTCCTGCTCATCTTTGAACTTGACGAACATGGGCACGGTGTCATCATTTGGTCGATCAACCAGATCCATGGACTGAAGGAGCTTCATTGCATAGGCGTAATCCGACTCCGGGCTGAGATTACCCTCTTCCAACTGCTGTGATTCTGGGAAAAGGTCCATGACATCAACGATCTCGAGCACAGTGGGAAGCTTCTTGTCGACCGTGAAAGCGCTGGAGAAGTAAAAGAAACAAGGGCGTTGAGAAGCGCATATGTTTGACTGTTTGCAACTCACACCCAAGACAGTGAAAGCCCAAGCGATTGGAGACCTTTCACTTTCTTCAGGAACTGATGAGGGGGTAAATCAACCTGTGGTTGGGCTTTCTTGTCCTTCTTGCAAACCGGGGGAATGAGGAAATCCGTGAATGCTCTTGGGACATGCATTGCATTCGGCGGATGGACGTTGGGAGGGGGTAAATCAGGGACTAGAAAGGATTGGCGAGCATTAGATTGGACCTCAGCGAAAGACACAGCAACGTTATTCACCTTCCATCAAAAGACTTTGCTTGTCATCTAGCGTTTCGTTGAGGATGAAGTTATCGAGAGTGCGGCCTTCATAAAGTTTCATAAGGTCGGATTCAAGGTCGTCGTTGTCGTCGGATTTTTTGGGCCGAGGATCGTCCATGTCGTTGTCGAGCATTGTAGAGGGCGGTTGGCCTAGCATGGACGAAGGTACCGGAGAAGAATGCCGCTCTGCATCCTCCTTCGTCTCTTCCTTCGAGGTCAATGGAGGTAGGAAGGGTTTGAGGAAGGAACCCAGACTAGATTGAACATTTAGCATGATACGCTAACATGACAGAGATGGCTACGCACGTTTGGCCATGGAGAATATGCGGCGCCACTCCGTCCTTACCTCCAATTTTTGATGATCGAGGAATGAGGATTTCGTCTATGCCAGATATTATTAGCACTCGCAAAATAGCAAAACCAGCGCAAGCATACCCATTTTTGCTTTTTCCATCTCTTCAGCAAGAGTAGGCTCGGTCTGAGGAGTTGAAGGCAGGCACAATTGATCAACCTGATCTTCGTCACTATTTGTAGACGACGGCGTCGAAGGAGGCGAAGACTTGATGGTTTCTACAAGTGCACTTATATCAAGGAAAACATGCAAAGAAAAAAGAGAAAAACGTACCCCATCCATCAACAGTGACCATTAAATTTTGCAACGAAATGTCGCCATCAGGATCTTCTACGGCTGTCTTCTTCAGCGCAATAGAAGGCTTGTCGATTAGGTCCTTAAAACATGAAGGTGCGAATGCCGGTTTCTCGCAAGCCTTGCCCGTCTTGACTGGCACTCTTGGAAAGATAGGCATAAAGAACTCCTCTTCTGGAAACGGGATAGGATCGGAGAGGAAATCGTTCCTGAGAAAGGTAGGGTCTAGGTACTTGTTTTTGCACGACTTCTGAAGGCGCAACGCATCCGTTGTGGCTTGAAGAAGAGCTTTGACAGTAGGCAACTCTTGCGGGTCTATTTGGTGTTTCAACTGCCTGGTGATTATTCAGAACAACGCATATATGTATCAAAGGCTTGGAAATACTGACAAAACGTCTTCAACTGCCACCACCGGCTCCTGCACCGGCTCCACTTCGACCGTACTGATCTTTTGCACTTCCAAAATGTCCTTCAAAGTACGAGGCCCGCCATTTTTCTTCTGGCCGAGTTTAGGTGTTTGTCGACGCGATTTTCGCGTCAAAGCAGGAAAAAGGGGCTCTTCCGGGATATCGTGACCATCTTGAGAAAGATAAAAATCAGCATCCACGTCCTGAGGCGAATCCGAGTCCGAAGTCACAGTTGTCATCGAAGACAATTCTCTCGGTCTTCGGTCGACCTCTCTTCGTGTTCATGATGCGTTTGAGATACGCGACAGCGTCTGCACTTGTCTGAGGATTTTCATCATATGGAGGCAGCGAATGGATTGAATTCTTCTGAGCGAAGGTGTCAAATGGATCGACGGCAAGTGTGAGCGAGTAACGGTCGGTCAGTGGGACTGGTCTTAGGTTCTCGATGAACTAGGTGATAAGAGAGTGCAGTGAGGCTTGGAGCGACCACGAGAAGATAGGCTGTACGTACCTCAGCGACCAGATCTTCAGTAAAAGATATGTAGTCAGTCGTGTAATGAGCCTTGGAATAATCACGAAGTAAAGTGTGGATGTGCTGCCGGAATTCTGCAGAGTCTTCGATGTTAGTAGTCATAGTTATCGCTCACGTATCGTTCAAAAGCTTTAATTTTGTGAGTTCGTGAAGAGATAAATGGAGCACTGATATTATGTAGAGGAAGAAAACGAAGGTGACTCTGAGATCAGTTTTACAACTCCGCCATGAAGCTTAATTTTACCGAGGCAGGTTCCAAAAATAATCCCGCCCTTGTTTGTTCATCGCAAACTCTCCCCACTAGTGTTGCCGGGAGCTGAGGTTGAGTCAACTCGAGGTGGAAATATTTCGAACTCAGACGAACTCGAGCTGATGGGAGCTCCAACTCAGCTCGAGTCACCTCGTAATCAGTAATCAAATTATTTCTCGATTGGGCACCCGCCTCTCCTCAGTAAAAAGGACGAACGACGATGGCATATTGCGGCCTTGTAGTGATTAGAAACGTATAGAAAAAGGTGTATACAATGTAGCGTTGAATAGAAGTATATTAGACTCCTTAAAGTAGATTAATTATTGCCCTCGTCGTCGTCATAGTCAAATTCCTCCATTCCCCAACCCTCCCAAGACACGTCAATGTATTCCTTCAGTTCGTCAATCTTTCCGGCCGCCATGAGCTCGTCAATGACATTAGGATCCATGTCAATGACCGACAACTCGCGTTCGCTGCAAACCAACCCCTCCGTGAAATTGATACGGTCATTTCGGTAACGGTGTTTCAGAATCTGAAGCTCTTCCATTGTGAACTCTTCAAGATTGGAACGTCGCATGGTGTCAGTCTCCTTGCTCGACGAGAAGACCCTCTCGCATGGAACAGCCGAAGCTTGGGCAGGTAAGACATCGCATGCGACCCTCCAAAAGAGTGCATGATTACCCTGCTCAGCCTAAAAACGGATGTCAGAAGCCAATGGCATTTTGAAAACTTGACAACGTACCTGCCAGAAGCGAAGTAGATCGAAATCCTTCATCTTTGGGTGGCCTTTGCTAATAACGCCCTCCTGTTCATAGGCTCGAATCGCCGCCTCAACGATCCTTCGATCTTCAAGGTCTTCATGCTGCCAAATGGTTGCCTCGTCTTCGTTGGCAGCACTTGAGGACCCATTCGTGCCAGAAGTGCTCGCTGCAGGGATGGATGAAGCTGATAGTGTGCGTGCAAGCTCATCGAGACGTTCGAAACCGCTCGCTTGGGCACGGGCAGCGTCCGAGGCCATGGAGAGGCTCACGAGCCGTCGTGAAATGGGCGGCGGGGATTGCGAGTCAGTCGATGGTGATGGTGGTGTATCTGATTCTGTCCTCCGACTGTTCTTGGTCTGCTTGCGGATATCTTGCTGATACTCAAGAAGCTTAAATCAAGATGTCAACCTTTTAACATCGGAAAGTAAGAAAGTAATTTACGTACAACATTGAACACAGTCACTCTTGCATTTGAATAAGCATCGGCATCCCAATTCTCTTCGAGCCACTTGAATTTGATAGTCGGGTTGATCACTATTCAAAGATGACGACTTCAGTCAACTTTTCACAAGGGAACTGAACAGGAAATACCCATGGCAAGAACATATATCCTCGTCCGACGAGATAGGTTCAAATATTCCTCGAGCTTTGTGCTAGACACACTAATGGCATGCGAGAGTTCCGGAATTTGCAAACGGAGGTCCTTGAGCATCACAAGAAGCTTCTCGTACATGGGAAGCACAAGTGACAGGGTAGGTGTCTTCTCTCTGGAAACAAGCTCCTGGACCACATGAAAAACATAAAGAAAGTACCGTATGTCTGCAAGAACAGAGATCTCCATCTCAGTAAACTCGTATTGGGAGAGATCAGGGTTGTTCTTAATCATCTCTTTGGAAACCTAACAGAAACACAGTTAGCTCGAGACTAAAGAGGCACAAGATAAGCCGTACCGGGTGCGTCTCAAGAAAGCGGTCAATCATGCGAAAGGTGGACGACCAACGTATATCCATATCCTTTAATAAGCCAAGCGGCCGCAATTTCTTCATTGTCGCATCAATGGTCTTTAACTTACGAAGTGTCTCTTCGAATTCCTCTCGACGCTGCCCAGAGGATCGGCAAGCAGTGACCCATTTGCGGACAGAGGCTACAACATCGCTCTCGAGAGCGTCTCGGTATTCGGGGTTGTTCTGAAGTGGATCCGAGCTGAAGGAGGGGGTTGATTGGGCACTTGCCTCGAGGTCAAGAATATCTTGATCAAATAGTGGAAGTTCTGTAAGTTCCTTGAGGCCAGCTTTGACTGCGAGGTTGATAACATGTGGGAAGCATCTATAGAATACGGTTTGAGTACGAGTGCAACTACATATCATGACAACTCACCGAATCCGATTCCCGTCCTTGTCAAATGGGATACCCAACAATTCCAGCTCATCCGACAGCTGCTCCATCATTGTATTGTTGTTGCCAGCATTGTCGAGTGTGATGGCAGAGATCTATGCAAATATTCATGAGGCTAATCAAGAAATTTCAGCCACAGAAAGCTTACCTTCTCGACACAATGAATTTCCTTCAAGACTTGCATAAAAACATGGCCAATGTTGACGCCCGTGTGACTGCCTCGAATGCGACGGAAGGCTACAAGGTGGCAGCGAAGGACAAGGCGGCCAGTCGCAGGGCATCGTGCGAGATAATGCACTGTGACTCCCATATAACCTTCCTGATTCTGGCGAGACCAGATGTCACTGGTAAATGAAACACGTCCCAATGAGTTCTGTAACCTACATGAGCATCTGTTTTCATTCGATTGACAGGCAACGTACCTCGATATCCAACAGCATAGCCATATATTCCTGCTTGAAGTTCGTTGTGATTATTTCTGACAGCTTTGTGCGATGCGGGATGTCATCATCGCTGAGCTCTACCCCAATATAAAGAAGGAGATCACGGAGCTCGGGGCAATCAACAACATCGAGCGACTAGATGGAGTTGATTAGGATGGCCCAAGTGAACGAAATGCAATTGATCACATACCTGATCGTCGACTACTACCCATTTAGCCAATCGGTCCAAGAAGCCCTCGAGGGTGAATGGCTCTCGCTCGCGATTTCGTTTCAGCCCCATCATGCTCTCCTCACCGAGGCTTTCCCAACCCTTTAACTTCTTCGCAACAACAACGTCACGCCAATGTCTCCAGTGCTTTAGTTTGAAATGATTTCGTATAGCCTTTGTCTGACCGTCAATGTTCTTCCAGGTCGTCCAGTCATTGCCACTGTGTAGACCTCTCACGTCAACAGAAACCTTTAGGAGGAAGAAAGGGGGACGACGTACGTGCAAAGGCGGCATCCTAGAAAGTCAAATTTCTTTCGATCTGGCCGTTTCTCCAAAATTTCCTCCCGTTCCGGCACTGCCGCAGGACGAATATCAGTTGTCAGTCCACGCGTGAAGTACCACACATCCGATGCGGCAGCTCAATCTTCCCTTGATTCCGAAACAAGCAAAGACCCCTCGATGGCAATTGTTGGACCAGCCCGCCGCAGGAGAGATGGATGGGCAGCAACACGAGACTCGGGAGGTTGTGACGATGGGTGTTGAGGGCCGACTCCAGGCACAGAGGGAGCAGGCGCAGAGGGAGCAGCCTGAGGCTGGAGGGTGGTGGCTGAAACGGGTGGAGTTGCACCCGATGTATTGACGTTTGTGTTTTGCTTCTTCCGTCGGCCGCTGCTGCCTTCACGGCCTGACTTGCGCTTCTTGGATGCCGAACTTGTCGAGGTAGCTGCAGCAGGTGGGCTTGAGTTGACGAAGGTTGGGGTATGGTCCGATAGCGCTACTCGGAACGCGGGTGGCTCATTGGGATATGGCGGAGCAGGTGTCGATCCATACGTGGCTTGAAATGTGTTCTGGAAACCATATGCTGAGGTTGCTGCCTGCCCATTATTGCTAAAACTGATAGGGAGCTGAGCCGGAAGTACTGGAGCACTAGGGAAGGTACGAGGCCATTGGTAGATTGGAGGATACGAGTGGGTAAAAGCAGGATGATATGATTGTTGTGAGTGGGAATGAGTAGAACAGATACATCCATGTGGGCCTTTACAGACACCACAGATGGTTGACATACTGGTATGATCTACGTGCCATTTTTTCCGCCCACCTTTTATACCCGTTCCTCCCTGCCCCCTCGCCTTTATACCTCCTCCCGACCCAAGAATTTTCAACAAGCCCGACGCGTCAATGACACCAAACTGACGCGTCTAAGCGTCGCCAAACGGGGACTCCGTAGCTTGAGGCGCGAGGATTTGAATGAGGTGGGGTGATGGCAATATCGTGTAACCACGAGAGCGGATGGCAGCCTGCAGGGTCCTGGGCTTGGAAGCAGTCCATGGCAGGGTTGCTGATGCGCGGGGCGGCACTTGGAAGGCGGGAAACAGATGGAAACCAGAGAGAATGGCGCAGACGGGGTGTGCAAGGTGGTGGAAGGAGGAAGAAGAGCTGTGGGAAAAGCAGCGTCAATGTTCGAAGCTTTGAGACGTGCCATCAATGTCAGCTCGGAGTCAGCTCGAGCTGAGCTGCACCTCTGTTGCCTCGAGGTGCCCGATTTAGAAGGCACTCCGAGCCAAGTTCAACTCGACTCAGAGTTCACCTCAGCTCCCGGCAACACTACTCCCCGCCCACCTCAGCGCGGTGCCATTGCCAGAATGGGAGATGCGAGATGCAAGTCACGATCGGCTCCTGGCTTGCCCCCGCCAATACCCGTCATTCAGCTTCAGCTCATCGTCCTGTTCATATTGTCCTCCCCCGCCTTTGCCTGCCCTTGCCGTCGTCTCGCCGTCTTCCTGTGTCACCCTCGTCGTCCCCTTTCGTCCCGCTCTGGCCACTGTGGTCGTCGCATTGTCGTAGCCATCACCTTGCCATGGCCGCTGGTGTTCATGCATATTTTTGCTTTCGGGCATGTTGTTAAATAGATGAGGGGGTGTACGAGCTGAGTGAGGGTCTTGGCGGGATGTTGGCTCGGGCGGGCTTCGGAGGGTGGTGTGGCGGCGTGGGGAATGGGAAAAGTGGGTCTCTTTACGTGCCCCGCATTGGTTTTTGCTTGTTTCTACACTGTCCTCACCCTACAGCCCTGCTGACCCTGCTCCGCTCGCTGTTGTGGTCCTTCCGCCTATCTCTCCCTTGGCGTCGTTGCGGTCTCGGTCTCGGTCTCGGTCTCGCGCTGTCACCCTCATCGCTGTGGCTTCATCCTCATACGGCTGTATCACTCTCACCTCGCCAATGTTCGCCCCCTCACTGTGGGCAGCCGAAGCTCCAAAAAAACCCGCGTCGGAATAGCACTGATATCTACGGTATCTTGTATGCACCGTAAACTACTGCCTGTTGTAGCCTTATTTTAACCTGCAATACAACCGGAGTATTAGGGGTTTCAGGCACCGAAAAAAAGTGGAAACACGTGGCAAAAACCCCAAATTTCGGCACCTATTGCAGATTTTTTCGTGGTGGTCGGGCAGGCATTTTTGGCGCCTACACCCTGCTGCTATTTTCATCGGTCTCATAGGTGGTCATAGTCCTGGAGCTCAAAGCAGTTGTATTTATAGTTAAATATTACATCTGTACATAGTATCTGAGGCTCCCCACCCAACTGCTGAGTTCTGTCGCACCCGTGTCGAGCTCGCGGCAAACCACTCTATTCATCAAAGGCCTGGGGAGAGCTGGGCACATAATGAGTGATTTTGAACGGGACAACGATTAATTCATACCTAGCAGCTGTGGATGGCGTAACTGGCATTTCTGAGCTTGAGAAAGGTCTGGACAACGTCGGGTCAGCGTTTATGTACAGCGAGAAGCAGCAGACTGAAACATACTCTTGCTACGGATTCCACATTTGCCACAACTATGGTTGATAAGGAATCAGTGCGGCGAGAGTCAATTGAAGGGATAGATGTACCGGACAAGCCAGTACGTAGGCCGTCGTGATCTTCTGCTCACAGTTGCTCTATGGAGCACTGGCGGTCCCTATAGAGCTCTTGATAACCGGGGGTCCTGCAATCTTCCAATGCAAACGAGACTGAAACCTGGTGCCCCTCACCGAGTGTAATGGGAGCGTGAGCCCGCACTAGATGTTGGTACAACTTACTGATCGAATCAGTACCAACATGAGGGGATGATGGAGGGCGCGTACCTTGACACCTCCTTCGTCAACACCGTAGATGCCAAGTTTCGGGTGTGGTGCGGAGTTAGCAATATTTGCGATGTCAAACCAAGCACACGAACAGATTTTGAATCTTGTAGACACGTCAACAAAATGGACTCTCAAAAGTCGATGAGCTCGGGAACAACGTACCTGCCACACAAGAGCCGCCCACAGTATCATTTGCTCCTTCTCGCAACTGGTCTTTGCAACAATGACACTGTGAGTGAGCACATAACAGCAAAACCAAATGTGAACTTACCTTTGCCTGATGCTGTTTATAATCACCTTTGCTTTCGGTGTGGTTCCTATACCACGTATATGCCCTATGGCTTCAGGAGCTATCCTGCCAGTTGTGCATATGCCGATGATGCCGTGCTGAAAGTTAGAGAGGGCTGGTACTCAAGAGTTGCTTCAACTTGCCAGAGATGGGGCCACAGTGGACGAATCATGGATGAGTTGACTCCAGGTCATAAAAATCCAAAAGATGAGCATAAATGAACGCATACATTGAATAAGAGGCCATACCTACAGCACCAGTGTCACTTCTAGACACGCTCAGGCTCCAGCAGCGATCCGATTTGTGATCGGCCAGATCGGAGAGCGGAATTTGTTCGTGCAGGTGTTCCATCTAGTTTTGAGGTAGTTATATGGCCATCTGTGCTGACAGATAGAAGATCAGGCGTGGGGAGGGGGTGAGACAAGGCAGTTGGGGTACAAGCTGCGGAAGACACATTGTGGCTCAGAACGGGATGCGTACTGTCATGTGCTCAAAGTTGTTTGGCATCAGCTTGTTTGGACACCTAGTGGAACAAACAAGCCAATGCCAAACATTGGTCAACCTGACGCCCAAGTCCGCTGTCCCTTGTCAGCATGCCAAGCTCTCCAGGTTTGCGCTACCACCACTGATGCTGCCCATTCGCTGGTGAGTACTCTTCTCCTCTCTGTGTATCTACAAGTAGCTAATCAAAGTGTCATGATTCCAGAGCCATATTCGGTGCCTGGACTCATACCCCAATGAGCTGTTCAACCAGGCACTGCTCGACGGCGACCAACAGACTGTACCACGAAGGCTCGTGGTGCGTATCTTCCCACTGTGCCATCTGTGGACTGACCACTCTAGATCTGGAGCTTCAGACACTCCAAATCCCCTCTATAATGATTTGCGACACCATGGTTGGTCCTCTTCCAGCACCATGAAATACACGCCGTCGGTGCGCATCTTGTAAAGACAGAGCACCGTCTTTGAAAAGCCTGCATATGTTGCAGATTGCTGTCTGGACCTTGTCAATGGGCAAAATCAGGGTGTCAGCTTGGTCCATGGTGTTAATGTGTATCTAGGCATATTTTCGGTGTATTGTTGAGCTATGTTTTCGATCCTCAACATGAGGATGCGGACAGATGGAGGGAATAACTCTGGAAGGCAAGATGGTGTCACAGCAGCAATAAGTCCCATTACTGTAGCTGAATTGTAACTACCTCATAGGGCATAGGCAGGCGGTTCATCAAAAGAAGCCATAACCTGGAATTTTACATGCCCTTGGTAGCAGGAAAATAGGTGGGTGTACTCATACCTGCTTCCAAGAGCAAGGCATTTAGGTATTTTTAGATACGGTTTAATCTCTGGTGACCGGAAAGTGCCGCAATGGCCCGCCTTTAGAGGCAGGACTACCGAAAGCAGGGAATTTCACCTATTTTTAGATATGACTTATTTACCGGCTACTGAAAAGCCCCGGAATTCCTTGCCTTTTGGGGGCAGGATTCCCCGAAGCAGGTATTTCCCCAGCTCCAGCTTCCCACAGTGCCCTCGTGCTTCTCAACGACTCGTGATGTCCAGTGGTAGACGGGAGACGGAGATGGTGGAGGAGGAGGGCATCGATTTGGAGGCAGAATTGGTGCATGAAGAGGATTCGAGCGGTGAGCCTGAGGTTCGCTCATTGCTCGCGCTGCAGAGCACCTGCAGGTTGTTTTGTAGTCCCTCATTTTGTGTCAACATTGTATCATTTGTTACTGCTCAATAATGTAATCCCTAGTTCATCATGGCATCAGTGTGCACTTGAACTGGCACGAAATGTTTGTTTGGCGACGCCTGGATTCTGAGAGATTGTGCGGCGACTAACTTGGCGGCTATGTCCCGCCTAGGTGGCCAAATAACAAACAAAGGCAGGGCGGGCTGACAAACGATTCCAGAATTCCGACTTCCTAATCGAAATTAGGCTCCCTGGCAGAGATCGACGTAAATGTGGGTTCCAAGGGAAAGGAGCAATTTCGGAGGCCTCTGGCCTCTCGGATCTATATCCTCTCTTACCTCTCTCTCCTTCCCTGGTCCATTTGCGTGTCGTTGCAGCTTGGTGCCATTGTTTTGGCGGATGCTAGACTTGTGATGGTATGGCACGTGAGTGTGACCACGGTTGACACCTGCACTGCGCCCCCTCTCTTTCTTTCTTATCAACCACCATCTCTGCAGTGCAGGTAAGCCCTCCTCTCTCTCGCTCTTACGGGCATCCTAAGCTCACAATCTGGATAGTGAATCCCTCCTGTCATCTTGTTTATCTTATTCTCAGCTATTCACTATCCTATTGTGAGTTTCCACTCTCTCCTCTCTTGTCTTGAGCCTTACTGTCCCTCAGCTCGCTCGTGGCTCTGCCATCTGGGCTCCTATCTATTTCACAGTAAGGCTCTGCACCCTTCCTGGCTCCGCCATCCCTCGCTCATCATCTGACAACATCCATTGATTAGATTTTGATCTAATCCATACCCTCGTTACCCTCTTTTTTCATCATTATCGCAACTCGAATTTCATCCGCGTCCATCTACATCTCATCTGATGACGGAACATGGGACCACCGAACCTCAATCTCATGATCGTGAGCAAGCTATCAAGGACATGCGAGCTTGCATCGAGCGCCTCGAAAAAGTCGTCGAGGATGCCGTCGAGGCGAAGAGCACCGTCACTGATGTTCTCGAGCGCCTTAAGGGTGCTGGAGCAACACATAAGGAGGCTGAGGATTTCGGGAAACAGTTCATTCAGCTGTTCAAAGCCCGACATGGTAGCGTCGAAGGTCCGGGATCTCAACAGATTGAGGGGGAACGTGAGGGTACCCCTGAGGGTCTCAATGAGGACGAAGCTGCTGAGTTCCGACGGAAGCGTGATTCCCTCCTCGGAGAGCAGCCCCAGGGCAATGAAGAGGAAGCTGCCCGACGCCGCCGCGCTGTCGACGCTGCTGAGTGGCAGCTTGTTTTGGTGAAACTTGCTACCGTGGCGGCGAGGCCCGATTCTTCAGCTGGGAAAGGATCCTTCTCGGAGCTCCTCAAAATCTTTGACAGATCCAGTGCATCTACATCTCGGTCAATCCCCTCGACGGTTTTGGATGGTGCTCCGCACCTACGGAACCTATCATCCAACGCTATCAAGGACCCTCACCTGGACGAAACATGGAGACTCCGACTCCTTTTTGCTGGAAAAGAGACCATTGACAGCATCGTCGACCATCTTCAAGCCCAGCCTGTTGATCAACCACTCCCTCGCTCCATCTGGAGATTGCTTGTACAGGACCAATATGTTGATTTCGAGAAGTTGTTCGCCTCGATGGATCCAAACTACAATCACAATGATGATCCGAAGGATTTTGGGGGTGGTTTTGCTCTTGTCAAGAAGGAGCTCGCAACCGCTAAAAAGACCCTTTGGACTGAAGCCGATTGGATTCGAGTTTTCGCTGCCTGGCGCGAAGGAACCATCCTCCTCTATCCTCATCGACTGGAAGAGCTCCAAGCCTATTCCCGCCTGGTCTCTGATGTTTTTCGCGCCTGCCCGAATGATCCTTCAAATGGCATATGCTTCGACCTCGAAAGCCATCAACGTTATGCGAAGAGTCCTTATCGGCTGGATGACAAGGCCCAATCATTTGTGTCGATCCTGGGTCAGGTTTTCCATGGGACGAAGAGGCAGTCTGATTCGTCTCTGGATGGCCGGCTTCCACCAAAACATCCAACAGTTCCTTGCTATAATTGTAACTTGGGTATCTGCAGTGAACCGTGCAAGAACAGTCGGAGGCATGGTCTCTGTAGTGAGTGTGGTGGTCAGCACTGAGCAAGAGACGTCGCGGCGTGCTATGCTGCTTTCCAAACTCGCAGAGGAAAAGGAGCTCGCTCTGGCAGCGCAGAGGGTGGCGGACCTAGCAGCAGTGGGGCCTAAGCAGTTCGTCAAGACAGATGCGAATCTCAAGCGTCCGGCAGCAGCGCCCCTGGATGTACCACCTCGCTATCGCCGCGGATTTGTCTGGTCCAACTCTGCTTCTCTCTGTGAATCTCCGGCCACTCTTTTAACCTTATCTGCTCCTCCTTTGCCATCTCCACCTTCTCATCTCATTGATGACCCTGCACTCATCTCTTCTCTTTCTGCAATGCAAGGCTTTGTCAAGGTTGACACCCCATTCAACGTTGATCGCCTTGAATCTCTTCTATCCGATCACCCCAATCGTCCTTTTGTCGACTCAGTTATCCGTGGCCTTCGTGAAGGTTTCTGGCCATTTGAGGATGGGGACTGGGATAAGGATGCTACCGAACCCTTGTCCAACTTTGCATCTGAGGTTGAAGACCTTGATGCCATTCGAGCCTTTCGCGACAAAGAACTCGCTGCGGAGAGGTGGTCAGACCCACTACCAATCACAGATCTTCTTCCGGGGATGATGTCGTCGCCCATGTTTGTGGCATGGCAGAAGGAAAAACCCCGTGTCATCACTGACCATTCAGCTTCAGGTCTGAACGACGGTATCCCAAGAACCGAAGCAAAAGTGCACTATGATGACATGCGCACCTTTGGACAGATCTTGTTTAATGCTCGACGTCAGCATCGTGGGCAAAGACTTGTCGTGTGGAAGTCTGATATCGCCTCAGCTTTCTTGAACCTCCCTGCCCATCCTTTATGGCAACTCCGACAAATAGTTGTGGTTGACGGAAAGTTTTACGTTGTTCGGTGACTCGTTTTCGGAAACCGAGCCTCTCTGTGCATTTTTTGCTCATTGTCAGGGTTACTCTGCTGGATTGCAGTTAAGAAGCTTGGCATTGAAGGACTTCTCGTCTACATGGACGACTTTTACGGTTGGGATTTCGCCGACAACCTCATCAAATTTCGTGGTCGTCGCCGCCCCCGTCGGCAGGTTCTATTGCTCACATTCTGGGAAGCTATCGGATGCCCGTATGAGGACAGGAAGCAAGAGGATGGTGATTGTCTAAAAATCATTGGTTTCTGGGTTGATCCCAATCGTGGTAGCATCTCACTTCCCCCCGATTCCGTTGACACCATTGTGACACACATTACCTCCTTCCTCGCTCATCCCAAATGTTCGCCTATTCTCCATGATTGGCAGCGGCTTGGTGGGCACCTGAATTGGCTCTTTAATGTGCTTCCATGTGGGCGGCCTGCACTTTCAGGGTTATTCCGAAAGATACGAGGAAAGACTCACAGCTCAAGCCCGGTTTTCCTGAACCGAACAGTTTGCAAAGAGCTGACATGGTTGGCAGGTGTCATTCGCCATGCTATTGGTGTTCACTTCGTGGATAGTCTCAACTGGACGGACGACAAGGCTGACATTGTTCTCTGGATGGATGCAAGTCTCCGTCTTGCCTTGAGCTTTTACTATAGTGGTAATGGGTTTGTGTACCAACTCCAGCCACCTCCTCCTGGTACTGCCATTGACATCTTCTTCCTCGAGCTGATCGCCATTATGTCAGCCATCTTCCACGTTGCGTCTTTTAAATCTCCACCACGTCGCATTCTTCTGTTTACCGACAGTTTGGATGCGGTTGGACTGCTCAACTTGCTTGCGGCATCTGAAGATCAGCACAATGCACCCCTCTTAGGTATCGCAGAGGTTATTCTGACCTCAGGTGTTGACCTTCGTGTCCGTCATATTCCTGGAAAGGATAACATTCGCGCTGATATGCTTTCACGTCTCCTCCTTGAGGACTTTCATCGGCGTTTCCCTGCAGACCGTGTCCAGCTCTTTGACCCTCCAAGGGTCCTCCTGCCAGCGTGTTGGAGGGAGTGCTTTTAGCTGCACTCGGCGGGGGCGAGTTGCGTTCACGTTCATCTCGCCCCCGTCGCCGGGTGATGGACTTGGCTCACCTTGACCACAGGACCCTTTGGTTGCAAGCGTCCACAATTGAGAAGTCCACATCCCAAGGTTATGCGACTGGCGCGCGCGACTACCTTCGGTTTTGTATAACACATTCTCTTCCAATTAAGCCAACACCTCAGACACTTTCCCACTACATTGCCTACACCTCTCAATTCATCGCCTCTGGCCCAAAATACCTGTCCGGAGCTCACCATTTCCTCGCTGATTTCTATCCGGAGTTTGATAGCAGTCGTTCTCACCCAATTGTGCAGGCAACAATCCGTGGCTTGATGAAGACCCGAGCCGATCCTATCCGCCGCAAACTCCCATTACGGCTTGAACATCTTTCAGCCTTTCTCAAGATAGCAAGAGACTCTAAGTCATATGACAATCTACTCTTCATCACCATTCTTTCTTGCTGCTTTTATGCTTGTCATCGAAGCAGCGAACTCGTTCAGAAGAATGACTCACGTGTCACGACCCGTCCCCGGCTCCCGGCACAATTATCTGGCTCCCGAGGCTGTATCCAGCTTCCGAGGCTTGTGGTAATGAGCTGTGCTCTTCCGGGATGCTTCCGAGACATCTGGGAATGAGCCGTGCGCTTCCGAGACACTTCCGAGGCGAGCCATGTTTCCGGCTCACTCCATTGTGTCTCCCAGCCATTGTCCCATTGTCCTTCATTGTTCTCCTTGTCCCGGCTAAGTTATCTATTACATAATCATGGTCCATTATCCTACATAGCATAAATACCCATGTACAGTAGTAGATTCCTCAGTTGGAATATCGAACTCGACATACCCCCTTTGCTCTAGTTCACTGCCGGAATCCGGCTCCTCCCTGTTCATCCAAAATCGGGGACACCCAGACGTTGCGTGGTGGCGCAGCTGCCCCTTCCGTCCAGCTGAAGCCAAGTCCCCACCCCATCCAGCACGGTCGTTACAGTATATTCCGACTACCAACCGCGTTAACATCAAACCGAGTCCAGCCGGATTGATTTCCGGCACCCATCCGGTCCGATTCACTTCGGATGCAACCCCAGTCCCGCCTGGATTGATTTCCAGCACCACAGCAAGTCTCCGGCTACGCTGTTGTATCAACCTTGACAACCCCTCTGCTCTATTGTTCATCCTCTGTCTCCTGGGCCTTGGCCAGGATGACTTCTTCTTGTCTCTCCTCTGTCAAGACCAAGGCAGTTCCTGTAAATTGGGGACAACCAGATGATGTGTAGGGGCACAGCACAAGAGCATGCTGAGGCCAAGTCCCCCCCTCTGTTCAGGTCATTACATCACGTCTCTTTGATTTGCGTAAGATAATTCGTCGCTCCTCCCTCATCTTTGTCGATGGCTGTGCACAATATTGATTGCCTTATCATAAGGCGGATCGTTTCTACTGTGGATCAGACATCCTGCATAGCTCGCAAGATGTGGCGGATCCGGTCTCCCTCCTCAAGGAATACGTCATCCTCCGCGACAGCATTCATGGGACCAATGTTGCGCTTTTCTTGAAGGAAGACGGAAGCCATCCTACACGCTCTTGGTTTGATGCAAAGTTTTTTGCTGTTCTTGATCGAACCTTTGGTGGTCACTCACCTCGAGCAGGGGGAGCAACCTTCTATGCTTCTCTTGGAGTGTCTGAGGATGTCATCCAAGCGATTGGACGCTGGTCATCAGCAGCCTGGAAAATTTATGTGTGCGAAAACCCAACTATTCGGGCAGAACTTCAACTCGCAGCGCTGCGCCTTCGACACCTCTATTCTCCTCACCCCTTGTGACCTCGCTCTCATCTTTCTACACCTCCTCCATCCCCCACACACAACATCTCTACACCCTTAGCCCTCTCGCTCTGTCACCAATGCAAGCTGGAGGCACATGGTCGTGTGCCTCCGTTTATGGCTAATACCCATCTGATCAGTCAGCAGAGGTTGAACAACTCTCTGAGATCGACTACTTAGCTGAACAAGACATCAGATCTTCAGACCCAGCTCGGCCGACGCCGACTGCCGATGCCTGTGACCAACTCAACTTTGCTTACTACTCGCTCCCACCAAAAGTGATTTCGCTTATGTAATGATCACGGTCACATTAGTTTAGGCTCGGTTGCAAGTTGGTTATTTTTTGTACCCTACACTCCCATCGGGACAACGCGCATGCCACCTCCCAAAACATCACGGCGCGAGATTGACGATGCCACCAGAAACCGTATCGTCGGCTATGCCCTGGCGACAGGAAATGCGGCAGCAGCGGGCCGGAATGAAAACGTCAATAAACGCACTGCTCAACTCATATACAACCGCTACTTACAAACTGGGAACACCTCCGATGAGCCTCGTTCTGGTCGTCCTGCAAAGCTCAATGAGTACGATAAACGACAGATGATACGAGAGGCGTGCAAGCATCGGCGAACCCTGTTAACCCAGATCACGAATCGACTTGCTACCGAAGTGTCGGTTTTGACTGTTCGACGTGCTCTCGCAGCAGCAGGCTACCGCCGGAGGGTAGCCCGCAAAGTCCCCTACCTATCACCTTCTCAAAAACACCAATGGCTCATTTGGGCGCGCATTCATCAGCCTTTCTGCCCATCAGATTGGAGATGCACCATGTTCACGGACGAGTGCTATGTCTACCTTGGTGACAATTGTGGCCGGATTATGTTACAAGGCGACCGGACAAGGAATTACTGGAGGAATGCTTAGCACCAACCTTCAAGCAGTCAACAGTGCGTGTTATGGTATGGGGCTGCATCATGGAGGACAGGAAGGGACCATTGGTTGTGCTTGATTATCCGGGAGGCAAGGGAGGAGGGATGAACTCCACATGGTACCATGAACAAGTTCTTGACCCCATTCTCCTGCCTTTCTATCATCTAATGAACCAAGAGAGAGGTGTGGTTATGTTTCAGCAGGATGGTGCTCCATGCCACCGCAGCAAAGTGACGAAGAAGTGGGTCTATGAGCATAACATTCCATTGTTCCCCCACCCAACCTCCTCACCTGACCTGAATCCCATTGAGCCGGTATGGCATGTACTCAAGACTATACTCCGACAACTTCCACACCCACCAAGCACCGTCGATGCCCTGCACGCTGCTGTTCTCCGTGCGTGGGACGAGATTCCAATAGAGACTATTAATAGACACATTGGGAACATGGGCCGTCGTGTGGAGGCTGTTTTGGCCGCGAGAGGGGGCCATACTCAATTCTAATTTTTTATATAGACACATACACTCTCTACCTACCTCCTCTCTATACTTTTGTCACCATTAATATGTTACATGCAACGCAGTGGTGAATGCGTTCTTACAGTCTGTTCATTGTCACATGAGAATTTTCCGTGACCGAAGTCACTTTTGGTGGGAGCGAGTACTTAGTCTGTCGGCTCCGCCTGACAAATCCATTGACCACGAAACTCGGGCGGCAATCGTTAATTGCACCCAGAAGCTGGAACTTGGATGTAATGCTGGCCAATCGCATTATGGACAGTTCTTGCAAGCAGAATCGAAGTTCTTGAAACATGTTGTCCCCGTTTGATGAGCCGAGGGTTGGGACTCAACTTGGGAGACCTCAGAAGCGTATGAAAGACTCAAATTTTATTGCTTCAACCTGTTCTGATTGTTGATCTTTCAGTCTGTATTCGAAATCAAACCTCTCCAGATTCGTTGACAATGAAGCACAAGGAATCGCAAACGCGAGAAACTTGACAATGAGCGCGACGCGCCTGCACTGACATCACGTGAGCGTTCCGTGAGAATTTTTCTTGAGCAGCCTCAGGCGCAAATTTCTCTTCCATCGCCAACCACCATCCATATATCCCTCTGCACAATCTCATCCGTTTCTCACTGCCTCAAAATGCACGAGAAAAATTGAAAGTCATAAATAAGCCTGCAGCGTCTACCGCCTCCGATCGCGGAATTCGAGCCACCCATGGACATAGTCAAGGCCCCAGTTTCCTCTCGTAGGACATCACACGCTTGGGGCCTGTTACGTTCGTGGAATATCGACGAGCTTGACCATCTGTGCTGCTTGATCCCGTCTTGGGGTTGGGTGGGCCTACACGGATTCGGGTTCGCAAGTCTTAGCAAGAGTTGGGTGTTGTCGGATTCCCTCGCGATGCCCGTAGTTTTGGGACATACATTTCGTTCGGATGCATACAGCTATTTTTGCGACTTTATCCTTTCCTCTAGAAGCGTACTTACGTCGACGTATCTCAAGGACGATCGAATACAAATTCCTGACGAACTGTTTCCGTGCTGAGCTTATTTCCAACCAATTGGAACCCTGTCTTCCCACCATCGCACGAATCATAGCCACTCGTTTATGTGGTAGAGGGGCGCTTGCATTGGCAAAGAGATACCAGCAGCTTCTCAAGTTGCATGCCGACACGCCTCAAAGAACCTCTCGACAGGATTGCCCAGGACCTTCTCGTGCTACCACATGCGTCACTATAGGATGATCGCACGACTCTCCTCAACCATCGACTCACTCACCAGCGTCAACCGTATGGCTGCCTTCTGCCCTTGCACCTCGCCACCGGCTGTAGCTCGCGCCGTCCTCCGTCGTCAGCCCGTCGTCCCATCGGCGACCGCAACCGGACACCCACATGGCCGGGTAACGAGTGAGGCCCGTGTATCCGGCGCATCCAGCACGACGGAGAACACAGAGAAGGCGTCTGCCCATCTGAATGTGCGTTCCTCAATATTCGCTGTGATCGTCGGGTTGGATGGCAGCCAGGACGACTTGCTCGCGATGCGGAAGCTCGCTGCTCAGCACGTGCGACGTTGGCGAGCTCGACCTGAGCTTGAGGCGAGGTGGTTCGGGCTGGTGCGGAGGATGGTTCTGGGTGATGGTCGTCGGACTGGGAAGAGGGGGTTGTAGGGGCTGCTTCTTTCATGGACCCGAAATGAGGGCCTTCTCTCCCCTGATTTTCCAAAGTTAGTCTTCTTGAATTCTCTGATGACGGGCTCTCTTACAAGACTTGTTTCAGATAATGAACCAAGATTCTACACTTCTCGCAGCTTCAGACGTGGCACACACCTCTTGACAGGGGAGCTCCTACCCTCCAAGGCGGCATAAACTAGCGTGATCTTCGCGTCGAACTGTGGCGCAAGAGACTCGACATCTTCGGTCCTGTCTCTAGGACGGCCCCCAATTATGTTGGCGTCGTACTTCAGGACGAAATGCTTTAACGAAGGCAACCACTTCGGATTGTTCGCATGCGCAACCCACTCGTCTAGGTCCTCTGACATGGCTCTCGACATCGTGCAATGGAATTCCAGCCTCTCCAGAGAGCGAGGAAGGTACCTTGCAAGACCCAAATCAGAATCCTCTTGTGCGAGCGCAATGCACAAGTCTTTCAGTACATGGCACCTCCTCAGCTTCATCTGCAAATTTCGCGGCGTGAAGTCATACTGGAGATCACACCCATTCGTGCTCTGCAAATGCAAGACCTCCAATCGAGCAAGAAGCCCAGGGATCTCCTTCATTGCGAACAAGAACATATCAATCGCGTTGTTCTCCTCCATCTTCAGTCTCTTCAGGTTCGGAAACCCACCCGAGCTCGTCCAGTGGATCGCATGCGAGTAGGTCAAGTCGATGCTCTCGACCTGCCCCGCGATCACGGCTGGCCACTCCGAAAACGAGCACACGCCGCCCATCCTGAGACTGCGCAGAGCCGTCCATGGATTCTTGAACTTGTCCAGCGGGCTGAGATCGATTGACTCGTCGACGTTCGCCTGGACTTCTAGGTGTGTGGGCGACAGCCCATCAACGGCGGGCCACTGCGCATCCCGGGGCGCACTGAAGCACAAAGTGTCGATGCGCTCCGATGGGCTCTTCATCATGTCTTCTTGGGTTACATGCCGGAGATGGGAGGTGGCAGTGGCTTGATCCTCGTCGGACACATATCCCTGGAGATCGAGCTTGAGGATGTGGGTGCCGCTTGTGGGGAAAGGGTCGAAGGGGTCGAAAGGGCCTGTGGTTTCTTCTATAGTTGGCGGGCTTGTCGCGGTGACGGTCGTGGTTATGAGCGTCCGCACAGGACTCGAGTCGGTTGCATTGGAGGACGAGGAGGGCATAGTCTGAAACACGGATGGCTGTGGCAGAGTCCAGTGGCACGTCGCTCGTCTCTTCTCTTCCCTGTCAAACGATTACTCACGATAGACCAGACGCTTCTCTTCCACCTTCTTTCGGGGATCGTACCGGCGAGACAGGAGTTAAAAAGTTCAAGTTCACGTACAACCCCAGCCTCACTCGCCTCTCGTTATAATCGATCTTCGGGATCACATCACGGATATATCATACATCCATGATCCATCCATCGCATCGCTCGAACGAAAATCCTGTGTAAGTACTGCACAAATTCAAATAATTCTCGTCTGACAGGCCTCTGGCATTCACCGCCTCGTGAAGATCCTTGATGGGAGCCTCTGTTCGATGTTTGAACAATGATCACTACTCCCAACAGGAGTGTATCGTGCATCATATGCATATGTAGGCACCCAAGCACACCTTCCTCGATCTCTCGTGCGCGTGAACCCCTCGAATCCAACTCTCGAGTTCATCGTTCTGTTCAACGAGCGCCAACAACAATCTCAACCTCCTATCTCCAAAATATATTATTCAATCGAACAAACCCGGCAGAAGAAAGTGCACAGCTCTCCCCTCGCCGTTCCTAGATGGCTGATCACCGGCACCCTCAGTGAGCGCTGGACCCTTCAACCCCGCTTCTTCCTGATCCAGAAAGACGCACGGCCGCGGCGTCTTTAGAGGTAAGAGCGTCACGCCTAAATCACGCACGCACTGCAGTGCACTGGCGAACCCCGAACCGAACCGGCTTCAGTGCTGAAACGCTTACCGCTCTGACTGGTGAGCCTCATACTTGTGCTCGTCCTTGTTCTCCTCCGCTCTCCTCGCTGCGCTCTGTGTTTTATTCTATTCCTGCTTCCACGATTCTGGCTGAATAATCCTGATTCCTAGGTGCTGATACGACCTTCTTCGGGCTCTGCTGGTTCGCACTTGACCATCCTCGGCTTCGGACCTCGTACTCATTCTTCTGTTCTTGTTTCTTTTACCAACTCTGTGGGTGACTCAGGTATGGCCGTCGGGCATGATGATTATGATCGCCCATTGCTCCAAATCCATCTAGAAAATCGCCGACAATAATCGTCAACCGCGTGTTTCTGCTGGAATTAACACTCCCTGGTCATCCATTGGCTCGTCTCCATTGTTCTGTATGCCTTTTGGGCGGTATTCTTGGGCGTCGGACGCGTCTTGCACCGGCCCTCTTATTGTTGTCCGTGGGCGCTCGCATTGCGATTAGACGATTAGGCGAGACGAGCGCTCGAGCGTGCATGCAACGCGAACACCAACCTCGGAACCTTGGAGGAGGATAATCCCATATACACTCTGCTGGGCTGCGAAGAAAAAATGGACTAGCCGTCTATGTAGCGCTCAACGCTCGATCATGCCTTCCAGGCGCTCGCGCCCGCGGTCAACACAAGACGACATCGCTTGCTGTTGGCATTGGCGTCGGTGTGGGTCCTCGGACCTCATCTTTCTGTCTTTCTGTTCGTCCACCTTTCCTGTTTTCCAGAACCCTCTCGTGTGCAGGTGTCGCCAACGCGTACACGTCCACGACATCAGGAAGTTCCTCGGCGCTCGCCGCGGTTCCCAGCTCAACTTCTCGCCGACCCTCTCAGAGCCTTGTTCTTGGTCTTTGCCTTTTGTTCTTCGTTCGAACTTCTACCAGGGTTACGACGAGGACAATAGAGAGAAGGACGGACCGGGGAAGTATGGCGTAAATAACGACATGCTGGTATTAATAGTGATTTACACCAGACCAAGGAAAGCTAGCGCGATGGGGGCTCAGAGCAATGGAAGCTTATTCAAGCTCAAGCTCAAGTCGACTCGAAGGTATGCAGGTGATGAATCGGTGATGGCGGTGATCAACAGGATGGACGATAACGAGATGAACGATAACGCGATGTTAACGTTGGATAAGACGAAAAGACGAACAGGGCGAACAACGACGAGATGAATGCGACGAACAGAAGTAATCGAAGGAACGAGCGAACAGCATCAAGAAGCGTGGGGATGCACTGACATACTTTTATCATGTTCTCCCGTTGTAGGTACTATTAATACGTCGAGGTCGAGAGGCTGTGGCCTCTCGTCAACCTAACCAACCCGTTGAAATCGAACTCTACTCTATTCGCCAATGTTGCCTGCAAAACCGGGGGGCTCGGAGAAGTTGTCCTAAGTGCGAACGCCAAGTACCAAGGTGGATAGTACCCCACAACGTGTTGATACTGAAATCGATATCAAAGCCACAAAACCTATCTCTATCTCTATCTCTATTATCATAGAGTTATTGAAGCTTGTCGTCTGGGCGGTTGTATGGAACTAGAACTGTGTTCGACTCATCAAGGTCGACCATTTGGCAGGATCAATATCAATACGTACTACTGACACCTCCCTATGATATGGATATGATATGGGAGTTGAGATTGGGGATATCGATTGAACGCACCTGACTATGTAATTATAATTTAGCAGCATTTCAGTAAAACGCGCAATGAACGCCCAACGCGAAACCCCTACCCACGTGCCGTCCAATCCCATCCCATCCTCTCTCGTCCTCTCACTCAGGCTTCAGCGACGCACAGCAAACTAACGCACCACCTCCAACCTTTTATTTATCACTTCAAGGTCAAACGCATCCTATTGGCTCGTTGCTCGTTCGCCCAATGGCTGGTTGGTTGGACATGATGAGTTGGACGCTCTGCGCTCCCGCGGGTCACAACCGTCCTGCCCGATGCCGGATGTCGAGATGCGCACCTTGATGTATCGATGAACGATCACCAAGTTCCAATAGGTGCCCAAGGCCCGAGCTCGAGGATAAGGTCGTTGAACGTTGACGAGTCGTGCAGAGTCATGATGTGTCCAATGCTTAGGTACGTAAAGTATGTAGTGTCGAGAAGTGTTGAGAAGTAGACTTTTGGATGTGCGGTCGATATAAGTGCATATAAGTATAGGGATGGGACGCTTAGAACCGGATACACGGAGATGGGAAAGTCAAGTGAAGGCGAAAGGGCTTCAAGGCGATAACGAGTGATACTTATACCTTGTGCCTTCATTAAGTAAAATGTAACAAGAAACCCAAGGACGCACTCGGCTGGTGTTCGCAGGCCCGGGGGACGTGTCCTCGTGGTAATCATGATCATGATCATGAAGGCGGGCCTGTGGTGAACTGCGATCGCAGACAGTCTTGACTCTTGACGGTGTCACTCTTCGAGAATCGAGAATCGAGCTTGAACGCCTGACGCTTAGCACGGAGCCGGGGCCGCATCAGTTGACCTGCAGACTGCAGCGTGTTTTCCACGACGAGAGGCGAACGGCGAGCCCATCTCCAGGATATGATCATACAGAACGATGTTGGCGAATTCATGCTACTTAGCGCTTCCACGCCGGACCAGAACAAAAATCAGGATTATCTTCATCGTCGTCGCTTCTCATCATCGAGTACCCTGTTCGAATTCGATGGCGCCGGCGGCACAGCAAGGATGGAAGGAACGGGCAAGTTCGCAGTCGTCGTGGTCGTCGTCGTGGTCGGTCCCTCGCATACATTACATCTTGCTACATACAATCGCGTCGCGTCGTCGGGAACGCAAAACGTGTCTCTCTGCTCGGTTGGCTGAGTGCGCTCGCTCGCTCGGAGAGAACGTGGGAGGAGGAGGACGCGTAGAACATGAATAATGAAAGCGAAAGGGCTTCAAGGTGATGATATGGTACTTACTCTATAAAGCGATACATATATCTATATCCCGTGCCTTCATTTTCAAGAAACCCAAGGATGCACTCGGCTGCCAGTGAGAGGCGAAGGGCCTCGAAGGGCGGGCCCATCTCTAGAACATGCATGACAGCGAACGAACGATGTTGGCGACGACTCGGAGTTGGGTTCATGCTTCCACCGCGGCGTACGAAGACTCGGATATATTAGCAGGGAAAATCAGAGAGTGCCAGTGCATGAGTATCTTCCGGGTGCGCACCCAGTCGTCTATCGGCGTACGGTTATGTTCATGACGACTTCGCCGTCGTCGTCGTCGTCGATCCCTCGCATACGCATACGCATCTCGGTCTTGCAACAAGCGCGTCGCGTCGTCGTCGTCGGGAACGCCAAACGTGTTTCTCTGAAATCTCCGAGCGAGCGCATTATGATTCTGTCAACCGAACAGAGATGATGATGGGAGGACTCAGGACGCGTACGGTTTCAACGGCTCGTCTCGTCGGTGATAAATTACTTGGAGAGAAAATATATCAGCTATATGCGAATTGCGATGCCGCATCAGTGCGGGGGCATCATGCATGACGATCAGACGCGTAAGGCAGTTGCCACAACTTGCCCGTAGACGAGGGGGGAAATGTGAGGGAGGCGCACACGACCATGGTATGTGCCATATGTTCGGGGACGGCAGGAGCGAGCTTCCGGCAGAGAAAAGTGGGTGTCGGGCAGGGAGGCCAGGAAAAATATATTGAAAAATCGGAAATAGGGCGATCGTCGAGAGGCTGCGAAACTGCTGTTTCGGTCCAAGAACATTGCGTGCAGGGTTCAAGGGTAGACGAGAACAAGTGACAAGTGGCTGGCGATCGAGCGCCGGGCTGGGCTAGCTGAGTTTCAGGATGTGGGCGAGGACAAGGAAGAGAAGGAAAAGAAAGAAAAGAAAGAAAAGAAAGAAAGAACAAAGGCAAGAACTTCTCGCTCAGAATATCTAATTGTGTGTCCCCATCCTTCTTCTTGTTCATCCACGAACGTACGTACACGCCACACAAAGTTAGCTTAGGGTGATTCTGATCTGACTCTGGGTGAGGCTGTATCGCCCCGCCGTCCGGAGGTGGGCGTTGAAGGGAGTTTGTTGACCGACCTTCTGGTCTAATGCGACTGACAGATCGGTGCGGTGACGGGGTGTAGGAATGATGATGTCCTTGGCCCCAATTTATGCGAAACGCACCGGTTCAGCCTCAAACATGTGGTGCAAAGGGAAAAAGAAAATGATGCGCCTGCAGCAGGCCGTTTGGCATCGTTTTTGAGCTGAATTCAGTCGGTCAAGCGTGGCGCTGGGCGTTTCTGGAGTGGTCTTGCCTGTATGAGTGTCGTGCGAGCTGGGTGGATCCGTTGAGAGAGGGTTGGACATGAGCTGAGAAGGAATTGCCTCGTGGGGAGGCGGTCCTGCAGCTGTCGTCATCAGAGCGGAGGCTGTACCTGCCTAGCACCGGAAATAGAAACCGAACCGGCTTGGTTGTAGCAGCGCTGCGTTGAGTGGGAACCGGTTGATGAGGGTATATAAGGACCATCTCTCGCTTCCATCGTTCCCCACCACTTGTAGTGTGTCACTAACGAATTTACGAGTTTACGATGTTCGTGCTCCTGCCTTTTCGTGTCCTTTGGTTTGCTGACTGACCTTTCTTCAGTGTATCGACGTTGCCTTGCTGGTCAAGACACTGCTCGTTCCAACAACATCCAACCGCTAACAAAACAACAACAACTCCCGCCTTTCTATCTGAAAAAAACCGCACTGTGCAATAATGGCCTCGACAACCCAGTCCATTCTTCGCCAGGGTCTCACCTCCCCCGCCCGCGCGTTCATCCAGAAGCCACAGACGACGCGCTCGATCCTCAAGCGCCCGACTGCCCTGCCCTTGTCGCCCAGCGGCGCCTCTGCGGCCTTCTCCGTCCTCCTCTCCCCCACCGGCGGCCTCAAGTCGCCCCACGTCCACTTCCCACCCTCCCCCTCCAAGCTCGCGGCCACCTTCGTCACCCACTCCCCGGGATCCTACGACCGCGCCCCCATCGCAGTCTCGCCGAACCCGCTCGCGCTGCCCTCATGGGGCGACCGCATCTACTCTCCCTCCATCGAGGGCTTCCGCCTCTCCGCGCCCCCGCGGCCCTTCCGCTCCCTCTCCTTCGCGTACCAGGCGTCCCCGGTCATCACGGACTTTGAGGACCCGCGATCGCCGAAAGCACAGCCCGCCGCGGACGTCACGCACGACCGCGTCGCCAACGCCGTCCGCTTCGAGCAGCTCACCGAGCTCACGGGCCCCGCGAGGCCGAGCCGCGACCTCCGCGACTCGCTCGCGTCGTACCCCCGCTCGCCGTACCCGTCCGCGCCCATCGAGTATACCGAGCAGGATGTTAGTGTAACAGTACCGGAACCAGCGGTGGTGGAGACGCGGGGAAGGCAGCTGCATCGCAACGACGTGCTGCCGTCCCCCTCGGCCCGTGTCCGCGCGCGCGCCCAGTCGATGGAGGTGCGCAACAAGAAGGGCCTGAGCCTCAGCGGCCCTACGAACCACGCGTCGCTCAACTTCAAGCCTATGCCCTCGCCCCTCGCCCAATTCACCACCTCGTCCACCACCCCGGCGCCCCTGCACACCTCCTCGCTCAACCGCGCACACAAGCCCGCCCCGCTCGCGCTCAACGCGTCGCCCAGCTCCTCCGACGGGGGCCTCGCACAGGCCTTCTGGCAGAGCGTCTCCCTCGACGCCTCGACCTCCGGCTCTGCCTCTCTGTCCGCCGCCGACGAGCCGATGGTGACGGCCCTCGAGTACCCCGAGTCCGCGACGGACTACGACGAGATGCTCGACCTCGAGCTGCGGAGCGCCGCCCAGCCGCCACTCATGTTCGCAGGCGCGGACGGCGTCGTCGGTGCTGTTTCCTCTCCCGCTGTCTTCTCCCCTGCTCCGTTCTCTCCGAGCGTAGTGTTCTCCCCCGGCCTGCCCAAACCCCGCGCAGCGCTCGACCGTTTACACCAGTCCCTCTCCTCCCTTTCCGCCCTCGCCTCGCCAAGCGTGAAACGCACCTCGTTCGCCCCCCTGGTCAGGAGGGAGATCACCGCGCCCTCGCCCAACGACCCCTTCGCGGCGTTCCCCTCGTTCGGCGCTGCCATCGAGATGGGCGTCGCGGAGGGTAGGATCCAGTACCCGCCGCGTGTGGTGCTTGAGCGTGCGTGAACGGTGAGCTCGTATGGGGGTTGGGGTTAGGTGGTGAGGTTGGTTGGTTACGCAGACAACGGACGGACGGATGTTGATTGGTTGGTTTGCTGGTTGGATTGATTCGATGGAGGTTGGTTGATTCGATGGATCGTTGGACAGACGTGGTTGGACAACGGACAACGGACAGCAGGACCGAGGTACGACATGGATTTTGATCGATAGATGTCCACACCCCTCCCTACCCACGCGCCCGAATTGTTGCTTTTGCTTTGTTAGTTGGTCGTTTCGTTGTTGGATATCCGTTGGATTTAAACGCTTGCGGTGTCTTTCCATTTTCCCTATTTCTTTTCTCGCTCGCTCGCGCCTCAAGCTATAGCTATAGCTATTTCTCACACACGTTCGAATTCTCACCGCACAACCAGCTCGAAAATCCGACATGCATGATACTGCTGATATTGTATGTAATGACCATTTTAATCTCACTATTTTTCCTTCTTTTTCCCCTTTTTCTTTTGTGTTTCTTCTGCGTTTCTTTCCTGCCCAGTGCTCTGCATCTGCTTTCTTTGCATTTGACAATCATTTCTGTAACATCACCAATGTCAATTCCATTTTTCAATTTTGCAGTTTTATTTGCGCGTCGATTGGATTGCACTTGTTTCTTCACCTTCACCGACCGTGCGGCGTTTGTTCTAACTGCTCGTTCTTGTTCTCCTGCGCCGTTTGGCGTTCAATTTCTCTTTGTTTCCCCCCCCCTTTCTCTTGAGCCTTTTCCCTTTCCCTTGCCTCGTCTTTTTCTCTTGAGTTGCCCGAGGGCCGAAAGTCATCTAAGATCAAACATCAACTCTGCGGCCCAAGGCCTCTCGGAGCTGCAAGATGCGCGCGATACATATTATCAATTGCGAGATCTTCGCCGTCGCGGGCGTTCATTTCTCTTGTTTTCTGCCGAGCCTTTGGCCTTGACTTCCTTTTTTCGCGCATCGTCTCTTGAGACGCCCAAGAGCCGAAAATTGCATAAGAGCATGTGCAGCACGCACGGCATAAGCTGCTGCATATGTAACTGTTATCCTGGGTCCTTCAACACGTCGACCTCCTTGTTCCATTTCTATTGTTGGGCGTTTTTCCGCACCACGAACGGAATAGTGAACACGAGGATACCACCTGTCCTGTGGCTCTGCTCTTGCTCCTTACATGCTCACAAGTTGCTCCTTCCATACTCCTTGCACGACTTGATAACAAGCTCCTCGCTTCTTCGAATTCGCTCACACTGACACTCCACACCGGCGACCTGGGAACGACGTCCCATGTCCACGGCGAATTCTGAATCGTGAAAATTCTGCGAAACCGAATCCTGCCTGATCCGAGTGTCAGGCCGTGATCATGAAAATGAGGACGGAGGAGTCGGGAGTCGGGACGACAAGGATCCAGCGCCGTTGGAGTGGGTGAATTGGTTGTTATCGTTGATGGTGACGTTGAATCCCGCGAGCACGGACTGCCATCGAGGTGCAGTGACGACACTGGACGATGATCTCTGTAACAGATAAACAGACGTTTTAACCGACTCCACGGTGCTATTTTGTGGTTGAAGGCCTCTCTGCTCGTGTCGTCATCGCTAGCCGACAATAGTCCCGGAACCTGCGGGAAGAACGCCCTCCCACCCCACCGTCAATCAACAAATGACTTCAGGATTTCGGCGCCACAGACCACAGCCCAATCACAGCCTTGCCAGAGCCGTTGTTGTTCCGGCAAAGTGGGATCACGGAAGTCCCGGAGGTTGGGCAAACACCGGACAGGCAGGGCACGCGCCGTTGCTGCCTCGTTTTGTTCGTCCCCTCCATCATATCGTGCCTCCAACAAAAACGTTCGCCCAAAACACAGGCTCCTCTGGCTGGCTGGAGATATGATAGATGATATGATTCGTCACCGGACAGTGGACATATGGTATAAATCTGATTCTAGACCAGCCAGCCAGCCAGCCAGCCAGCCAACGGACGAGTTCAGAATGAATCGGATGAGCAAAGAGGCGAGCTCGGAGGGGGCTTGGGCTGCCTGAGAATTGGAACAACAACCGCCCGCGACCGGTGCCAGCAGCTTAGAGGAGGGAACGTGTCACCAAGCCCACATTCCCCAGCTAACCCCATTTTTACCGTTGGCTTCCGAGTTCCTTGTGAAAGGTCGGTTACATACAAGCCCCTTGTCTCGGTAAGTATATAAAGCCCCCCTCGTTGATTACCGCTCGCTGATTCTCCCTTCATACTTGCTCTTAGTCTACACCCTATACCGTGTTTGCAGGCCCTTGCGGCACAGCTCTGTCGGTTCTCTTAAGGACCGGACTACGCAAGGCCTGTCGCCTATTGGTGGGCTTGCGGGTCAAGTTTCGCCACTGTCTGCTCATCTCCCGAGATATCAACCAACCCTGTTCCTCTGCTACGATACCTCATACCCCGTGCAGCTGCTATTTTCAACGCCACCGTCAAGTCTCACGTCTAACTTCCACCACCCGTCCAATCCCAACGCACGATGCCCAACCCCGGAATGCCTCCCAGACCCATCCTAAAGGCCCTCCCGTCGCCTTCGCTAACAGGCAACAGCCCTCTCCCATTCGCATCCTCACGCATCCCATCCCTCGACTCGCCGCACGTCCACTTCCCGCCGACACCTTCGATGGCGCAGATGGAGATCACGCACTCGCCGTTCGCGTACGACCGCAAGCCGATCGTCGTCGCGCCGAACGTGTGTGCAATGCCGGCGCGCGGCGAGCGGAAAGTGCAGGGTTTCCTCGAGGGGTACTCGAGTAGTAGTAGTGGGGGCTACTTCCAACCTCGTGCCTCGGAATGTGTGGAATATGCCGCGGCCTACGACCCCCCGCCAGAGCTTTATCAGTCTCCCGAGCCGGCGTCGTCGATGCTGTTCCGGCATGATACCTCGATACCTACGTCGGCGTCACAGCCATACCCGTATCCGTACCCCACCTGTCAAATCCGCCCTAGTACTGCCCACAACATCAACCAACGCGATCGGCACCCAAAGCAGCGCAGCCAACCAGGACACGTCCCGCCGCCGCTCGTCTTCGACTCCGCGTCCAGCGACTCCTCCGACTCGAGTGACCTCGGCTCGCCGCCCGATCCTAGTAATCATGGGAGCGTCTATCCCCCGACTCCGATGAAGCAGAAGTACCATACTCAGCACACTTTGAGCGGCTGCGGGCCAATGTCGATGGACCTCTCGCTGTCTTTCATCACGCAGACGAACGGAGAGACTGAGAGGTACAACGGGAGGTCGGCGAAGCGGAGGAGTATAGACGAGTCGTCGCATTCGAGCAAACGGACTAGTAGTACGAGTCGGACCAGGCAGGTCGTGTCTGCGGGGTGTACGAGCGGGTTTAGCACGCTCGTTCCTGGGTTGGACGGCTGCCTGGGTGGGTTTTGATACTTAGGGGTAGTGTTTAATGCTTTCGCCCACAAGCGGTGCGTTGTATTTCTTAGCTATGTACCATGACTTGATGACCATAATATGATATCTATACGAAATTACGAATGAACAGTAACTTTGACATCCACCTGATAGTACGGAAGCTTGGTTTGCAATGGCAGATCTTATTTCCAGAAAATGATATACATATTTACCACGCGTCGAATTGTTGTCCCTCCCCGTGAGTACTACTAGTGAGTACTACTAGTAGGCGGCTCACTTATATGCGATTCAGACGCCCCATTTAGAAATCCCTTGAACGCGTGCGGCGCAGTCGCGCAAGGATCGGAGTTTGAATTGATCCATCACTCTCAACCACCATGGCGCAACTCATCCGCTCAGCGAAGTCTGGCAACGATTGGACCGACAACGAGCTTTTTGCCTTCAACATCTCTATCCAAGATGTCGACATTGCAACGTTCTTTGGCGTGCCCCAGCTGCCTCCAACCACGGTTTCTCCAGTCATTCTCAACAACGTCCACAGGTCCCCTCCTCCCGCCGTTATCAGCAAAGAGGAGTCGAGGACCGCCTCTTCTTCCAGTATCTAGAGCGCGCAAATATTTACGAGGAAGCCGCCGTGGATGATTTTGCAGGCCACATTCTCAGAATGCTCGACTTCGATGACAATGACAGGTCAATCGTCACGAAGAGGGAGCTGTCCTTCACAATGTGTGGTAGCCGTGTGTGGACAAAGGCCGATATCGCCGTTTTGGATGACGCGGAGTACCCGCTCATGGTTCGGGAAGATAAGGTGAGTGCTGTTGGATCTTCCTAGGGCCTGTCCATGACCAATCTCTAGCGTACCACAGTGACTGATGAACCGAAAGCACAGTTAATTGCTTCAGCAATTGCTGCGTTCGTGGAAAACAATCAGCTTCGTGTGCCTCCTCTGGCCCAGCGAACACTCCCTGCCATGACCATGGTTGGCTCATGTCCAGCCTTCTACAAGATACCGGTCACTCAATCCTTGGTTGACGCCCTGGTTACTGCCCAGTATCCAGCAGAGTCGACTGTCGTACAAAGGCTCGTCCCTCTGGTTCCAAACTTGAACCAATATCGTAGGCACGGTATGAATCCGCTGGGAAACAGCCGCATCGTCTTTCAGTGTTTGGAGGCTTTGTTCGGATTGTTGGTGGGTTGATTACTCTGTCACTTATGACCAATGTCTGACATTATGGTTTTAGTAACGATCTGAACCACGGGCCCAGTGAGAAGTGAATCTGACGAGGGCGGAAGCCTGATATCCCACATCCTTGAACGTAAACTCAAGCGCCTCCTACGTGCTGGCGGTTCTTTGGGCTTCGCAGTGAATATCGTCAAAGAAAAGTAGGAATCGAAATGGAAGCTTTACATGTCCCCAGTCTACGCCCCCGGCGTTGCAGCGGCTCAGGCCGCCTCATGGGTCAAACTTCAATTCCAACTACCTCCAGACAACCAAGTGGACACTGAATGTCGCGAAGAGGAGCATGCGTGCAATGGGAAATGCGACAAGATGGAGGCGAGGGCGAGGAAGGACGAGGGACTCAAGATGGACGAATCGACTCTTTCTGGTTGAAGGGACAGCCCCGAGGTCTAGTACGTATCTTCTCATTTTGCCCTTCTAATAAGCCTTTTTCCTATCATTTCCGCCTCCTTCCCCGACCCTTTCTCTCCAAGACTATGGACGATGTGGATGTATGCTAATGTCAAATCTTCGTTCCAGAATTGCACGGTGCGACGTGGCGAGCAGAAGATTGAAGAGCGGCAGATTGCCATGTATGAGAAGGTGACGGCGTTCTTGCAGAGGGAGGGAAAGATATTTCTCGACTACTGTTTATGTCAACTTTCGCCAATCTCAAGAAGATTTGCCTGCCTCGTGCCGGTCGCCCACCTCCAGCACCTGCACATGACCCAAACGGCGACCCTTTAGCACGACTGGGCACACCGACGTACGCCATTACCTCACGATCATCGACACTATCCAACGATCCTCCGCCCTCCTCTTCCTATCCAACCCTCTGCGCCAGGTCCGATCTTGCTGCAATAAAAAGCATTCTCAACGAAGTTGCAAATTTCGACGGCCAAGCCTTCTTCTCGTCTACCCACTACAAGGTCTTAAACAACGCCATGAGCCAAGTTTCAAGAGAACAACAGACGTCCTCGATCATCATCTGTAGAGTTCGCGCTTGAATTCGCCACCACAGCGTCGCACTCCGTGAAAGAGAGGTCAAAAGATGACGTATCGGATCTCGACAGGACGGCGTGCCCTGGGCCTCGCTCGGACGCTCCTCTTCCCTCTCTTCGGCCTCCTCATATTCTCTGTCACGTTCCGTGAATGGGTTAGAGGGCAGAGTAGATTCAACGATGTGTCTTCAGCTCGGCCTACGACCTCCATCTCCACATTTTTCGACAATGCCTTCCTGTGGCGCTGCAGCTGTCAACCGCTCTCCCACCGTCAACTCGCCTCCGACTTTTGTCCCAGCACATCGTCCGCATATCCAAACGCTTCTGCGCAATATATCGATGCTCGCCATCGCTCAAATTCGCCATCTACCCTGCAAGAGGCTACCTATTCAGACAATAATGGAAGCCAGACGCTCTCGGTTGGTGGTATACGCCAAAACACAAGTGCAAGAATAGACCCACATGACCGACACTATTGAACGAATTTTCATCCCGGCCTTTTTGTCAACCTCTCCACGCCGGGTTTGGTCTTACTGCGATCAAGAATGCCCTCAGCGAACTTGTGGGCAGCTCTGATAGGGCGAGTACACCTTCAACAGCCAGGCCTCCACCTCCTCTTGGCAGATGGGCTGACATCCTGCTCGGAAAGCGGATCGGGCAGGAAAGGGCTTAAGGTACAAAGGAATCGGGTTTTGTGATTTTGGCAGGGCAGTCTTTTTAAACACGTTGCCGACGATGACGGGCTGAAGAATCCGAACTTTGAATACTCGATGAAGAACGGGACAAGAATTCACTTTCCCAATTCAACGTTGCTCAACCGGTGCACAGCAACCGCAAAAGATAAAGAAGAGCATCGAGAAAAAATATACGTTCAATTAACCCAACCTCTCTTACACACATAGCTTATACCCATCTTCGTCCGCTTTCCCAATACCCCGTAGATCCACATCCTCAGATGGAGCACCGCCGAACTCGGTCCGCGCTCACTTCTACCCCCATTCCAACTCCCACATCCCTCCAAGCGTCCTACCGCCGACGCGCCAAGAAACAGTGCATCGACTGTCCTGGTCAGACCCTCATGCCGACCAGTCGTCTGAACGGGTATTATCAACGAGAACACCCTGCCTTCATCATTCCTCTCATCCGCATCCTGAATTCTATACTTTTGCGAAGATTCCTTCGCCCTCAGGCGTCGAAGGAGTCTCTCGGTACGTGGCACGAGTGGCAGATCACGTCCGCAGTGAGGATGACTCGTCGAAAGGTCGACGACTTCAACGGCGGTGTAATTGTTGGCGTAGATGATGGGGAGTTAGTGGTGATGTTTTCGACAGGGTTGGCGAGGACGTGGGGGTGGTAGTCAGTCGCGAGGATCTCAAGAGGCATGTGCGTGCTATCCTCGAAGACACAGTCAACCTGCTCTCTGCTTTCACAAGAAGCGAGGAACAGGAAGACGTAACCCCACGAGAACTTCCACATCCCCCTGGACATCGGGAGACGTCCATGGCATTCAGGTCGAGCTCAACGGCGCGCCACTATCCAAGGCCCCGACCACACCTGTCCGGATTACAGCTTGGGCAGTGCTATCCTCTTCGCAGCCCAGATGCATTTCCCCTGCCTCCGTCCTACCAAACACCCAGCATACCAATTACGAATCCTGAAGCTTAGGGCTGGGACGGGCATCCCTTGCATCGTCGCCGCGAAGATTCTCCACCAGCCCACCACCACCGTTTCCTCCTAGCTCTTCGGATTCGGCGTCGCAGGTAACTCGAATGTCGGACCGCGCGACATAATGGCCACCCGCGAATGCGTGTTCCAGAGGGGCTGCCCTAAGCACCTCCGTGTCGGAATGGGTCGCGAAGTCGCCGTTTTTGTCTTCCTTCACGGAGGCATAGCCGGAATTTGGGACAGAGGTATCGTGGATGAGGTGCTGGTTCGTTTGGGCAACAGTAGAAGGGTCAGTGACGGAGTGGTGGAAAGATTGCGCAGATTGTGCATAGTCGGCATAATTTGCATGACTAGATGGCGGAGAGGGGTCAGTGTCGATGCTGTTGGATGGCACATGGCCAGCCGTGAAAGTTGGTTCTGTCGCTGTATTCAGCCATTGTCTTGAGCTTGCGGCAGACTGACTTGCAGGTAGTGTAGTCCCAAATCTACCGAACGAATAGAAACTCCGGGGTACTCCTATGGCTAGATATCCGAGTCCTCTCATTTCTTGGTTTTTCTATATCCTCTAGAGTCTATGAGGGTTCGCAGCAAGAAAGTGAGAGAGGGCATGGTGAAAGCGGCAGGTGGAAAGAGAAAGCTAGAATTGACGGTGGGGTGTCAACACAGAGCGAGATAGATGAGAAAGACAGAGAGGAGTGCATACCAGCGAACTTGGGGCGTGAAGGGGGAGTGAGAGTGGGCGAACACGGTTCAAGTTCATGCAGAGAAGGAGCGCCCAGGCATCGTCAAACACACCACAGCACACTTTTGCCGAATGACGTCAACGTTCGAACGTTGAGCGTTGCAACCACCTGACAGTCCTGCGTGTTTCGAGTTCTTACACAGATTTCCATGGTGTCGCTCCCGCTCAAGATCCCTGCCCCGGCCAAAGAACTGCCCCGAGGCACCATGAACTTTATATAAAACCCGTTTCAACCATCATGCATCAGCAAGGATTGGACGGGCATGCCGCAGCGGGCGTACAAGCTCTCTCCCGAGCACTTTGAAGGTGTGTCGTCCTTGTTTTTCTCTCCTTTCGTTTTATCCTCACGGTTTCAATAGGCCTGAACGGGCCTCCGGGCCTCCGGGCTGTCTCTCCCTCCCTCTCCCTCTTCCCTCTTCCCTCTCTCCCTCTCCCCGCCCTCTACCTTCCCTGTTCCCGTTCTCAAGGATATCCCGTGCGAGCTGCACACTGGATGCAGCTTTTCGTTGTCAAGACCAGCCCCGTCTCCTACGCTCGCGAAGAGAACATAATCATCTAGTCGGATTACCCCCAGAAGAGCCATAAATACAGGCGGTTGAAGGAGAAACACAAGGTGACTATTATTCTGAAAGCGGACGAAGTTTGACTTGAACAAATACCTTCTCGCAGGACTTCGATGATCTCTGGTGACAATCCAGAAGCTGCAGGCCCGCTCTTCAAAAAGAAAAATAATCAGGGAGCGATTTCCGCAAGTTCATGAAGGCGTGTCGAGGCATGGAACTACGCGAGACTACGCGGCTCTAGGATGAGCTCAATTCTTATTGGCGTGTAACCCGAGTAGGTCTATTCCATCGCTTGTGACCGCCGGGGCCCGTCGACGTCGATTGGTCGTGACTTGGATCGTCGAGAGCAAGATCGCGCCCAAAAGGGGCAGG